TAATAATAATAATAACATGTTTGTGAACGACATGCAGTAGACAGTGTGCTGTTCAATGGTTTAGGAAGATAAGTCTATCAAATACGAGTGAATTATTATTCAAGAAATAAGGCAGAAAATAGACTACTGTGTATCTAGGTGAGATTTGGAAATTGCCAAATCTGGTAAGTGTCCTCAATACCTGCCAAAAAATCGCTGATCGACAAACCAATACTCTCCACAAATTTATTAAGATAGAAAGAGAAGGTTGGGGTGCCTGTTGAACGTGGACATGAAATGAAACATACTTTTTAAAAATAAGTTCACTGATTCTTACAGAAGTTAATAAATTAGTCGCGGGACATTCCGGTTTGGTGTTAAAAATCCTGGTGCGCCACTGGACCGATTAATGTTATCAACTACGACAAGTTATAATGTCAGATATTTTGTCAAGGCAAAATGGAGGTCAAACGTTTGGATGCATTCTGAGTGAAATCACCGTGCATACCAGGAGAACCAATTAGCCTGTTTGAGGTATCGTCATGGTGGGCACAGTGGGAGGGCACTAACGTGTTCATTCTAACATTTACCAACTTCAAATAGCGTCATCCTTTTGTGTCGGCCATGCTTCAAAAAGGTTTATGGTCTCAGCCTAAATACTTGAGGAATCGAAGGCGAAATCCTTGGGGGAGGAGGACCTAGTTCGGTCAATTGGATAACAAGGACTCATTAAAATGAGGCAGCTAACATCGAAAAGTATTTTATATTATCGAAACAGACTTCAAACGTAGATCATATAAACACACTGTAGACAGAGCAAGGGTAATCCCACACCTATGGATAACAGACAATTCTCAATGTGGGGGCAGAACCGGTGGATTTATACAGATATCAAACGGTAAGCTTAGGGCCAATACATGTATAATTTAATTCCTTGAGATAGAGGGTTTGGATGGCACCAAAATTATGTAACCAAAATAAAATTACTGTAGATAGAATTGTTATATTGCAGAATTCTTACTAAACGATAATACATTGCTTTTTACATTTCATATACCACACTTATTAGCTGATTAAACGAGCAAAAGGTTTAGCAATTTAAGCAAACACTCCTCAGCTCAGTGTAATTCGAACATAGCAAAACCAGCCAAACTTAATGTAGCTTTTCGCTCACACAGAACAGAAATGTATGCACAATACACCTCTCAGAGCTGGAGTTTATTATGGACTTGTATTCTTTTGAAAAGAAATTAATGCATTTTGGGAAGACGTTCGTGGTTCAATGAAAACTTTCTATTATATAGGTCCTACCAGTATTCACCTTTCTGAGTACTGTGTCGCTAGAGTGGAAATCCTCAAACGGAAGTCTTGTGTTTCTCTGTTAACATGAAAACACAATGCATGATTTCTGATGGAATATACGACGGATAGACGTATATGTCATGTAACATCGGCAACATCCCGATTCTGAATTTGTAGTCCCTTTCCTTCCCAACTTTGTTTCTATCAGAGTGACCTCTCTTGCCTCTCGCATTCTGTCAGTCTGCACCTTGATTACTGTGTTACCGCATGAGCCAATTTATATTCTGTTCCTAAATGTCAATAATATTCATCCGAACATCCAATCCTTTAATGTCGCAAAAACCAATTCCTAAAGTACCGTTTTGTGTACTTTTGCCTGCGCCTTTTTGTTGGCTTTTTTCATTAGCATTCAAAGGGTATGTCGTCAACGCTGTAGTACTGATGAGAAATGGAATCCTCTGTGACCTTGACAACGCGCAGGCCAGATTTGTCCTCTCCAGTAGGCATGCCCCATGCTGACGTCACCACTTCCTCCATACCTTTGTAGAGTCCCCCTGCGTTGCGATGGTAGTGACCGCAGAAAATAATACGCACTCCTACATTGACAAAACAATTCAAACTGATTTTAAATGAAGCTTTTGTTACCGTTGATGCTCAACATAAAATAACCGTGTTCCAATTTGCTGTGAGATCAAGATGAAATTAAAACTGCCAACATAAAGAAAAACATACAGTATTAAGTTGTTGACACTTTGAACAATTACCAGCTGTGAGGAATCTCTCCAAAACGGGCAACCTGTGAGTAATGGGTATGTTGAAATATCCATCGTCTTCATCTGGACTTTTGATAAACCATGGAGTGTGCTGGAATATTACGAGGTGTTTACATCCAGATGCCTGGACGTCTGTCACGAGGAGCAAAATTTGTAGAGGTAAGTTTTTTGTATTGTCACAAAAACAAGTGAGAAACGATCTGCAGATTTTTTCAACAAAATAAGTCAGTGTTAATACAAAAATAGGCCATCTGACAACCTTCCCATAAATGAACCAATCAAATGTCTGTGTATCAAAGAAGCATGACGTGATTGAGTACAGTGACAGCGGTTAAGGAGCTCATTTTTTCTGCTGCGTGGGTAGCCTGACGCAAGTAAGGTTTTTTAGTGTGTGAGTAAACAGCCTTGCTCGTCCTGCTTCAAAAGTCCAGATTTAAATCATTCACGACCACCCACATACCCGCTAACTGCTCGTTCAGCCACAAATCCTGTTCATCCCTTGCCTCTTGACATTTACTCGAATCCACATACAGTTGGCTGTTGAGAACAATAAACCGCACCCCTCCCACCCAGAACGCGTAGAAGTCATCACCGAACGTGTCCCGGTACAACTTGATGTCTTCCATGGACGGGGTGTCGCTTAGTTCGTGATTTCCCGGTAAAAGCAGGAGAGGGATTTCGGGATGGAGGTTGTTGAATACTTCCGTAAAGGAAGCCTTCTGCTCGTCTCGACCCGGGCGAGCTGGCAGAAGGGTGAATGGGAAGTTCTTTAGACGGGAAGATGTCTGTCATCACAAGGAACTCCAGAAATAAATATATGTATAAGAAGTTGAGGCTGAACAAACGATTTTATTTTGTTTTGCACCGACAGAGGGCTGCCAGGCACTTGCAGACGCACCGAAGTATCATTAAAAACCTTATTATTGTTCAGTTGCAAATGATGTTGATCCACAAAACGACTGAAATTCTTTGCAGATTTACAGAGGTGATTTTTTCCATATAAAGTCTTTGCGTTGTAGCCATTATGCATGCATTTGTTTTGTTCCACAGGCAAACCTCCCTTTTGCATACGATGTACAACAAAATGCACTGGCCTGCAACATGGCAGCCATGCAAACCCGCTTTAGGTATTTGTGGACGCTTTCCTATAATAGTGGCGAATGGGGACTGAGGCCGCACCCCCAACAGACATAACTCACACAACCCACAAGACATCGTACCTGGCATTGCATCGAGCATATCTCCAAGGATGACAACGAATCGTGGGCGTGGCTTCATCTTATTAATCTTGTCGACGCCCCTTCGAGTCAGCTCCACCTCTTCCTTCCAGTCCAGCGCACCTGGTTTATTCCAGCGAGCGATCAGACCATACTGGGGGTCGGCCGAGGCGATAAACGTGAATGGTCCCTGCCACGTGCCCTCGTGCTCTGATGGGATTTGAACAGAGGTACACATTATTTATTTTAACCCTGCCACTGAGGGTCGTGGGAGAAGCCAGCCCTTGATATTTTCTTCGATATCGTCGCTTTCAAACCCTCACACTGACAAACTTCGAATAATTTATCCAACTGAAGAGCAAGTTACTATAAGGAGACAGGTTTTTAATAGGCCTACGTAAATTTATGCTAATTAAAAAGTACAATGCATAGGCCTACCTGAACTTTGTGTATATAACCCTCTGCCAATTAATCCTATTCACAAGTCGGCCACATTGAATTGAAAGCGAGGTTAACTTTTATTTCGGCAATTAGAAATAGAAAATGAAAGCACTGGAGTAAAACTGCATTACAACTCAGTGTCATTTATGTTTAATAGTTTAAAATGTGGGATTTATTATAATTATCTTAATGTTTTCAGCCACATTTGCAAATATGAAAGTTATACAGTTAACCCAAAATAGTCCCTTTTAACAGACTAAATTGAATAGGATAGATTCGGGGAACGTGACCAGAAATGGTTTCCTTGTGAATAAGGTTTATTGATAGTATTAAGCCGTGGCCCAGGGTTGCTCTTCTGGGGAGGACTAGTTTACATCTTAACCATCTTCAACCATGGGAGTTACATTCTTACTGGTGAAAGAATAAATCAAATGAACCGTCCGTCAGTCCCGTGACAGGCCCCTATGCTAATAGGTCGGTGTGTTCCTTTACCCAATCAGTTCCTGGTGTCAGTGAGCGTCAGTCCTACTTTGAACTTGAAGATCTGGATCTTTTACTACAAAAAAATATGTTCGAGTCAACAGTTCCTCTCCACTGCTGTTTATGAGAGGGGGTATTCGGAACACCGCTTTATTACAAACCAAATATGATGCGTCATGTTCCCACAGCAGAATGTTCTAGAGTTCAAGGGTTATCGGGAATCTGGATTAACTCGGAGTAGGGGGGGGGGAATATTTACATGATGGCACATTATACGCTTTCCAATATAAAGCTATATTCTGTGTCAAGTGTCGGCGTGAGACTCCATCAAGTGACACCGTATAAGGGTAGTATGCTTCGGACAGAGATACTGTTCTACCATGTCTATCGTAAAGCAAAATAAAATTTCGGCTGCATTCACGCATTACATAGATTACCTCGGTCAAAGCCTTCATACTGACGGCTTTTAGCACGAATTCTCAGCTGATCTGCGCCACTGTTCCCTGCCATTCTCAACTGTCCAATAGCTTCTCCTTTATTTGGTGAAGTTCAGTCAGTGACTAAGCCTCCATTTTGTCGATAGCAAGCTAGCTTTGTACATGAGTACGGACGCACAGTAGTGCAGACTAGACACATGTACATGAGTAGACTGTACATTCATGCATGGAGGTACTCCATGATTCATGTAACGATGCCCCTAAAAACAGACTAGCTACCAGTCCCTCCGCAAGTACCTCAGCACAACCGTGAATTTAAAGCCTTGAATTTATGCAGGCTTCCATTCATGTGAGAGTTGTGAAAGTGTGTAAGTTGATAGCGGCTCATGATGTTGGGTCAAGTTGTCTGAGATACGCAAGAACAAATTTCCTTTACAGTAGGCACGTCTAGACTCTGTATGTTGGCGTCTTCTCTTTATCACACTGCGTTGTATGTTTGCCTAAAAACTGCTGAAAAATATTTTTTGTTAAATATACTTCACAAAGTGATAAAAATCTGGCGCAAAGCGTGGAATCTCTTTCTCTTTAAAATTACCTCTCCCTATGCAGGCCTGTGTCGAATAAGCCATTTGCGAGTTAAATTTTGATAAAATCTGGTACACTGAGTTCTTTAAATTCAAGTGAACTTAAATAACTTGAATTCTCCATACTAAAACCACTATTGCTATACCCGGGATTCGGGGCAAGCTTTTGCTTAGTTACATAAGAGACGCCTTACAACAATACACTGTTCTCAGTGGATAGGAACGGCACAAAGGAACCAGTCCATTCCAGAGATGGTGGTCGCTATGCGAAAGCTTGCCCCGAATCACGAGATATAGCAACAGTTTCTTTAGTCTGGGGAATTCATATTGTTACGTTTCTGTGCAATCAGATAACAAAGTGTACCAGATTTTATTCAAATTTAACTCGCAAGTGGCTTATTGGCCGTAAGACTTTCAGTTCGGTCTATTTTATACATGAAAAAGGTTAAATATAAATTTTGTAGTATTGTACTGAAACAAATCCGCCTCAAATGAGTCAACATCCTAGGTGCGTTACCTCGTTTCTATTTTCCGCAAATGCTTGAGATAGCTGAATATATAATACTCCACCGAGTCCACTGGAAATGGCTTGCTGGCAGCTACGTTGACCTAAAGCTCAAATCACTAAATAAAGAGGGTGCCTGGCGTTTCGATAGCAGAATCTTTCTCTGCAGCAAAGATTGAGAGAGAATCTGAAAGGGCCAAAAGCATTGGGCCCTCTTATTTTTCCGATGACCAAAATACTCATATATATGCACATGCACAGTTTTCAAGTTGTACATGTACTTATAATTAAGCCAATAGTGCGGAACGTTGAACAACGGGGCAGAGTATTAACTTTATTGACACACGACTGGTTCAAATCGATGACACCAGAGGTCTACTGGCACAACAGGGGTGTATTCGACACCCCGTTCTCGTGTTAGACGAATACGAGAACGGGGGGGGGGTTCGAACGGGGAGAATCAACATCGTTCACGAACAAGATTCTCACTCCACACTTTCTGGGAAATGCATGGATGAAGAATACCAAGAGCAAAGATGGCGGATATAGGCACATACCGTAACTTAATGTTGGTTTTGTTACTCACAATAAGGAAAATATAACCCAGGGAAAATACTCATGGCTATCGGAGAGAATTTACTCTGACCATTTTATATGGATATTTACAGATTTATTTAATGTATATGGTAAATGTCATGCCATCGTTTCATTTAGTGCACTTCAGCGTTCGTAATCAACGACCCAAGAACAATGTTCATGAGTCCCGGGAGACTGGGGTTTCGAATACACCCCTTGAATTCAAGTCTAGTTTCCAGCATGACGCCTATGTCTGCCTTCGTTTGTGAACCAATAGTAAACAGTGCTACGTGTGAGGCCGTGACCTTCAAAGATTGAGTTTTGATTGAAGGTCGTAGGTAACCGGCTCTGGTAGTGTTGCAGTTGCACTGTGAGAAACCCATTCAAAGCATTGTATGTTATCACTAAAGACCCTTATGTACATGTGCGGTGCTTTCAGTATCATTGCGCGAGCCGAGGCGACAATATTAACGCGCAATGTGCACTTGCTCTTGGCTCACTGACGGATGTACGGCCATGTTCACAACGAGAAGTAGGTCCTGTCTTGCATGAAGTTGATTTTGCTGTGGAGGTGTTTCTTTGGGAACTAATGTTATACGGACCCTACTTTCATTGATGAACTAACAACACTGTCAATATTAAGCATTTGAGAAGACATGAATGTGTTTTCTGAACGGCGGATGACCATAGGTGTTACAACCTGTGTGAATCGCCTATACACTTCTTTCAGTGTCATCCATACTGATAGTTACAACAGTCTTTGCAAACTTTGTTCTAATTTCAGTGCTCCTCGGAGTTGTGTCCTAACTTGATGGTGCTGAGGTGGTGCGTTGAGACATGGGAGACCAGGTGGGTGTTTTGATGTAATCTACTCATGCGTAATCATAGACATTATCGTAATAATTGCGGACCCCCCGTCCACGAACCACAATGTGCGGCACCATTAGTGGACTATGATACTGAGCACAGTGCACATGTAGTGTATGCCCATAAAGATTTATAAAATTCACTTTCTTATACGCTCCTGAAATTCTGTCAGGGTATATAGCCCTACTTGGAATTCTTACGAATAGAAGAATTATAATGTTGTTTTTAACGTCTAGTATGGATTCTTTGGAAATTCATTCCATGCATTCTTTTTTCAATCTTACCAGCCAATGAGCACCGGCGCAGACTCAGCCACAATGAGCACCGGCGCAGACTCAGCCACAATGAGCACCGGCGCAGACTCAGCCACAATGAGCACCGGCGCAGACTCAGCCACTGAGGTAGGAAAAGCCTATTTCATCTTTCAAATTAAGGCTAATTAAACACTGTCTTCGAGCTAATTACAGGATCACGCAAAAAATCCCCTCTCAAATAATTACTTTTTGTCTAACGGGATTCGCAAACAAGTATTTCGCAGTTTTAAAATACTACGTGAAGTGTGAGATTATTTCTCAGTTGATAATGTTCAGATCTGATCTCTTATTATGGTCTTCTATACACTAGAAGGGGAAGGAAAACTTTCGGGCAGATCATCATCTCCAATTTCCTTATAATCCCCCACCCCTCATAGCGTTCCCTATTCTCACCTTGCTACCCCCCTCTCCCTAATCCCTTCTTCCTACCCTCCTATTCCTATTCATCCTCGATGATAATAATAATAAAGATTTACAGAGCGCACAGATCCACCAAGGTGCTCAAGGCGCTAAGCCATCAGTGATGCTCGAAATGATATGGAATATCCAGAACATGGAGAAATAAATGTTTAGATTGTCAATTCTTGGATTTATGCCACCATTTGGCATCCCACAATATACACTGAGATAAAAGTTTAATTACTTTATGGTAAAAGATGTCAATGCTAGTCGTACCATAGTTGTTCTATGTTCGTACAGAGTCAAGTAAATGAACGAAGCGAGCAGAAGGCGTCAAGAGGAAGTGGCAGACGAAAGGACGACGACGCCCTCTGGCAGCTGGCTGGAGAGCTTGGAGCGAGCTGGAAGCCGATTGGCCGGAACCTCGGTTTCAAGGAGCCAAGGCTTGAGAACCTGGAAATGGATCATTCCTTTGATGCTCACGAGAGGGCGTACCAAATGCTACTAAAATGGAAGAATAAAACTCCCCCGCCTGCCCGAGGCGACAAACTACGCAGTGCCGTCGAGATGGCAGGACGACTGGATATTATGCCACTCGTGGAGAAAACTCTTAAATTCCTTAAGAAAGACTGAAATATCAGGTCTATTAGATATCAGACTGGCTTCCTGGATGACTGTGATTTACTGGTTAAAAGAGCAGGGGGGTAATAACTAACCGAGAAAAAAAAGATTGTTTGTTATCCTATATGTATCACCAAAATATCAGGTTTCTAGTGTATAAGATGTGTTGGCTTCAAAAGTGGGAAGACCCTTTCTTTATTCGCCACTAAGTTAGGTAAATTAAGGCAAGTTTGGAAAGGAGGAGTAACTAGGGCACCTGTTTTTTTTATGTAATTAAACACAGTAACTTATGCAAATTTTTCAGTAAAGGGGTTAAAAAGAAAATAAGCACCCCAGCCCGTATTTTGCACATGATGCATCACACTCTAACAGATCGGACATCCTCTCAAATTTAACTTCCAATTCCTCGACATATACTGTAAACGTCAGCGGATAGTTTGGAAAGTTCTCAGATAAAAATGTTTTTTACAATGTGGTGTTGAATAAATTTTGTAACCAGTAAAGACCAGGATATCATACCCTTTTTAATAGTGAGTCAAGCTCGAAGCAAGCACAACTCTCGTCTTGCCTTACCACGACAGGTGCCTCATTAAGTTCAGTCCAACGAACGGTGCGCCCATCAACTGTCTCTGTTTATTGCACATTTGGCGAAGCAGCGTATCCAGCTTTAAGTGTCCGGGGGTTGCAAATGCGGCTTAGGGCTCGTTAAACATGATGTTGTGGAGGAAAAATCAAATGCCTTACGATCCCGACGCGACATCCTTGCTTTCATTTGCTGGTGTTAATTTATAGGGTTTTGGTGCTAATTTTTGATAAATTAATATACCAAATGCTTTCTTTCCTACTCGCCTATAAAAAATTCTTAAAAAAATATTTTAAAACAAAAACAAAATCCGACCAATTAAACTCCATCAGGAGGACAAGTTGCCCCATTCCCCACCTGGTTTATTTCGGCGAACCGATGGGCCTTCGACAGCAGTCAAACATGAGTTAGATTTCCCCGCAATCTTTATAAAATTCATTGCGGCCGAAAGTGTTGAGCAGTTTCTCGCTGGGCGCGTTAAGTCGACACTATTTGACCAATGTAGTTGTGTCTGAGACCAACTGTGACGGAAATTTGTCACTTGGGTCAGGTAAAGTAGTCAGTTTGTGTTGATAAAATGTTGTGTGGAAAGTTTCCAAAGTATTCGTAATTATTCCTGTCCTAAATATACAACTAATTGAAAGCGAAATAAATAAGAGAACTTGAGAGAACTTCTAGTCATGTGGTGGCAAAGAGTAATGTTTTAATCTTACACCAACTTCAAACAAAAATAGATTTGCGTTTTAGCTACAAACGCGTGAGTGATCGGGTGCAATTTTTGTTAATGTTAACTTTCCATTTCGAGGTTTTAGACGTCATGATGACACCCCAAACATTTCAGGGGCAAGCTGTGATTCATCTAATAATCGCTTGGTAGATGTATACATACCTGGGGATAATGTACATGTACTTGAAACGAGGTGTAGAATTGAAGGCATAAGATCACGTGCTTTATTGTTACCTTTGAATATTCGTTAAATTCTTGTAAAAGATCGGTTCCGACATTCAATAGAATATAGTTGCCTAGAGACATCACAACTTCAATGTACTTGCAAAATAAACACTTTTCCAATCTAACGATGTCACGATGATGCCATCGGGTGAAGTAGAGTATATTTTTTTCTGAAATCACTTGTTTCCTATACACCTAGCCAAAGGGACGTATAAGAAGCCCTCCAGTATGTTGCAGACACATAGAAAAGCTCTTCTTCTCAAGAAAATATTCACAACAAAAATTACAATGGTGTATACACTAAATCGTTAACAATAGTTTTATTCTTAAACGAATTTGAGATCAAGTGAAAGGATACATCCTCAATAAAAAAAACACTATAATCTCCAATAGGCTGTCCTATTGTTAATACAGTCGGCCTACCAATGATGATAAGAAAATTCGCCAAACTTGAGACTTTTGGAAAGGGTTGAAAAAATTTGAAGATGTTCGCATTAGGCGGGCATGGAAGGGCGTCCACAGCGATGAAGCATGCGGGAACTCACTTTCAGAGGGCGAATTTAGCGATCTCATTGTGTTGGTTTAAAGGAACAGATAAATTGCAGTCGGATGTCGCCAAAAGAAACAATTCGTTTTGTATATGCTCATGCTTGGCGTTGTGTCTGCACGCTGCAGTAAAAGGGGACCAGATACACGACTAGTTAAATTTTTGCCAACAGTGTGAAGTTCGAGTATCATGCTTCCGCTCCGTGCTGTGCAGTAAATTAGGTCACAACATAACACACTGCGTGTGCATGTGTAGGCCTACATATGTGTACATGTGTACACCTGTACATACATGTATATGCAGCCTTTGCAAAATCAGAAGACCACTATTTTTGTCAATACTTGTCCATCAACCGTATTAACAAAGATAAAAAAGGTAAAAATTTGGTCATGCAAAAAGATCTTTATGTTAGTTGGTAATTTTGGTGATTTCATGATAACATCATCAAAATGTTATATTTGATTTACGTAGTATAGACAAGGTCCAATCAACGCAAAGTTCGATGGGTCATAGGACCTCAATCACTGATTGTGTTTGTATAGCATGTGTTCTTGTTGACATGGTAATGAATTTGCTTTCAAAACAGTTCGAACATGTTCTTCAAGAAAGCTGAATGTACAATCAAAGAGCATGTTCAGACGTTGCAATGACGTTATCGTGATTTTTGCCGATGTTTAAACCTTCAAAACCTCATGGCTTTACACACGTTTTGGGACCAAAACCTTGGCAATATCCCAAATTGGTATAATCATCAAACCAGGCCAAATGCTTTTAACAATGTGCTCCATGATTAATGAGGTGACAATTAGGTCATTCTGAAATTAAAAAGCTTTTAAATTCGCTTACAAATTCCATTTGCTTTATAAACACTTTTCTAACTAGTATTCTTTGTAACTAGTGCGCTTCTTTTTCAAAAGCTGAAAATCTGCAAAAGAATGTAAAGCAGGCTATTTTGGTGTGGTTTTTTTTTTTTTACCAAACTCGATCTGTATCTGTCAGTATCGTCCTGCTTGGTTTGTATGTCTACAATAATAACAGTGGTAGGTAGCAAGTTGCAAATTAAGACTAGCTGTTGCATGCGATGTATATGCATTGCTTTGTACCTTCTATGATCTGCAATATTTCTTCAAACTGACCAGAATGGACAAAAGGGTGACTAGTGGTAGACAAGTACAAGCTCTGTCTATCATTTGTGGTATTCCCTTGAAGCTGTCACACCCACAATTGTAGAAATTTAGCTTCTGCTTCCTTGCATTCTGTCTCGACATCAGGTCCCGATGGCAAATAAGGGCGAGAGAACCTTCAAGGAAAAATTAAATTAAACAATCATTAGAAATGATGTCACCAATTTTCCAAGTGAAACCATATTGTTTGAAAAAGGCATTCACTTGGCAATCTTGGCAATTTATTTCAGTTGTAGGGTTGGCAAGGTTAAAGTTTTGACATGGGTGAATTTTTTTTCTAGTCAGAGTGAAATTTAAGCAACTTGGTTTTGACGCGAGGTTGTGCCACCTGAATTGGCGAGGTGGGAACTGGGCTTATCTCTGGCCCACTGAACCATTTCGGCAACGTTCGTGCCAGGTTACGAGGGAAAGTTTATTACCACGATTCAAATGTTTGCACCTGAGTGCCTTTCCATTAAAGTAAAAATCACATTATACTAACAAAAGGAATGACACCCTTCTCCGAGTATGACTGACTACTGATGCTGAAAATGTAATTAAGCAACCCACCTGAACGTCTTAAGAGAAGTGTGTTTCTGACAGCAGTTAAGCATCTTGATGAAGTCCTTTGGAAACATCTTCGTGTAGAGGAAGCTCAGGAATTTCAGGTGTTGCAGCTTGTGCATTTCAGTCGTGAATGCCTCCACGGTCTGCTCAGTGCATGGCGAGCCTTCTTGGGAGGTGGATGATGGGATTCCCGATATTCTCAGATCAACCAACTGAGGTAAGCTTGATAGCGCCGAGGCAAAGTACTGAATCACTTTGTCTGGGATTGGAGAATGTACAAGGTCAAGGTGCGTCAATCCATCAGACACGCCAATCGATGTCTGCAAGTTCTGAAGTCCACCTTCGCTGACCTCGTAGAGTGAAAGTCTTAGTTCTTTCCAAGTTTTTCTCATATTGTCACAAATGGACTGAATAACCTGATCGTTGGTGTTCTCATTCCGTCGCAAATCTAGTTTCCGAAGGCAAGGGTACCCGTCAAGCTTCTGCGTGAATTCTACCATTGCTTTGGACGCCATATTTGATTTGTCCAAGATGATATTTTCCAAATTAAGCATCGGAGGAAGGTTTTTCACGAAACCTTCCCCCAGCTCGTTTCCCGCCATCTTCAAGTATTTCAGATTTGGTGTGGCAGTCAGGGCGGTTGCCAGCTGAGCTGATTGGTCGCATGTGAGGTCATTCAAACTCAGAGTCAGTCGTGTCATCTGGGCAAATACATCATTTTGTATCATCTTGAACAGGACATCCCAGTCTTTGCGGTCTGCGCGCACTCCATTTAAGACTAGCTCGTCCAATGAAGACTCCTCTAAGCCAGAGAGGACAAGGCCTAGGCTAAAATCCTGCATTTCCTGCTGGCTCATTTCTTGCCAAATGGGCGCCACTGCCGAAAACGTCAGGTCGTCGCGACTGTCAAGATAACTTGGTATTTTCCGTTCACTTGTTTCTAATTTCTTCCGGACACTGACTAGGTCACGCTGACTCACACTCTTTCTCATGAACTCGCTGATTGCCTCCTCCGTTCCAGGATAACAGTTGAGGAATTCTCTGAACTGTGTGCTGGAATCTAGCTTGATGCAGATCAGCTGCAGACTCCTCACAGATAAGACACATCTGTCTTCAGGCTCTCGACATAACTTGCACTGAAAGGCGTGCGCAAAGAGGTACCCTAGAGCTTTAGCCACATAACTCGACATCTCAACCAAACGAACGCAACCGCTTACACCAAAGAGGGAGTTAAACAGATGGTTGAACTGACCTTCACTCTTACTCTCGAAGTTCAGCTGGAGACATGTTTCGAGCAGACGTTGTGTTTTCTGGCAGAACTTGAAATTAAGTTGCCCACTCAAGTATAGTGAGATGTTTTTGCCTTGTGTTTCTTTGAGTAAGTTTATCACGTGCGAAACAATCCGGCCAGAAGCCTCCATGCTTGCAGCACAGGCGAAGACCAAAATGTTAGTGAAGTCCAAGACTCGCTGATCGTTGTCAACCTTTTGAAGGTAGTTTGTGAAAGAGTCTTCGTCACCAGTCTCCAGTAAATGTGCCAGATACTTCCCGGCGCACTTTTCCTGAATGCTCTTCAGGATGAAGGAAATGTCTCCCCTGTGTGACTCTGTCCGTCCTTCCAGCTGGAGTTCTTCAAGCGTCTGAGGTCGAATTCTCGAATCTGCGTCCCTTGTAAGCAAACCTATTAGCAAGCCTTGCTCGATGACATTTTTCTTGTCGGAACAACAGGTAAAGTCCTCTTCACAGAAGTGCAACTCCTCTGAGACACCGCCAAGAAATCCTTTGAGGGCGACCTTTCCCAGCTCAAGAACTAATTCGTCTGGACCTGAAAAGCCCACGTCTCTGCTGGTTTTCAGTTTTGCATGGTCAAACATGCATTCGATCAGTCTGTCGAACAATTTGCTGATAGTATTCAAGTATTTGAAATCCTGTCCATCTGTCCATTTGGTCAGCTGACAGAAGGCTGTCAGCATTAGTGGAATGCATGCCAGGCCTTCTTTCAAATGATTTTCTTCGAGGTACGCCAGCAACTTATTCCCCAACGGTGTGTTCTCTTTCTTAAAAACTTTGTGGACATAGTCATCGATGTCTGTGGCTGTGAAACCTGTTATCTCCAGGTGACGGTAGCTCTCATAGTCGTCCTTGAAATCATCCACACGCCCTGGCCGAGTGGTAACAACAACACGACATTCAGTCAGCCATTCACCTCGGAGCATCTTCACAATGTTACCACAATCTGCTTGGTCAAGACCTTTTCCCTTGAACTCATCGTATCCATCCAGGAGGATAACCACTTCTTCGGGGTGGTCTTCACAGTACTGCTCAACTGCAGCTGGGGTGATGCGACGCTCACTTGGAAGCATGTGATCTCGCACTGCCTGACCAAGATTGCTGTGTTGATCCAGCTTGCGCATGGGCAGAAAGAGTACGACGTCGTAGTTGTGTAGCAACGCCTCAGGCTTGCCCATGGCCCAGTCGTAGGCGTACTTGGTCAACAAAGTTGTTTTCCCACTGCCAGTCCGGCCCCGCATGAGAATACGCGCGCCACAGAAATCGATAAGACCTTCGTCCTCTCTAATCATGTCTGTGAAAATAGCGTTGTACGACTGAAGGGGCAGTTTAATGGGGAAATACGCATCCATGATGCTGATGAGGAGTTGGACATTGGCGAAAACCTGGTCAACATTAATGCATTCGGTGGTAATCCATGGTACAAGAGGAAGCTTGCTCATCTTCAAACGGACAAAGTTCTTCAGTTTCTTGATAAAATACTGCTTATTGAGTTCTGCACTCCCACTGACACCTCCGGGAGATGGACCAGAGCCTGTAAATGAACACAAAATGGACAGAAAGAATCAATAAATGATGCGCCATATTGGAACAAAGTTCTTCAGTTTTCTTGAGAAACTCTCCTTCTCCAGTTCTGCATCATGAGCTGCAAACAAATGACAAGAAGTTTGATATAAAAGCCAATGTTGGTTCCAAGGCCCATCAAGCTTGGCTCAAAAGCAAACGAAAACGTGAATTTGTGACTTCAGATCAAACATTCCCGGTGCGAATTTGCCACAATTTATTTATCACTTTTAACTCGAGCCAATTTAGCTGAAGATAATGCTTTTGACGTCAAGTTCGCTTCCTTTCGCGTTTGCCTGAAGATTAATCTGGCGTCTAGGTAGACAATTACAGTTATAATTGCAGGAGATCAATTGGTTCAGTGTTCTCTTCACACCCCATTGAATACATGTAAATCACAAGGTGTTGCTTGGTGCAAATGTTCACCATTGGCAAAGGGAACTCAAGCTATTCTAGCCACAACGCTAAAGCTTGTTTAATACTTCAGCACTCCAAGTCTCTGATGTAGATATTTTTTCCATGTCACGTACGTGTAACGTTTACAATCAAAGGTATCAGATCGAGCCTTTCTTGCTTTTGAACAGCCCTACACAGTTGCTCGTTGCACGCAGTCTGGTCTGTGGTGTTCTTCCATCTCAGCAGCATTTGGTACGCCCTCTCGTGAGCACTGGTAGGATAATCCAGGATCAGATTCTCAATCTTCGCCTCGCTGTAGCCCAAGGACCGAGCAATAGGTTTCCAGCTATTTCCAAGTTCACCCGCCAGCTTCCACAGGGCCTCGAAATGGCTTCCTTCAGTCGGAGTCTGATGTTGCCCGTCATGCTCAGCCATTTCTTTCTAAACAAATGGCGATATACGGACAGTAAATTTTGGTTAATTTATTGGCTATGCTTTGAGACGAGCCCGAGCAAGTCTAAAAGAATGGAGAACAAAAAGAAGCTCGGTCCAAATAAAGGAAATGCCGATCAAGAGAGTCTATAGTTTTAAAAGATCCTAAAGTTCATCTCTCTAAATCAACAATTAAGGGAATCCATCATGCATTGTGTACAAAATTCACTTTGTCTTCAGTATAGTCCGTATTACGCGACAGAAAACAATTTTGACCAATGAGAGAATGTGCAAATTGTCGCAAAACAAATCGATCCCAGACGTCAGCACTTGTCCTTGGTGACCTTTTTCCGCAAAGAAAGGACACGCTTTTGCTATATTTGCAGGAGGAATTGCTAAAGAACTGTTTCGAGAATGGAATTCAGGGGGATTTTTATGTTACACCTTTAATAATCGCGCCAGTAGACTAATGGTCAGTGAGGAAAAGAAATTCTTGTTTCTTTAAATTAAAATTTAAACAAATTGGCTGGTAAACATGGGAAAAGTAATCCGCTGCTTAAGCCTCGAAAAAGTAAAATTAACCATCAGTATATGGAATAGTTGTTGTCAATGCCCCCAACAGCTTGGCACAAAAATCTACGCTCAGGGCGGACCCTGGGCTACCAAAGGTCCGCCTACGCGCCGCTACCCCCCCAGTCCCTTCGTTTCAAATACATGTAATATGAGACAGGTCGATTTGTCGGTCTATTTCATGCCCCTTCCTTCAAAAAACGCGCAAAAAACCCTAAAATGTAACCTCACCCATGAGAAAAGCCATGCTGGGCCATTGAACATACCCGATAATTCCGCTCAGAAAATGGTTTTCGTGGCACCCGACTCAGAACCTCACACAAACTTGTGTAACGGTAGATTGAAGCAACGGGAATCCAGTCACGGTGAATGTTGTCATTCCGACAAAAGGGTACCAAAAAGTGAAATTTGACTTTACAATCTGCGGTTTCCCGTGTACACCGTAGCGCATTTTGCAAGTATGGGAGGTAACAATGTTATTCCCGTTACTAGACCTGAAGGATCTGTCTACATGTATCCCCCTTTGATTTCATTACGAGTCATCGGGGATCTTCACGTCTTGAAAACAGACTAAAGCAAATCGACAAAAAGGGCCTGACTTTACCTACGATCACGTAGGCCTATAGCAAGAACAATCTCAAAAGTAAACGACATGTGTTCTGTCTCAGGCATACCACGTACCCAGCACCTGGACAGAAAAAATGAGAAATAAATCGCGTCGGCACACTGTTTATTAAAGCCACATTTGTCCTTTTTGGCCGTCCTCAATTGGGAAAATGCATTGAGTTTGCGCAAAATAAGACGAATTTAAAAACCGGATTTCTCCCCTTAGTACCCTTTTGTCACAATGACAACAACAACCAGTGAATTTTCCGTCGTTCAAACTTTGCATATGTGAATTTTTTATCTAGTTCCAAGATGGTTGACACGAGATGACAGAAAAAACGGGTGCGTTTCATGGGCGTACAAGAAAACAAATCCTAATGCCCCCCCCTCACCTCCCCTTCGAAAATTATGTTCAGGGTCCGTCTTGGTTCTCACTGAAGCGTCGGCAGTGCATTACAATAATTCGACATTTTTTCCGTGCAAAGTTGAACCTAGGCCACGGCTCATTGCTCTTCTGCGTTAGACGATGACCGGGACTTCCCCACCCTGCGTTGTTATTGCAACAGCGTTGCTATGCTGCTCCAAGCTGTGTTAACTTGGCCGTTTCGAAACGTGTGTAATATCTGCCAAGTACGGATGGGGAAGTTCAACGTGACGTAATAATGCAGTCGGGATGATTGCCTGCAGTTCTACATGTTGCATGTTGGGTTAAAAGATACCTGTGCATTTTGGCCTGAAATTTAAGTGGTTCATTCTGACTTGTGTAACCCCCGTGCGTTCAGAAATATCCGTTAGGGAAATCCCTGGATGTGACATGCTTTTCAGAATTAGTAATTAATGTGTACTTTTGTTACAAAGGTTGTCACTACATGACTTACAGACAGCGTTTACAGCTCTTGTTACCTGAACCCACTCACCTTCTTTCATGCATACATTGGCTCATGGGATCAGTGTTTTAACAGGCAGTGACGTTTCAGCCCCTCGTGGAAAATCCCTCATTGTACAACCTGGAATGTCTGCATTGTGAAGGGACGAGGGGTTGATTATTCTCCCGTCAGTATTTCAACGTTTACAGAACTGTGTACATGTGACGTGGTGTGACGAGAGAATCGTTTCAGTTCCAGCAGAAATACAGGACCTACTCACGACATGAAAATATGTAACGTGTGACTTTTCTGTTCATCGGTAAAACCATCATTTCATCGTGTGTCTCCTGCATTCACCGTCGGTACAGAGGTAGGCTCTCCACCCAGAATCTGCTTTCCTCTCAAAGACCACGAGAGCATATCCGGACCAAAAGAAAATGACATCGCAACAGCTTGTTCCATAGTTGCATAATGTTCTAGTTCATGCGATACAGGCGTTGATTCAAGGGCGTATACGTAGTCATGTGTCATCAAGGTCCGTGGTGTCACGGAGGTCCACGGTATGGCGACTTGTTTACGTTGCTACGTACGTACTACCAATGAACGAAGGAAAAGACTACGGAGCACCGAGTGTGCCAGGTGAGTTCGGGAATTTTTTATCTATAAGCATCATACCCCACACTTTAAATGTGACTTGAGCAGTCCTCAATTTCTGCAGCATGGGTGAGGGCGTCTTAAACAGCTTGATGCTGTTGGCATCAGCTGGAGATGAGGCTAAGAGCAATTCACGAGAACAAGCAAAGGCCTTTCCCAACTTCCAGTCACTTTATCTTTCGTGACTTTTATTTTAAAAAAGGAATTAAAAATAAAGAGTTATGGAAGGAATAAAAAACTAAAGAGTTAAGGAACTCACGATGGTACCATCATGCCTTGAGGTAAACATTCGTTTTGTCAATGGTACCGCTTAGGCTACGATGAATGCGTCAGCTTCCTGAGGTAACCAGATAATTAATGTCACAATCTCCGACTCGGATGGCAACTCTAGTGCTCTGTAGGTACATATTATTGTTATTGCCATACAATGCCTCTGAGGTACATGGATGAATCAATAACACAAAATGAAAACAAGTGCAAAGGTCACAATGCCAGGTATAAACTCAGCAGCAATGCAACAGCAACGATAAAGCTAGTACTAAACCTGAAATCGCTGTTAATAATAACACGTGCAGGCTAGTGTTTGGCCCACACAGCGTACGCCGACCAAACAAGAAAATTTTGCTTTTGCGCGCCTTTCAATTCCTTGCCCATAGACACTTATTGGGCCCGTGATTTGAAGGTCTGTGAATGAAGGACAAGGGTGGAAGTTGTGAACTTATAAATATTCTGTTTTGCAACAGATTGAAGTCATTTTAAACTCCCTATCGACGGACTTGGGACTACTTTCAGGGGGTTGTCAATTTGAAGGAATTTTTCCTAAAGGTCTCCAAATTACAAAAAATGCAGACCTTCAAAGCAGGTGAAAAGATCTTAATTGGTGTGTCAAAGCCACTGACAACTTGTGACTACATTTTGTACTCACTGTCATAAAGTGAGAATATTAATCTTACCGTTTATTCATGAGTCTTTACCCTGAGATCTGGGATAGCAGCTATAGCAAGGCCCTCTTTGGTAAGAACATTTTCTGTAAATAACACATACTACCAAAACTAATACTTAAGGAAATTAAGTTTACTGTCAATGCCAATATTCATTTTCACAAGTTTTATGTAAGAAAAGGTTAGGGCATTTATTTTAACAAGTTTGTTTTTATCGATGAACAGGCATATTCATTGCAATGTGAAAGGAAACTTTCAGAACACTTTTAAGGAGATACATGTAGGTATAAGGCCCCACTGTTTTCCAGTTTCCCATCAATTTTGCACATGTTAATTGAATAAAACCTGAACGCAGTCCCCTCATTCCATATTGGAGTATTTTAAGATTCCAGGTTTCAGCTATCAAAACAATATTTTGTTTTATTACACAGGAAAAGAAACTCGATTTGTTTGCCATTTGGTTCCAGAAGCTAGCACATGGTTCCTTTCCCAACAACCAAACTGAAACATATATGTACTTTTATTTTCGTAAACTATAGGTCTGCAAAACTGATACACTACTGCTATGCACCAGGCATTTGAAATGCATTTCAATTTGTTATTACATTCTGAGTGCACTACTTGTTTCATTTATGTAATCAGACAAAATCTCAACTACCAGTAGTCCAAAATGTGGTTATTTGTCATTTAAATAAAGGCAAATATTTGGCCAATTGGAGTCATCAATAAAGTCAAGAAAAGCTACAGTTTCGGAAGAAAAAATCCTGAATGATGTAACATTTCAAAATAAGTACATGCCAAATCAAAGATAACATTTAGGAGGCATTTTGACCTGAAAAAAATGAGATTTTCTTACAAAAAGAATTGAGCGAATTCCAGATTCTGGGTTAATTTGACCTAGGTGTTTTAATTAAAGAGTAGGAAGGCACCTTCCAAATTAAGCCACAGAACTCTTTTGATTGTAATGAAGCTCATCTGAATTACTGTAAATGTTAATATTTAGGAAAGTGTTTGTTCAGACTTGTCAAAATTACTCATCCTGTTATTACATTCGTTTGCTTGCCAAAAATATACACTTGGGGCTTCTGCCCCTGGCGTTAAATTAGTTTTACGGCAAAGGGCAATAACTAACAGTAAAACAAAACAGATGCTGACATTTAGTTTACAACACACAGTCCCGCTTGTAAAGATCAGGTATCAAAATCAAAACGAACCTAACTTATACTAAGCATTATCAATAGCACTGCAAACTCGGAGAGATTAAGTACGTTATACACTATGAAACACTATACATTTAGTTACTTTCACACACTTTTCACCAAAATGCCATTTACACTGCTAGACATGTGCCCAATCTTTAACCCTAACCCTCCTCAATCCTTCACCTGTTGGAGGACTGAGGAGTGTTAGGGTTGAAACATAAGCCTGGGCCTCACAAGCGCAATATTTCTATACAGTTCATGCACGGAGAGAGATTGGGGTGCAAGACGGCTTCATCATAAACAACTTCAGGAGTGAGAGAAAATCGGGTTAAGCTCCTATCTACGATAGCGCTCTCATGCTCCTTCTGCAGCCAAGACCCAAGCATACCACACTTAGCTGTGTGGAACCTTAAGGTTGTCGAGCCATCTTTTCAAAAACAAATCCAAATTAGGCTTTCCTAGAGAATGCTTGATACACCATTTAAATGTATCAAAGGAATTAGCACAGCTCAACTGATCACTGACTTAGAAATAAGTTTTAAATATATGGTCTAACCCTACAAGAGCCGGAGCAGTATAAGCTCCCCCTTGGTATTTCTCCCCAATAACGCCGGAGTGCATTTTTTTCAGAAGTTTTAGAGTAATTCCTAGCGGTCATTTTGACACCACTTTAGTCAAAATCAAACTTATGGTTATCGCGCAGCGCCCATTTTTTTCGGAGAAAGGTCAGCCAAAAATATACTTGTTCCCGTCCCGTACGTAGTCTCCAGATGTCTTACAGACGTAGCCCGAAATATAGGAACCGGTAGCGGGTAATGAACCGGAGGAATCCTGCCGGTTTTATGTAAATGAGGACACGATACTCGCTCAGTGCACAAATCAAGCAGGAGCTGATAGAATATTTTGCCCCTTCTTCTTTTTTTAAATACCAAAATTAACTTCACCATAAATTGTCCATTCATCTACATTGAACACAATAACCACTGATTTGAAATAAATTGTCGTAAAATGATTTATCGATGATAATCATTGAAAAATGAATTACCGCACTGTAATTAACAGAGGATTATGACGGATAGGTACTTGTGTACTGTTTGCCTTAACGTATTTCATGATAAAGCATTGCTATCGGCCCGACAAAAATTTGAATAAGCCTACTCAGCATCCAAATTGACAGAGCTAATCGCATACGTTAAACTGCAACTTGCTACCGGTCCAAATGCGCGATGGCGGTGGATTGAAAAAACGAAACCGAGATATTAATTGTAACAGAAGTCGGGCTTATGTGAATCAAAGTGAGGTATCAACTGTTAGGTTTGAGTCTCCTCTTTTAAATGGCACCATGATCATATCGATACGTCCATGGTTGACTGAGCAGTGACCTATTTGATTCAAGGGTCCATTTAAGGAATTGTGCCACTTTCTTCACTGGCATTCAGTGGTCTTAACCATAACGTTATACTTGAAAATTAACCAGTGGGAGAGGAAAGCCTTGCAGTGAAGTTAACAAGTGGGTGAAATGAGACTTGCGGTAAATTTAACAGGTGGGTGAAGAGAAATTTGAAGTAAAATTAACAAGTGTGTGGGGAGGGGCTTTCAATTTCTTACAACACAAAAGCATTGCACGATTTTTTGCGTCGAAGTGGTTGCAGACAGGGAGCCTTGAGGAATTGGCAGATGCTTTTGCTGAAAACTGTCCAGGCGGGTCCTCTGCTGGCCAAGACGACGACTTGGCACGATGTTCGCAAGTATCAGCGTGAAGGAACCAGCTCAAACCTATCTTTAACTTTGCCTTTCACCCTGTGACAAAACTGACGCAAGAGTGGCGCGAGAAGTGGCGCAATTCCCTAAATAGACCCTAAAATTGGTCACTGCTCAGTCAACCGTGAACGTATTGATATGATGACCGTATCATTTTAAAGATGTAATTCAAACCTAACAGATGATACCGCCTGTTGATTCACATGAGCCCCACTTCTGTTACAATTAGCAATAATATCTCGGTTTGGTTTATGTTATCTACCCACATTACCACTACGGTGCTCAATTCCCACGCCGTGGCACCCCTGTAGCCTTGAACTTCAAATGACAGTAACACAACGAAATCCCAAATTGACTTCAACTCCACATTCGTGTCTTTACATGACACAGCCGAGTTCTGGGGGTGCAGTCCGCTCCCCCGCTGACTTTTTGAGCGTTACATTAAAAGTCTTCGCCTAACCTCTGCTGTCGCTTGTATTGTCGAGTAGCGATTACACCCACAGTCGTAAAAAGGTAGTTTCTGCTTCCTTGCACGCTGCTCCGACGTCAGAACCCAACGGTAAACAGACGCGAGAAAACCTTCAGAAGGAAAAAAGAACAAATATTTAAGATGAAGCAATTATGTAGACAGTTTTCAGGAAAATTAAAGTTGATATCTGAGCAATGGGAAGGATGGAAGCGGAGAGAGTTTGGCATAAAATTTGAATTTGAAAAAAAAAGACGGTGAAATTTTCCCTTAATTTGAAACTTGGCAGGCCGAATTCCCCACTTGAACACAAAATATCACATATAATAGCGACAGCTGCGAGAAAGTGTACATACATGACCATAAGACCACTGAAGAACCCTAACTTCAAAGTGTTATGTAGCATTCCAACTCGATAGGATCACTTTTACTCTAAAGCTACTGCCTGTCGATCACCAATGCCTGAACCTCAGGAAAGTAAACACCCACCTGAATGTCTTGAGAGAAGGATGCTTACGACAACTGTTGAGCATGCAAATGAAAGCTTCTGGTTCCATCTTCGTATAGAGGATGCTTAGAAATTTCAGATGTTGCAGCTTGTGCATTTCACTCGTGAATGCCTCCACGGTCTGCTCAGTGCACGGTGAGCCTTCTTGGGAGGTGGATGATGGGATTCCCGATATTCTCAAATCAACCAACTGTTTTAGGCCTGATAACGCTGGGGCGCAGTACTGAATCACTTTGTCTGGGATTGGAGAGTGCACCAAATTAAGATGGGTCAATTCTTTAGCCAGGCCGATTGATCTCTGGAAATTGTCGAGTCCAGCCTCACTTACCCTGTACAGCGAAAGTCTTAATTCCTTCCAGGTTTGCTGGCAGAGGAGACTGCCACAAATAGAGTGAATGACGTCATCGTCGATGTTCTCATTCCATCGCAAATCTAGCTTCTGGAGGTGAGGGTACTGCTTCATTTTCTTCGTGAATTCAATCATCGCTCCGGACGACAAATTCAAATTGTCCAAGACGACACTTGTGAGCTCAGGCAGCTCGGGAAGGTTTTCAACGAACCCTTCCCCCAACTCATTTCCAGATATCTTTAGTTCTTTCAGATTTGGCGTCGCCACCAGGACAGCCGCAAGCTCAGCTGTTTGCTGGAATGTGAGACCATTCAAACTTAGCGTAAGCTTCGTCATCTGGGCGAATAAACCGTCATGTATCATCTTAAACAAAACACTCCAGTCTGGGCATTCTGCAGTCACTCCGTTCAAGACCAGTTCGTCCAATGAAGACTCCTTCAACCCAGACAGGACAAAGCTCAAACTGAAATCCTGCACTTGATGCTTATTCAATTCCTGCCAGATGGGGAAAACGGCGGAGAAAGTCAAGTCTGAGCGATGACCAAAATAGCTTGGAATCTTCTGCTCACTTGTCTCCAATTGATGTAGGATCTTGGAAATGTTGGTCTGTCCCTCAGACTTCAAACTGTCTCTCATGAAGTTGCTGATTTCTTCCTCGGTACCAGGATAGCAGTTCAGAAATTCGCGGAACTGGTTACTGATCTCTAACTTGATGCAGATCAATTGTAGACTCTTGACGGATAGCGCTTGCTTTACTTCGGGCGGGCCGTAATCTCCACTTGCCTCTTGAGGGGTAAGACGTTGATAGCCATGGCGAAAGAGGTAGCCTAGAGCTTTAGCCACATACGTAGATATCCCAACAAGACGAACACAGCAGTTGTCACCAAAGAGAGAGTCAAACAGATGGTTGAACTGACCTTTACTGTTGCTCTCGAAGTTTAACTGTAGGCATGTTTCGATCAGCCGTTGTGTTTTCTGACAGTGCTTGAAGTGCAGTTTCGCGGTCAAGTACTGTGAGATGTTTTCATTTTGTGTGCTCCTGAGCATAAGGATCACGTGCGAAACAATACGGCGAGCGGCCTCTATGTTAGAAGCGCTGGCAAAGACAAGGATGTTGGTGTAGTCCAAGACTCGCTGATCATTGTCAACCTTTTGAAGGTAATTTGTGAAAGAGTCTTCGTCACCAGTCTCCAGCAAATGTGCCAGATACTTCCCGGCGCACTTTTCCTGAATGCTCTTCAGGATGAAGGAAATGTCTCGCCTGGGTGACGGTTTCTGTCCTTCCAGCTGGAGTTCCTCAAATTTCTGCGGTCGAATTCTCGAATCTACGTCCCTTGAAAGAAAACCTACTCGCAAGCCTTGCTCAATGACTTGCACGTTATCGGAACAACGGGTAAAGTCCTCTTCTGAGAATATCAGCTCCTCTGAAATACCACCGAGAAACCCCTCAAGAGCGACCTTTCCAAGCTCAAGAACTAATTGGTCTGGGTCTGCTAAACCTACAGCAGTGGCTCTCGACACCGAACAGTCTGTGCTAATTTTCATGTTTGCATGTTTAAACATGCATTCAATCAGTCTGTCAAACAATTTGCTGATAGTATTTAAGTCTTTGAAATCCTGTCCATCTGTCCATTTGGTCAGCTGACAGAACGCAGTCAACATAAGTGGAATGGATGCCAGGTCTTCTTTCAAATGATTTTCTTCGAGGTAGGCCAGCAACTTATTCCCCAATAGTTTGTTCTCACCCTCAAAAACTTTGTGAACGTAGTCATCGATGTCTTTGGTCGTAAAACCTGTTATCTCCAGGTGACGGTAGCTCTCATAGTCGTCCTTGAAATCCCCCACACGCCCTGGCCGAGTGGTAACAACAACACGACATTCAGTCAGCCATTCACCTCTGAGCATCTTCACAATGTTACCACAATCTTCTTGGTCAAGACCTTTTCCCTTGAACTCATCGTATCCATCCAGGAGGATGACCACTTCTTCGGGGTGGTCTTCACAGTACTGCTCAATTGCAGCTGGGGTGATGCGACGCTCATTTGGAAGCATGTGATCTAGCACTGCCTGACCAAGATTGCTGTGTTGATCAACCTTGCGCATGGGCAGCACAAGCACGACGTCGACGTTACGTAGCAATGCCTCAGGCTTGTCTGTACTCCAATCGTAGGCGTACTTGGTCAACAAGGTTGTTTTCCCGCTGCCAGTCCGGCCCCGCATGAGTATACGCGTGCCACAGAAATCGATGCGAGTGTCTCCTTCTCCCGTCAAGTCCGTGAAAATGGCGTTGTGCGACTTGAGGGGAACTCGGATAGGGAAATACGCAGACATGATGCTGATGAGCAGCTGAACCTGAGTGAAAACCTGGTCGACATGAACGCATCCGGTGGTAATCCATGGCACAAGAGGAAGCTTGCTCATCTTAGAACGGACAAAGTTCTTCAGTTTCTTGACAAAATACTGCTTGTTGAGTTCTGCACTCCCACTGACACCTCCGGGAGATGGACCACAGCCTGTAAATAAACACAAAATTGACAGAAAGAATTGATAAATGATGCGCTCTACTGGATATATTAATGTTCTGCAGATTATCAATTGGCGACAATTGATTGTGTGAGGTAAAGAATCGAAGCTATTGCCAGTTCGGTATTCCGACAGCGCAGGCCAAATAATTAAGACTGAGTGCGTCCAGGGTCATTCGAACGCACGTGCGAGTCTAACCCTAGCAATTCATCCCTAAGCCGACTCGCGTGCGTGCTTGGCCCCAAATGATCTTGCGTTTTTGAAAAATCGTCCCGGCTCGATATAATCTGAAGCCATTCTTGGTTTGTATGCTGTTTACACGTGCATAGAAAGGAATCCTACTTGTTATGTCTATGCTATATCTCAATTTTGCATTTGTTGCACCTGTAACATTCATGACGGAAGGCAAAAGATCCAGCCGCTCTGCGTCCTTAACTGCCCCGCGCAGTTGCTCGTTGCGCACAGATGGGTCTGTGGTGTTCTTCCATCCCAGCAGCATTTGGTACGCCCTCTCGTGAGCATTGGCAGAATAATCCTGGACCAGGTTCTCAATCCCCGCTTCGCTGTATCCCAGGTGCCGACCAACAGGCTTCCAGCTTTGTCCAAGCTCACCCGCCAGACGCCACAGGGCGTTGTCACATCTTCCACCACCAGAAACCTGTTTTCCATCATGTCCAGCCATTTTACCCTTAAAAAAATCGGATGTTGATCATTTAAGGCTTAGTAGCTTAGCTATATAAGTACATGCAACTGATAATTAACACTGAACGTGCTTGTGTGTATAGTATCGGGGCTGGAAAATTCAGTGAATGGGTCACTTTTTATTTATTTGGCAAACCCTGCCTATTTACTTATCAAAACGAAACATTCTGACTTATGTTGATGTTCTCGTTGATTTGTTTGTTTGTTTGTTCGTATGTTTGTCTCCTTGAGTGTTTGTGTTTCTTTGTTTTGAATTGATTTATTGCATCTGTTCATAACATCATCGATCAATTTTAAATGAGAATCTAAATACACCAAAAAGAAAATAAATGACATGAACGAAAAAAGAAAAAATTTGTTCACGTCCTCGGACAGCCGAAAACTACAAAAATGTAACGAAAGCATACAAAAATGTAACGAATTTAAATGAATTTTTATAACATTGATTGCAAAACGACGACGGTATTTATCTATGGTAGGTTCGGCATTCATACAAGGACGAAACAGAATTGGCGTTCAGAGAGTATGATAAAAGCAAGTACATGTATATGATATCGAGAAAAGTGAAAAATGTGCCACCAAAGACGATACTGGACACAGGATATAAAAGGTTATGGATTTTCGAGACGACTTTGAAGTCAGGCGTTTATGAATTTGTACACAAAAGTTTTAAAACAAGCAGGAAAACTACATATTAATTCTTGTTTATTGTTATTTATACAATATTGCATACACCCTAAAAGCTTCCCGGTCAGATTGACCCAGTATTGGGTCCCATTCGGTATGACCCTTTACTGGGTCAAAATACGACCCCCTTTCGGTTCATATTTGACCCTCTCCGGGTCATAATTTGACCCGGAAAAAGCTTATACCGAATGGGACCCAATTCTGGGTCAATCTGGCCCGGCCGTTTTTAGAGTGTATTAACAGCATAAATACTGATATTTACAGTATTTACAAAAGGCTAAAAAATTCAGCCCAAAACAAGGAATACAACAATTATATAAAACTTTAATAACAAAACTAAACTTCTAAAAGAATTATAAAGACCACCTACACAAACACAGCCCACTCACCCCCCAAAAAAATATAAAAAACGGACAAGCGAACAGACAGAACACAAGGCATCACATGCAAATGTAACAAAAATGTGCCAAACCTACATGTATTTGTACCCGTGGGCCCAATCCCTCATACAGTGTGAAAGGATCATAAATGGAGATTGAGTGATCTTCAACCAAAACCATGTAGCTAGCAAAGCTTCACATGTTGTATAATTAGAAAATGTGACAGAACTACATAAAAGCAGAACTGAAACGGAAACTTTAACTTAAAATGTAAGTTTATCCGAGTGCTGGTGGTGACGGAGCAGGAAGAAATCAAAGAGAAAGATTTTTTATCAAGTTCTTGAGGAAAGTGAAAGTGTTGTCCTCAGTCAAACTAAAATGGTCCCACTGTTCTACGCGTCGCTATTTCTACGAACGCCGTTGTCTAATTAGCGTAATTAGACATTAGCATGTGCATGTAGGCCTATCTGAAAGCGCGCACACGCCTACTCTAACAAGCCACGTCCGTGCATGCCACGCATTATGTTAAGAACAAAACATGTCCGTTTCATGGACACAAAAAAAAGGTTCTTCCATCAGGGAACAAGTGGAATGTGAGCGTCATGTTGAAGGGCTAAAAAAATGGATAATACAAATCAGGCAACACTAAAAGCGTATTTAAACCTGTTAACACAAGTTTGTTTTTTCCCCGCAAACATTGAAGTGTTAAGAAAGGGAAATTACTCTTTGTCTAGAGAGATCTTTTTTTCCTTCTTTTTTCTAGAACCAAAAAAATCTTTATCTTTTTTGTCGTTCTTGGACCAAGTACAGGAGAAGATAGCACGACCATTTTCAAGAGTTGGAGGACAGAATCTACGAGACAGATATTTGAGGAAGGAGAGGTTCATGGATTGGACAAGTTTTTTCAGCCTGTTACCGGTCAGTTCTCCCGAGGTTAGTGTAACTCGTGGAAAATGATTTTGTTCAGAGCTTCTTAGCTCTGATGTTTTTTTTTAATGTCAAAACAGAAGTACTAAATGCATACATGTCAACATTTTACACTGCAAAATCTGTGGTGTTAAATTAAACACCATTGGTAACACTATGAGACCACTGGTGTTATTCTAGTCTTGTAGATAAGAATGTTAGATTAACGATACCGGTTTTCCAGCACATTAAGATTTCTTGTATTCATACTAAATGACAGGGCTTGGTACGTGCTTAAGTCAATCGCCAGTAGTGCAAGACTAACTATAAAACTCTGTGATAATAACCATTAAATGGAGATTTTAAACGGTGTTTAAAGAAAGAGACAATTTCAGACTTGAAACATGGAAATTTGTTCACACACTTTGAAATTCAATGAAATACAAAAGTCGGCAATCCGGGAGGTTAGGGGTTGCAGGGCACGATAACTCCACCACCTTTCAGCCACTGACAAAATGTACGACACCAGTAAAATGGAACTATTTGGAAACTTGTACATGTATTTGCTGGAATGCTTGAGAGATCATTGCAGATTTCAACTTTTTCTGGCAGGCATAATTCAAGTCCCCAGCCCAGACGCCCCATAGAACGGGCACATTATGAGATTTCCGTTTCTAGACAGATCCATCTTGTTTGTACGTCACAAAATGTGACCGTTAATTTTACTTCTTGGCTGTCCTGCGTTGTTTTAGGTTGGAAATTAACAGCATGCGCTCTAACTTGTCAATCAGCAGGCCTTTAATAACACTGATCTTGCTTTGACATTTAATTATGGTACTAGAAACACCAAAAAGGGAAAACTCGGTTTCCAACCATTTGGACCTCGGGCTTTGTAAATAAATAGACTACGCATCGTGTGCATGCACGAGCGTGCAATGCGGAAAAGGTCACCAACGCGTGCAACGTGCTCGTGATACAGTTGTAATACAAGTGGAAGATTTTATGCCCACACATACCTACGGTGTGGTACACAAAGAGTAACTACTTCAACTGTGCTAGGCTAGTAGAAAACAGCAACAATTTCCCTCATTCTGTGGGCATCAAAATGCACCTACCTGATACAGAGCATCTACGATTACTGACAGACCACCTCAGGTTTACAGAGTTTGGAAAAAACCCAAGGAGTACTGTAATGAGTCTGATACCGTAGTTTACTGAGGCCAGCTACTGGTGGGATGGGCGCTGTCTGCTAACACGCTCATATCATTATTCATTGGTATCCGGATAAAACGTCATGACATCAACCCGTTTGACCTTGGACGAGGTGCACTGTGAGCATGCTCAGTTTGAATACCAGAGTGGTTCATTCACAATTTTGTTTTGACCTTTATTCATTGCTTTTCTACGTCAAAGTTGTGGTTTGCAGGCAGCGGTAAGCAGACTACAGCTGGCTGCCAGTGTAAAAAAAAATAATGAACAATTCACGAACCAGTGCAACAGCTGTTATGCAAATATTAAACACCATACAAAACAATTCCCAAGCTTTTAAACATTAACCGAAAAGCGATTTTTGATGTAAAGAATGTCAAACGAGCAAAGGTAAGCTTCTCCAAATTTTGGCAACCTGGTTTGCAGACTGGTAAATCAGTTGCCATAGACAACAGTGATAAAATATCCCCACTTCAAAAAATTAGGAAAAATACAAGTTTTATAGATGTTCAAGAAACATATCAAATCAAAGCTCACTTTCCATCTTTCAGTCTCCTTTTAATTTTCAGTGGCTTAACGATGACTTTTGAAGATATTTTCTCTCCAGAGAAAATCACTCCTCAAAACAGTCATGAGGCCTCTTTGAAAATTGATGCCTACACTCCATTGCAAAATAGACCAATTTGGAGGGCTGCGTCTGGTCCGATATTTTCAGAAGTACATGCTGGCAGTCCTGCTGATAGATTCCATCTATGTGCCACGAAACGCTCTAATAGCAGAGATTTTGACAGCCTACAAATCGTGATTCGGTCCACCCAGCCAATTTAGGACCAATTTGCTAGCATGTAACAATAAGGGCACGGTCCACTGATTCAAGCCCCATTAAAAACTGTGTAAGGTTGCACTGTTCGGGGCCAAATAACATGCACAACAACATCCCTGAGGTCTCTGACACACAAATTAAAGGATCCATGAAATGAAGTTTTCCTAGAAGCAGTTTTTGTTTATCTCTGTACTATGCTTCAATGTATAAAGACTGTTTGACATCCTTTTTGAGCTGCATGAACAGAAAAATGCACTTTTTTAACATTCAAGAATTTCTGGACAAACGAGGGCGCTTTTGCTTTGATGTAAATCCAGGAAGACATGGGTCACTTTGCATGTTTTCATGTTCAAGTTGTTTTCTCCAAATATGCTGTCTAAAAACATTTCTGTGGAAAGGTTGCTTACAGGGGTATTGCCATGTACTTACTCAACATTAAATTGCCAAAAGAAATTAAATCTACGATAGCAGTTTTTCAAACAATCTTGACAATTTCTGTGCACAAATCAATGCAACATTGAGATTCATTGCCTTAGATGACATCATAGATTTGCTTATGAATATTCAAATGCGCATTTGCATGAAAACCCAAAAAGCTCCAAAATATGGGTTAAAATTGTAAAACAAAAATTTAAAATTAGATTAATTGTTACCCAAGGATGCAATGTTAAGGGCTTTAATAAAATATTTTTATTCCATTCTCTCTTTAAATTATTGTCTGGTCCTTTATTATTTCAATTTCGTTTTAATTTGTTGTGGGTTAACCAGTTACAGTTTTAATTATTCCCACAAACAAAATCACCCCCAATAAAGTGATTTTTCCGAAGTCTGGTTGTAGCCATTTTTCAAGTAGCAACCCTCAACTTTCTTGGCCACTTAATATCATATTTTAGCCAATCTGCTCTCATATGAAAGAGCAAAGACGCAGGGACTTGATCCTGCATAAAATGGAATTCGAAAAAATGTGCTTCACTTTTTGAAATATATATATATATGATGGCACAACAGGGCTTCCATATGTACTCATTCTGTTGAATGACCGGGGGCTAGTGAAGGAACGCGCAAGCAGCCCACGGAGTCGAAGATGATGCAAGGCCATCTGCACTTCCCAGCCCTGTTCGGACGCTGGGTGACGTGCGAAGACTTCACTGTGAAACTGAGTGCAAACGAACGGAGAACGCGCGCGTTTTGTTTCACGCGCTGGTTCTCGCCCTAATGCCTTTTACACACAGAATTGTGCCTGTGGCGTAGTCACTTCGGTATTTTATTTTGAGCCTCATTGTGTGTTGTGGCCTATCAAAATTATCTGTGCGAATCCCCTACATTCATGGAGTGAATTTTCAATGAGAATTGTGCATTCCTGATTACAGTTATATCAGAGATCATGCATTGCTAGCGTCTCCATGGTGTCTCAGAGCCTCTTTTAGTTATTTTAATTTAGTTACAACGAATACACAAAAGTTTACTCGAACCTATCCCAGTGATACAAAGCTCTTGCCCTCTGAGGACACGTTGACGCATAACCCTCATGACGGGCAAACACCTATCGAATTGTTCCATTTCAGCTCTTACAATAAAACAATAGAAAGCACAACAAAACAGCCCATTAGAAACTCAATCCACTGAAACTAGATTTGTCCAGGAAATCCCCACTAAAATGAATTCAATTTCGATGCATCAAGAAGTGTTCATGCACAATGGAGGAAGTCAATGGGACGTATGAATAAAAGGTAGCATTTGCTTTTTATGCCATTTTTGAAGCATTTACTTGTGTTTGTATGAATAATAATGAAGCAAACGCTTTTACTTTAGTGCAATAACTAAAAGTAAAAGTATTTACTTTTTACTCTTTAAGCTTGTGCTCGACAAAAAGCAGTTGCTTCATTTTGTACGAATAAAAATGAGTAAGTTCTACGGAATTGGAGTTTTTACTTGACATTTTTCAAGACTGGGTCAGGGCAAGCTTGAAAACGAGGAGCATTTACTAATGTTCAAAATGGCAGCGTTCATGAATGTCATTCGAAAGGAAAATCTGTATGCCTTAAGGAGGGTATCTCAAAAAACCAGATGCAAGCAGTTGTGCCGATTTGAGAGTGGCAGAGCAATTTTCTTCATCACGTTTTCGCGATCAAAATTACTGCCCTCGTACTTATTTGCCATGCTGAGGTCTCAAGATAGAGAAGATCACCTTTCATTTAAAAAATGGAAGAATACAAAGGTGGCAGTTGAATAAACGACAAGCTTATTTCATTTAATGCAAGAGGACGTTGAACTGCTTGAAGGAAAACTATGCTGTCAAGGAAGTTCAATCCGGAGATAAATCAAGAGATGGGGGACATATCTCTCATCCTCCCCCCCCCGCCCATCTCCGCCTATGTCGTTAATCAGAATTGCAGTTTCAACAAAAATGGAACGAACTGTACGACAAAGATATTGAGAAAGGAACTGTTAAAAGTACACCTGGTTGATGAAGTGCAATTCTCCTACGCTTAATCTGCAGCGTGAAAACACTTAACCAGCACATAGGCCTATAGTGATCATGAGTTCAAGGTGTTAACCTGAATGTGAAGTTGTCATTGCACATTATGTAAAGAAAAAAAACCAACGCGCTGACTTTTAAACGAGGTACAAATACAACAAAATTGTGGTAAAATAATGTATCGCAAGAATAGATAACACATCATTCAATCTTTGATGTCTTATTTAAATGGATGTACAGGAAAAAAGAAAATCATATGATGGACGATTTTAAAAAAATTCTACAATCTACAAGAATTAAACGTTGCAAATAATGACATACTAAACAAGACAGTTATCTGTTTATAGGAATACGTGTTGAAGAAAGGCTGTTTAAAAAATGTTGGAAATTGAAACGCTGAAATTGGTATTGAATTTTGCGGTTTTAATCAAAAGTCTAAATTTCAGATCCTTAAAATTTCCATTGGGGACACTCAAGCTATTAGTCTGTAATCATAGTGAGTTATAAACTCAAATGAATGCTCTGGATGGTTGGGTAAAGAGTCAAGGTCACTATTCGATGAGAATACGCAAACAAAATACATAATAATAAGACACGACAAACCGTTGTCTGATAGTTAAATGAAGTACGAATCTTCACATGGAAAAATCTATCGCGGAAAAACCTGAAGTGTCCTGTGCTGAGAAGAAAATTATTACAACTTAAGCGGGTGCCCTAATTTGAAAAAAGGCCTCTAAAAATGAAAGACGTTGGTTTTTATTTGTAGAGCTCCCTGCGATAAAAACCACTGAAGATATGTAGACCCTACCATGAGTTAAAAATGAATACAAAAATAAACTTCAGTCCATTTGCGAAACCAATATTTTTTGAAAAACCTAGATTTTCACATCGATGAAATGTATAACCTGATATGCAATCTAAAAAAATTAGTAAAATGTAGTTACTCTTCCCTTCTGTTGAAGGAAAATTTGAGTCTAAGGTAGGTTGGTAGGTTGGGAGTATGAACCCAACCAACAACCCACCCACCGGAAAAGATTTTATTTTCCTGATATATTTGCCACAAAAGAAAGCCTGCTCACGTGCATATTGGAGAATCAGGGTTACAGTGTGCCAGCATTTGACATACATGTAAGCCTACTACTGATGAGGTCTCTTGCAATACATGCACTGTGCATCATTTCCCTCAATCAAGACCCTGACAAGAGTTTTCATGCCCTTTCTCGTGAACTGGATGGCCACCCACATAAGATCAAGCCTCCGCTGAGTATGAAGTATTTTGATCATTGACTCAATAAAATGAATTATGTAATGTAAGAAACACAAAACAGTTAACGTACAAATTTATAGGGATTCAGCATTTTGTACACTAGGGTAAAAATCTGCAATCTTCCGAAGGCCACATCACTAACATTCAATCAATGTATGGAGCACAATATATAAGAGGATATCTTTGACATGTCTTTTAAAGTACAGAAAGATCGACCCTGTCTGGTTTGTGCACGACAGCACACTTCGGCTCTAATAGGTGCTATGGGTTGCCAACATCTGCACATATGTCTTGAACCAGCACGAGTCTTACGTTTTGTACACATTTTTACACTTTAACAACCTGCACATATTATGCCATATAGGAGAATGCTTGAGGCACAATTAAATATTTCGGTACAAATAGCAGTTTTGTGTCTCACCTGATCACTTTTCTGTTTCTGAAGAACTTTTTTCTTTCTTTTCTTAATTTTTTATTATGTGCGAAAGTCCTGTAGTGTAGTGCCTACCTGTATACATTTTCAAAAATTATGTTTGTTTTTTTCAAAATTGGTTTTTATGAAGTATATTTTTCCAAGTTTCTCTTTCATGAAATATATTTTGCAGCTTCGTTATTATGAAACGTTGTTTCTATTTTTGTAAACAAATCGTTTTACAGGATATATTTGCCAAGTTTGAACTTCGGAGATTCTTATTTTAGTTCGTAATTGTGATCTTTTTTATCTCGTAAAAAGAAGTTTGGAAAGTATATCTCCTAAAAACGGATTTCGAAAAAATATACTTCACTTTTTGAAAATATACCAGTATACCTGATGGCACTGCAGGGCTTTTGTAACTGTAAAATCCAAGTCCTGTGTGGCGTCACTTGAATCATAGAGGAAGGACACCGAAGGAGTTGCAACTCTGGCACTTCAAAGTGTTCAACGATTGTCGCCGCCGAGTCAGACGAATAATAGAAAACATTCAAAAATGCCCGATTACTGCCTGCAGATAAGACGGACAAGCAGATCCAGTAATATCTTAGCAATACTTGTAGTGTTTTGATTGCACGTAAATACAAATTATTGCTTTGACCAGGAAATACAGAGAGAAAAATCCCTGATATTAGACCTACTTTGGCCATCGTGAATAAACTTTCCAATGTTGATGCACTGTTCCATAATCCATGCATTTTGTAATTTTACTCTCCTCCCTCCAATACATCAGTTTTCAAAGACTTGGTATGAATTTGGCTAAGACTGGCCAACAAAATGTTGACTACTGTTGGAAAGCTAAGTTCATAAGGAACATAATGCGCTGTTTGATTACAGGGAGTGATCATGAAATCTCGCAAAATACACTTTTCTGCAAATTCCATAATAAAAATTATTCAAACAAATCACAAAATATTGTAAACAACGTGGCTAGTTATTCCCAAAATAACTCCGGAAGAAAGAGTTCATTAAGGGCAATGACTGCACATGTTCATTTAGGGCGTAATGCGAACAACTGCGCAAGCACTAGATTTGATGTTGTTATGAGATCATACCAAACACCAACAAAGACATGAATATTCAGTTTCCTATACCTCAGTACACAAAGTTTTAAGGATGCAGATTACCAGCGAAAATTGCGGCGGTGATCATAGGGTACAAAGGGGTCTTGTGGTTGTGAAACAGATGGTGCGTAGCAAGCATTCGCTGCGCTCTAGCTATGGGCATACCGGGCATGCCAATAACGGTAATTGGCCAGATGTTATAGCCCGGGCAGTCAAACTCCAGTATCCTTCCTCTATGCTTGAGCATACGTAGCTAGGCATGGTAGCTAGGAAATGGAACAGAGGGATACCCCCTAAACAAGTCCAATCCTATACACGCTCCAGCCTATTGTTAATTAACACATCCCTCTAGATGTCGGAAAAGAATTCCTGAGATACCAGTATAACAATGACCAACACAAAAGCGGGGGTGCTCTCTGTCCCATAGTTTGAATCAAACGGAGCTATTACACCCACAGTCGGAGAAATGTGGTTTCTGCTTCTTTGCATGCAGTCTGAACATCAGGATCCGATGGCAAACAGGGGCGGGAAAACCTTCAGGGAAAAAAACAAAAATGCGGTATAACGCTGCGAGTTATTACCCGTGCAGTACTAACATTCGTTTCCCAAGTGGGCAGTCACTTTGACAAGTAAAATACAATGGGTAGAATTTATCATTGCCATCTTTGGAAATTTTACTTTTCCTCAATAATGTCGGCTATTTGATAGCTTGGTGCGGCGATGCCTTGACGGGAAAGTAACTTTTTGTCCTATATGGGGCCAGAGAATATCTAAACGCCTCACAGAAATTTAAATTACACGAATATGCCTGTGTTATTCCCAGTTTTCCCACGAGAGAGACACTTTTCATTCAAAAGCTACCATTGGTAAATAAATTCTTTACCTCTTAAAAAAAATGAACACCCACCTGAATGTCTTGAGAGGGGAGTGTTCCCGACAACCGTTGAGCATTCCAATGAAGGCCCTTGGTTCCATCTTCGTGTAGAGGATGCTTAGAAAGCTCAGATGTTGCAGCTTGTGGATTTCACTCGTAAATGCCTCCACGGTATGCGCAGTGCAAGATGAGTCTTCTTCAGAGATGGTTGTCGGGATGCCCGATATTCTCAGGTCAACCAGCTGAGGTAGGCTTGATAACGCCGAGGTACAATACTGAATTACCTTGACTGGGATTGGAGAGTGCACAAGATTGAGATGAGTCAAACCATCGGCCGATCGGATGGATCTCTGGAGGTTGTCGAGCCCAACTTCGCTAACCTTGTACAGCGAAAGTCTTAATTCCTTCCAGTTTTGCCAGCATTTCATATTGTCACAAATAGCTTGAATAGCATCATCGTCAGTGTTCTCATTCCGCCGCAGATCTAGTTTCTGGAGGTAAGGGTACTGATCAAGAAGTTTCTGAATGAATGCAACCATCGCTCCGGACGGCAACTCTAGTTTGTCTAAAACAACACTTTGGAGCTGCGGAATCTTCGGCAGGTTTTCAGCAAACCCTTCTCCCAACTCATTTCCGGAAACCTTCAGTTCTTTCAGGATTGGTGTCGCCTTCAGAGCGGTCGCAAGGTGGGCTGTTTGTTCGAATGTGAGACCGTTCAAACTTAGTGTCAGCCTCATCATCTTGGAGAATTCGCCGTCTTCAATCATCTTGAGCAAGTCGCCCCAGTCCTCTCGTTTTGCAGTCACTCCGTTCAAGGTCAGTTCGTCCAGCGAAGACTCCTTCAAGCCAGATAGGACAAACCTGAAACTGAACTCGTTTACTTGATGTTTACTCAACTCCTGCCATATGGGAGCTACTGCGACAAAGTCCAGGTCTGGACGATCGTCGAGGTATCTTGGAATATTCTGCCCGCTTGTCTGTAGCTGACTCCGGATGCTCGAGATGTTAATTTCATTCTTCAAACTGTCTCTCATGAAGTTGCTGATTTCTTCCTCGGTACCAGGATAACAATTCAGAAATTCTCGAAACTGTCTACCAATGTCCAACTTGATGCAGATCAATTGAAGCCTCTTGACAGACAGACACTGCATTCCTTCGGGTGGATAGTATTCCTCGCTTGTATCTTGGCGGGATGTGTTTGGGCGACTATGGCCAAAAAGATAGCCAAGAGCTTTAGCCACATAGGTAGACATACCAACCAAACGAACGCAACTGCTGTCACCAAAGAGAGAGTTAAACAGATGGTTGAAATGACCTTCACTCTTGCTCTCGAAGTTCAGCTGGAGGCACGTTTCGATTAGACGTTGTATTTTCTGACAATGCTTGAAGTGCAGCTTCCCGCTCAAGTACAGTGAGATGTTTTGGCCTTGCGTGTCCCTGAGTAAACCAATCACATGTGGCAAAATGCGCCGAGCAGCCTCAATGCTAGAAGCACTTGCAAAGACTAGAATGTTAGTGTAGTCCAAAACACGCAGGTCGGTGTTGACCTTTTGAAGATAATTTGTGAACGAGTCTTCGTTGCCACCTTCCAGCAAATGTGCCAGATACTTCCCTGCACATTTTTCTTGAATGCTCTTTAGGATGAAAGAAATGTCTCGCTTGGTTGAAGGTTTGTGACCTTTTATTTGGAGTTCTTGGTAAGTCTGTGGTCGAATGCTCGAATCAGCGTCCCTTGAAAGAAACCCAATCCGTAAACCTTGCTCCAAGACTTTTACTTGATTGGAGCAACGGTAAAAGTCTTCTTCGGAGAAGATCAGCTCCTCTGCGACCCCGCCAAGAAAGCCCTCCAGTCCGACCTTCCCCAGCTCAAGAACCAATTCCTCTGGTTCGAATACCTCTGATACGGTATCTCCTGACGAAGACCTCTTCTTGGCCGTTTTACTGTTTTCGTGTATGAATACACATTCAATGAGGGTATCGAACAATTTGCTGATGGTGGTCAATTCGTCAAATTTCTTCCCTCTAGTTAACTTAGTCAACTGACACAATGCGGTCAGCATGAGTGGAATGGAAGCGAACTCTTCCTTCAAATGATTATCTTTGAGGTACGCCAGCAACTTGTCTCCCAGTGGTTTGTTCTTACCCCTAAAAATTTTGTGGACATAGTCATCAATGTCTTTAGAGGTGATACCTGTTATTTCCAGATGCCGGTAGCTCTCATAGTCGTCCTTGAAATCATCCACACGTCCTGGCCGAGTGGTAACAACAACACGACATTCAGTCAGCCATTCACCTCGGAGCATTTTCACGATGTTACCACAATCTTCTTGGTCAAGACCTTTTCCCTTGAATTCATCATATCCATCCAAGAGGATGACCACTTCGTCGGGATAGTCTTCACAATACTACTCAATTGCAGCTGGGGTGATGCGACGCTCATTTGGAAGCATCTGATCTAGTACCGCTGGACCAAGATCGCTGTGTTGATCCAGCTTGCGCATGGGCAGAAAGAGTACGACGTCGTAGTTGCGCAGCAACGCTTCAGGCTTACCAGTGCTCCAATCGTAGGCGTACTTGGTCAATAAGGTTGTTTTCCCACTTCCAGTCCGACCCCTTATCAGTACACGCTTGCCACAGTAGTCAATGAGTTCGTCAGCTTCATAGTTAATGTCCCTGAAGATGGCATTGTACGACTTGAGGGGAACTCTAATGGGGAAATACGCGTCCATAATGCTGATGAGGAGTTGGACATTGGTGAAAACATTATCGATAAGAATGCATCCGGTGGTGATCCATGGAACAAGGGGGACCTTGCTCAACTTCAAGCTGACAAAGTTCTTTAGTGTTTTGATGAAATATTGCTTGTCGAACTCTACATTCTTAGCAGCGCTTCTAAGAGATGTCCGCTGACCTATATTTGAAAACGAAGTGGAAAGATTCACCGACCAATGAATTAAAACCAAAACCTAAGACTGGTGCATATATGGCACAAAACCGAACAGGAACACAAAATTTAAGATCAATTATTCGTGCTGTGAATTCACAAAATTGAAACAAACTGAACTCAAGTGAGCTATGCAGCAAAATTTTTGAGGTCAGATTTACTTCACTTTCGAGTTCACCCAAAACTTGAACCAGCCTTCGGATTTATGACAATGGTGTATTGATGATTAATGCGCCCACTTGACTGCATGAAGTAAATAAGAAATTACAGTTATTCATCTTATAATGTTTGTGCATGTGTAGATAACTACCTAATCTTTTTGCTTCTGACTTGTACGGTCTATATGTCGTTTTGCATATAATTTACATACCTGTGATGTTGTTAACGAAAGGCATCAGATCTCGTCTTCCTGCTTCCTTAACTGCTTCACGCAGTAGCTCCTCACGCTCAGACGGGACTGTTTTGTTCTTCCACTGCAGCAGCATTTGGTACGCCCTCTCATGAGCATCCGTGGGATTATTCATTTGCAGATACTGTAGTGTCGCTTCGCTAAAGCCGATGTACCGACCAATCGTCTTCCAGCTCACTCCAAGCTCACCTGCCAGCCGCCACAGGATGTCGTCTGAGTCATGACTTTGACTTCTCGTGGCCTGCTTCCCGCCAACTTCAGCCATTTTACTCTGTAAGAATGGAATTGATAAGCTCGATTACTTAATTAGGGCTGACCTAACTAACGTTTGCAACGGAGCTTGATGTGTATTATACTTGGTCGTACTACATTCCACCCTCCCCCAAAAAAGTTTCGAAACGTGATTTATCAATGACGGGAAATTGAAAACTTTGAAATTTGTATCGCAGGTAAGGAACAAAGAAATGGAGAACTGGGGGCTGACGAAGGAATTGGAACAACAAGGGTGACAAAGATCCGGCTATCTGCTTTAAATTCCTATATCTTTAAGTACAGGCACGAAGTTATGTTGAGTTTTCGGAGAGAAAAACACCCACAGACAAAACGCTCTGCTCTCCAAATCGTATTAAGAACTACATGTGCATCGGAGGGCGCCCAGTAACAATGAAACTATGTGTAATTTTACCTCTTGGCATGGAAATTTTACACACTCATTTTTTGATTTTCTTCTCAATTTTTCGATTGTAAAACGGGTTTCATTACACAATAAATCTTGATGAATCTATGCAGAGCAATGTGGTATTAACTTTTTAACCTTTTTTCCTGCATCTCCTGCAGGTGCCACGATAGGCCAAGTGACACTCTGTTGCTCGGAAATGTTATTAAGAGATTGTAGCATCCTTACAGAAATATGATACACATCAGCTTTTCACTGGCGTAAAACCATTATAGTGGCAACAGAACAGGTAATATGCTTGACTAGTAAGTGGTACTAGTTATCGCAAATAATAATATTATTTATTACAATTGAAACACAGGCATTAGCTTTATGTAGGGTAGCCTTTGAAGTCTCATTAACTTGTGTACATTAGTTTGGAACGTCTAAATTACACGGAGCATTCAGTCTTGTGCATTACAAGATTAAATAAACATGATTAAATATAAATACTTAAATATAAATGATGACAAGCGTATTCATTAACAAACAGCTTAGCGTAGTGAGGGAGTTCACTATTTTGCATGACACCATAATGATGTCTGTTTTGACATTCCTAGTGCTTTGTAGCACCATAGTACTGTGTGTTGCAAGTTCAAAGGAATTCCCCGGTATGAGAAATCCTAATCACTAATTTGCATGTGACTTGGCCGGATTACGGTGAATTTCATTCATTGACCTCAATGTAGTACCAATGAAAAGAAACCTCATAAGAAGACTTTCCGCATCGAACTTTTGTCTCTATTCCAGGATAACTGAGGATCGTAAAGGTTGTTTTTCTTGGTGAACATGGGTTGCCGCCCCGGTAAGGGATCATGTTTACCGCGCATTGATATTTCCTAACTTCAAAAGTTTAAGGAACTAGTGAGGCCTACGTGACATGACGCTTGCACGCGTGACAGCAGAACAACAGGTTCGATCTCAGACCGAGGGCATAGCGATAAGAGTATGCTGTACCGCTGCCTGTACTTTTACCTCTTAACCTTTTACACCCTCTTAAAAACGCCCACTCCAAGTCTTCAAGGGTGATTGTGCCTAAGCCCTCATCTATCACGATATCTACCACATAGTGTGACGCTTCCGTATACCCAATGCTGAGGTAAGCGAAGAGTCTGTTGTGCTGCATTCATTTTTTTTTTTGAGTATTTTTTTATCTAACTTTTGCCCGTGTAATTAATTAGGTCATACAATACTGCTAACGAGTTTTGGTTTCTTTATTGCAGGGTGATTAAAGTCAAGGTCTAAGCCATTCTTAATCTCCTTATTAGTCTTAGAATTCTATAGTCGGCTATTCTATTGTTAGCTACCTGTTGGCTGTATAATCGAGCATCAGAGAGAATCTCAAATGAGTTGATCTCAACCTAATTCCCTTAGGAGGACGGGCCCTCTCCCCGTTACTCCCAGGAGTGGGAAGTATGGCTGAGGCCGGGTAGTTCGATATGTTCTTGGCACTGAAAATGAAATATACATGTGTACATAGCCAGGAAACTTCACATAAGTAGAATCCAAAGGTCAAACACGATCAGTCATAGGCGCAGCAACAAATTACCGCATGATTATATCTGTGGCAAGTGAAAATACGTCACCCGCACCAGTAACACATGGTTCTTTAATAATTTCATTGAAACTGTCTTCAATCCTTTTTCTTGTCTTTTAATTATGCTTTTTTGGACGAAAAAGGGGGCGTGTTCCCCCTGACATCCCCCCCACACTTTTTAACGAGGGAGATGGGATACTGAATCCCCCCCCGCCTGACTTTTTCGTGGTGAGAAAACGATTAAGCGGATTGTGAGGAATTTTCGGACTTCCCAACAACCAAAGGCTATTCAGTATCTCTCAGAGAGGGAGAACAGTGAAAAAAAACATAAATTTGCCATTCTGGTGTGAGATTCTACATGCATGTAACTATCATACCTATATGTAGTGTCATAGTGTCAGCACCCCTCAATTTCCTCTCCCCCATCCTCCCAATCTCGGGCACAAATTTGGGAGCAAGGCAACGGGGTGACATGTATAACGGTGTGCCCGAGGGTTGATGGAGAGAGGGGGCGTTGTACTGGACAAAGGGGGCGATAGCACAGAATATATATTAAGAGGACTAAAGAGGTAGGACTAGGTTGTGCCTTAGAGGTTCCGATGAATTCTGATGTCACAATAGTGAACTAGCCAAGAGGTTAGTTTACAATTTAAAAGTGCATAAACTGCTACAGCTGTGATGCTAAATTCAAATCCCTCAGTATCTAAGAAGACCGGTGGTCTAGTTAGTCTCGTACCGTAGGTGGGGATTTAAACTTCACAGTGCCGTTTATTAGATGATTATGTCGTGATAGTTTATATCAAGGGGGCTGGTGTGCTTTTATTAATTACCAAAGAACAACAGTGAATTTATAAATCCCACATGGGTAATTTTATTAAGCTTCAATGCCGACCATAATGGCCGTCGTGTTTCAGTTGTAAGAAATTTATCCGAAATTTTTCCTTTTAAATTCTCTAGGAGGACAAGTGTCAAACTCTCAGTGGCTATAAAAAAATGTTGAAAAAAAACACACTTTGAACTTTCAGTTTGGGGCAAAGCTTCACGTACACGGATACAACGCGTGCCTATACGGTTGTAGTTCCAGCAAGCCTAACGGCAACATGCCAAGTGCTGTACACGCATGTCCAGAGGTGGAAGGCGGCCACCATAAATTGTACAACTTCAACCATGCAAGTATAGACACATCAGATTTCCTCATATCGGTAATGCTTCCCTTCCAAATGCACCTACCTGATCAACAGGGCCTACGTCTGATGACGTGCCAACGTTAGCCTCATAATGTTTGGAAACATTCCAAGAAGGAGTACCAGTAATAGAATGTACACAAAACTGTTGCCGCCATCGAGGCTACTTGCAGAGAGGCGCTGCCCGTAGATATATGGGCAGTCACCAATCGTATAGGTTGTTATTACAGGCTGTATTCATCCGCCGGTCGAACACTTTCACATTTTCATGGGTTTTGCCCTTTTAGTTATAGTGTCTTCAGATATGAGTCATGAGAGTAATGAGACAAGGTAAGGTCCATTATCCTTTACTAGCTGAGGAATAAAGTAAGACGAAAACAAAACCAACGCTCTTGACATAAATTATATGGGTCGCACAACAAAGTAGCAAGGTCATTCAATTATTATCAGTCTTAACGTTTTCGTATAATTATGCACATTCCCAAAAAATATAATTGTTCGGAATTAACCGCGCGAGAGTTTATTTGAACGACCATATTTCAGATTAACGTGTAAAAATAGCCCAGTGGAAACCCCTTGAACTAAAAATAGCTCCTTGGAAATCCCCACCATATCATGGACGAGCCTCTCTACTGATGGAAAACAAAAACACTGGAAAAATCCACAAAACAAGTTTCGACGGTGTCCTATAATTCAAAGTTAAAACGGACAGTGTGTTGCCCAAGATTTTCACTCCTAGTCGGGATGGATTGGTTTCCTTGTACGCTGACCAACAAATTTGTCCCCTTGAAGTGCAAAAGTCAGTCAGTTCAAGTTGGCGATTAATTTTTTAGGAGGGCGTTGAAATCAAAGCTGTGTGTTAGAGGTAAAAGACTTATTAGGTTTCGTGCTGTTCTTGCTTCTGTCAAACGACAGAAGAGTCAAAATTATTTAATCATCATTGGATTAATACGCACGGCGTAAAGGTCAGAATTAAAATGAAAACGGAAGTCATCGTCGCAAGTTCACAACAATAAATAGTGCGTTTGACTCAACTTGAGGCTTCATGTTAACATAAACATACACCTTAGAAATGCTGAAATCGTTATTCATAGCATCATACCCAAGGTCATCACTATCCACTGCCTCCCCAAAAGTTACTTAGCAACGAGGTTACAACCTTGCATGCAGCAATAATACGATTGTAGTGTTATTGTATGGCGTGCTGCTCAAAAACATGGGCTTACATTGACATGTATATGTACATATACATTGCGGCCATGAATATAACGTATAGTGACTAGCCTGACATTGTTGCTTTTAAAACTAATTTGCTTGTAGTGGAGAGAAGGCACACTCCTATTATGGTTGGCATGAACAAATTATTTAGCCAATCGATGACTATTCTGCCGGGCCAGGAGCACGTTTCTTGAAAGGGGGTTCATATCAATGCTTTTTGCTGAATTCTAAAAACACATTTGGGATTTCAAGGAACGAAACACTCAACTAACAATTTACATTTTGTCACCAACTCAAGATTGTGCTTTTCCATGAATCCCTCGGCTAGTCAACTAACAGTTACTGTGACAGGTTTCATTGAAACTGTCTTCAAATTGGGCTCCAAGACCTTCGTGCTTTGTTCCACTTCTTTCTTCCCTGTTTTGGCCCTTACTCGTCTCTGCGAGCGTCATGGATTCGACTGTGCCTTCCATTCTGTAATTTCGCAACCCACAATTGTTTGGAAAGTTTACTTGCAGGGTCCATTCCACTAATTCAAGCCCTATTGAAAACAGTGTAAAAACAGCACCGTTCAGGGCCCAATAGCATGAACGCCAACATCCCTGAGATTTCTGAAACACAAGTGAAATTCTTGTCTGGTCACTTATCTTTCAATTTCTTCTCAATTTTTTGTGGGTTAACCAATTACATTTTTAATTATTCCCACAAAACAAAATCACCCCCCCAAAAAAGTGATGTTTCCGAAGTGTGATTGCAGCCATTTTTCAAGTGGTAACCCTCAACTTTCTCGGGCACTTAGGACCATTTTTCAACCGAAGTTTTTAGCCCTTCTGCCCTCATATGAAAACTCAAAGACCCAGGGAGTTTATCCTGGCAACGATTTACACAATCTCACCATTTTGGGGGCCAAACAATCTCCTTTTTCAAAAGATACTGGGGGGGGCACTTTAATGCTAATGAGCTGGTCAAAAATTCTCACTTGAATTAGTGGTCTGCACCTTGCAAGAACAGGGTCATCGCTTTGAAAAGTGCGCCCTCTGTTAGTGAAATGTTTTTAGTGCTACGGTGTGGATAATGTGCACGGGTAACCAAAATAAGAAGTAACGTCTTCGGCTAAGATTATTCTCACTGAGACCGCGATTTGTAGAAAACCGAACATTATAACCGTGCGTCGACCAGTCTTAACTTCCCACATCAAGGCAGCCCCATGGGCGAGGAGTGAGCAGCTAGGCTCTGAGACAAAGATAAAAAGGAGGAAGATAATGAAAACTAATATACATGTACATAAGTGCATCAATATCACAGTAAACAATGTAAGTCATGTACAGTATTTCATGATCGTTTCCACTTGTCTGCAAAAATGAGACATTAAAAAAATCTCCGGCCTGCCCCCCCCCGTTAAAAATGTTTGGATCCGCCCCTGTGGGTTACCTCAATGTGTCAGGCGTTCCGGATTTGGTTAAGGAATTACTTCATGTTCACAGAGTGTGAAATCCCCGGACAGTACAGAGGCATTATCCTTACGCCGCAGAGCTGCATTCGGAACTAGGATATCGATCATGTTGTTGTATGTAGTTGATATGCACAACATAAATGTATAATGGTAGATGCCTATGTAGACTTGCTTTGGGCGAAGGGGAAGCTTCATGGTCAAGTTAACTAGCGTAGGTGCTTTGGCCTTGCAAGATGTTTCGAAACATGATAGGGAGCATTATAAAGAGGAGAGCAAACATTAAACAGAATCCGTGTGGAATATTTTGGTGGTTTTGTATGCTCTCTGGGGGACAAACCCTACGAAATCACTAAAATAACGTCTGGAAGAATAGATTTTAGATAAATATGTACAAAATATTAATTAGTTTCACATTTTCCTTGTGTCACAGAAAAAATGCTCGACTAAGTCCTGCAACTCGTCGAGAGCGTGCACACACGTGCGTCCGCGCCAAGACCTACCCTGTAAAACATAGGCCCGGGAACCAGCATATCTCGTTGGAATCATCAGCCAATAGACTCACTTTAAGTATGAGTTTGCAATTTGGTCAGGTTAAACTTCCCGCTCCGGCTAAGTTAAACTTGATGCTTCACGTCACCGGTCGGCGGGCGGACGGATACCACAACCTCCAAACACTCTTCCATTTCCTGGACTACTGCGACGAGTTAACTTTTTCGTCCAGAGACGACGGCGAGATAGTACTCAGACCATCGCTGGAAGGTGTGGATGATTCACACAATCTTATCTACCGAGCTGCCAAGCTACTTCAACGCGAGTCCAGCACGACGCTCGGTGCTGACATCGACGTCACGAAGCGCATACCGATGGGCGGAGGGCTGGGAGGCGGCAGCTCCGACGCGGCCACGACGCTGATCGGGCTGAACAAACTCTGGCGGACTGGCCTCGCCAAGGACCGCCTGCAGTCGCTCAGCCTGACCCTAGGCGCAGATGTGCCCATCTTCGTTTTCGGCAGGTCTTCTTGGGCGGAGGGTGTCGGTGACATACTCACGCCTGTGGAGATACCGGAGCAGTGGTATGTGGTGATTGCGCCCTCATGCCACGTTTCCACGGCACTCGTGTTCAGCCACGCCGACCTCGACCGCAACACGCCCGCGACCACCCTCGAGAGCGCGCTAAAACACGGTGGGCTCAACGACTGCCAGTCGCTGGTTGTGAAACTTTACCCTGAAGTACTGAAGTGTCTGCAGTGGCTGGAACAGCATGGCAAGGCTCAAATGACGGGCACGGGGTCTTGCGTCTTTGCCGCTTTTCCCACCCATGAAAAAGCTCAGGAAGTCTTCGCACAGCTGCCTGAGGGCATGGATGGATTCGTGTCACGTGGTTTGAATCTTTCTCCCGTGTATCAAACTGGGATCGTTTCCTTCAACTGAATCTGGAGCATAGTGTACATTGGCGGTTAGCTTGTTATGTAATCACACAACTGTCTGAAAATGTTTTATTGCCCGTCTTGAGAGGAGACGCTTTATGCCCTATGCCTTAGTAGTACTGTTCAATGTCGGGCTGGACATCTCTACGAAATAAATCCTCCGTATACCTACGATTATAGCCTTTATTCAAGTCGGATTACCCAGAATGCTCTGTGGAAAAAAAATGCTACCGGCTACAAAAGATGCCGTTTCTCAACAGCGCCCTCTAGGAATTTTTATCTGAAGAGCCTCCTTGCTAGACTGGAATTGTCGGATCAGCTTCATCAAGCTTCGTTCCACTGCACTTCCATTTGTGAACGACTGTGTTGCAAAGTGAAAGTAAAGTAAACCCAAGGGACTACGCTGATTTTCACCTTCATCGTTGGATCGCATTCCGATGACGTTTATCCTAGCATTCTAGGGAAATTGAGTAGACGAGTGAAGTTGGGGAAATTGGACTGGGTGAACCAGTGGTAGGGTGTCTGATGATCTAAGTGGGTTTAGGATGGTCAGAATATACCAAATAGTTTGAAACAGAAAGCTACTTTGATTTCTTTTGTCTCACCTAGTCAAGTGCAATCAGAAAAGAATTGAGGTTTATTCTTACTTGTTCTGCCTTATAAAGGCAAATATGAATTCCCTAAGTTTATTTTAACAATAATGCATGTATCAGAAGATACAGTATTACCGTTAAACCGGTCGAAAAGTATAATTTTGCTCAGTAGGCGACTTTAGACACGCCCACTTACACGGTGTCACATTCATATGTATTAAGCCGCGTCCGAATCACTGGGCAGTGACTTTAAGTTATACACGACTTTGGGGTTTTGTGGCTACTATATCACAGACTCGCAGCCAAGTAATTTGGACAAGCAGTTTGGTATAAAAGTAAGGTCATTCAAGAACAGAGCATGCGTGCCATTCGGCGTATGGTCACGCTGACATAAGGCAGACTTCGCACGTTCGTATTGCTGGGTGTGTTAACTTTATGGCGCCTTGCGGGGTACAGATAATACGAGGTACAACCCAGACGAATTTCTGGAAGTATTTTGGAATTTATCTCGAAAGAGGAAATATCCAAGATATCGTGTCGGAAATCTCGCCAATTGAAGTCACCAGGATACAAAATCGGCCGTGGATACGCTTCACATGTGTACGCTTTTGGATCTTCTTCAACTTCACGACGTCAGTTTAATAAACATACAGATACTTTCTCACCTTAATACTTCGAAGTCTTGGGTCAAGACCTTGTCGTAAATGTGTGTGATAATACGCCCTCCACCTGAGAGGACCTTAGGCCTATTCATACTCCCTCAAGTGGGGACGTCAGACATACGAGGCGGTGGAGCGCTCGGCTGACGGCTTTGCACTGCGATTATGCTCGACCTGTGACCGCGACGTTATCACTTCCTAATCCGGTTCAGAAGTGTGACGTCACTTCAGTTTAAAGCACGCCCACCGCACACGTGCACTGCACAAGAGTTACACGCATTGATCGCTGTTAACGTGGAACCATGGAACCGGAAGTTAACGCACAACTTCAGCGATTGTCCAATGAGAGCCTGCAAATTGTGGCGCGTCCGCCTTTGTGACGACATCACTTACCAACCGGATAGCGAAGCTTCATTGAAATTTTTTGGTTCGCCAATGGCAATGCTTTGAAACGCGCAAAGTGCCGGCTTTATGATAAAAACATGGCCTTGTATAATGTGGTTTATCTTCTCACTAAGTATCACTATTCACGTGTCTTTTGGCGATATATTTCAAATCATTGGTTATTGTGATCAATTTTGGATGAACGAATAAAGTGTAGTGGGAATATTTTCAGCAATGAGGAAGAAAAAGAAAAAAACATCGAATTGATAACCGCCGCTTGTGTAGCGCATTGAGCGAGCTCGCGCGCATGGCAGAAATGTACCCACAATGCTCTGCGCGTCGTTAGCTGTGACCCCGTGTGACGTATTTCCTTCACTAAAATCTGTGCAAGGCCATCAGCCCTTCCTAGCGGCCCTGTTCGAGCGCTGGGCGACGAGCGAAGTCACGTATTGCAGCAATTTTGATGTGTATGACGTAGGTTTGGGGGATAAATTGCATTTCAGCAAAAGCACGCAGCGTTCAGCACTTCCGCGTGACGCGTGCGCAGGAAGCTTGTAAGTCACATTTGCCCTTTCCCAGCGCCCTGAAAGGGCGGTGATGGGGAATAAGCGACGAGGTGCTAAGTGCGCACTTGACTCTGTGTGTTTATTGCCAGAGGGTGAACAATAATGGAATGAACTTGTCCGTGGAGACAAGAATATTTTGATGCGTTTTTTTTCGGCGCATGCCACTAATTTTGTTTATTTATCTTTTTGTTGGTGTTTTAGATTTAACGACACAAGGTTTCTGAGGGAAATGCATTCACTTAAACTAATAGTGAGAATTTTCTGGGGATTTTCACACAACATAAACCGTAAATAAATCAAAAATAACCATTGCATCAAGGACACTATGTGACATCTCCATTTAAATGTTACTAGTATAAACAACATACTTTATAGCAAATGAAATGTTACAAATAGCCTTTATCCCGTGTAGTCTGGTGTTTGGAAAAAATGTGAATTCATTATCATGAATATATAAACCTTTTTGACAGGTGGAATTGATATAAATGTTTGCGCTGACAGAAAATATCGCAATAGATGACAATTCAGTTACAATTAGGTGTAAATCTGTTAGTTATCGGTTTCAACAATTCCACGTATATATTCATTAAAAAAAAGAGAATTAATCATTTGAAAATTTTGCACAGAGACGTTTTTAGAGATGTAGGAAGTGTTTTCAATCTGGCTATAACGCACTGCAGCCCCCCCCCCGTTTCATTACCCTGGACATAAACGTCCTAACTGCAACATACCCGTGGGGATGCATTTTGTCTCATCCATTTACGCCACACATGCGTTGGTCCGTAAAATCCCGAAATGGATTTTGGCTGTATAGGCCCACATCAACCAATCAAGTAAACCTTTTCGTTTGAGTGAGTGGAAAGCTAACTCGCGGTGATTGCTTCAAAGCTACTTTTTTGCTGTGAGAGTAGGTCCGAAACAGCTCCAGCCTTTTCCGCCCTATTTGCGTGTTCTTCCTTTGACACCAATCGCCTAAAAGACTATAAAACCGCACTTTACCAGTCTGTTCAATTGATCGTTGGCATGATGTTTGCTTCATGATATATTTACACCTTTTTCCGAAATGAATTCGTTTTCAAGGCTGATTTCATTAAGCAGGCTTGACACATTAACATGCCTTGTTTTCACTCGAAATAAAAATTATATGCAGTACTTTTTTTCAACATTTAAACCACATTGAGCAAGGGCCTTTCCGTTAAATCCACAACAAAGTTGGAAGATCGTGTTTACATTTGTACAAATACAACCTTTCATGTCTCCGTGAGGGGTGCCACTGAATCATTCGATTTCCAGCTAATGACTGAGCGCTATTATGTGGTCGTCTCAACAGCTTGTTGCCTCGGAGACCATGGCGGTGTCCGTAGATTTGTGTACCTTACCCTGTTTGCTCTCGTTCGGACTTCCCATTCTAACCTCCTACTGAAATCCAGAGTGCATTCTACTCGGGAAAATTTGCCGTTTCCATCGAAAAGAAAAAAAACAGGAAAGACTCTTTTTCTGATTTTAGCAAATACACTGAAGGTGTGTGTTTGTCAAATTTTCCCCAGTGAGCCGGAGGAAAAAATAGGGCGTAGTTTGTCTCCGTATAAAGGCTATATTCAATTTGGAAAGTCCAAAATCCTGACCGCGACCGAAAGGTTTCACCGGCTCATAAATCATCGTCAATTGAAATCACCGCCGCTGATAAAGCTAAAATCACTCAGCATGGTAAATTACAGCTCGCAAGTGCACTTCTGAGAGTGGATATTAGTTTACGTGGAGGATAATAGACATATATAGTGTAAACGTTAATATTGAAGAAAGTCAAGAGAATGTTTTTAAAGTAGTGAACAATGACATTATGAATATAACGTCATTTAAACATAATCATGGTAATTTGGGTGCAAAAGATGGTGTTGTTTTAATTGTTATTTAACATTTTTTATCCATGCCTTTAAAGGTGATGACGTTCGGTCGACAGAAACAAAGACGGGAGAAGAATTAAGCGATGCCATTCCAATGCAACGACCACAACAGAATTCAGTTAATCGGTCGATTTAATTTGCAGGGATCTATAACTGTCAAGTTCTCATTCCTTTAAGCACTACGAGTTCCCCTCCCCCCCCCAAAAAAAGCACATCCATGACTGATCAAATTCCGCGAGACGGGTAGATTGAGCGTTTTTAATCGGTTGTCGTATAATGAAGCATCACTTTGGTCTTGCCTGGGTTGATTTAATGTTGTGCCATTTAGGAAAAGATCTGTTACATACATGCAATTTCCGTACCCATGGAGTGAGTCAAGTAGCGTGAGATTGCCTGCACCATAAACAGACCCCCCCCCTCTGGCTGAATTGCTTTGGCGCCACGCAGATTTATTGTGGATCACCCGGAAAAATTTTTAAGGTTGCATTCATGTCTTACATTTCGTTGTTAGCTGACGGTTAGCCTGAATATTTTTCTTCCACGGATAAAAATGGGCCAAAGGAGATTGTCTAGTACCTGGGCTCAAAAGCCGAGCTGGCGGCGAGTAACACGCAGTGAATCTTCACTTGCGCGTGTCGACCTTGGCGGGCAAACCAGAATTAATCCACGATGGACAATTAGCCTGAAAAGAAGAAAGATACAATTCTTGTACTCCTATCTTTTAACTTTTGGGATTGCCAGTGTAAAAGAAGCCAGTCGAATTTAGCGTTTCTTTGACTTCAACTTTATCATTTTCTTTTCCAAACCAGAGAGGACATGATTGCTTTTTGTTTCCATTTGAAGGCAATGCAATCAACACCTTAGGCAAAGTGCACCATCCATGGCGTGATAGCTTACATCCTTCGACCTTTTTGGATAATTAGACTTCATGTTGATCAGTGCACACAGCGGCGTATCCGGCTTTTGGTGTCGTGGGTGGGGAAAACTTCAAAAGCGAATGCAGCTTCGGGCTCATTCAACATGATGTTGGGGGAATCAAAAGCGTTACTCACAGTTTTACTTTGTGGTGCTGTTTTCTTAGGGTTTGGGTGCTAACATTTGATAAATAAAAATACCGGTATTACTTTCTTTCCTACTCACATATGAAGTATTTTTTGTCAGAGGGCAAGTTGCCCTTCCATGCCCCCTGCTGGATACGGCACTGAGCGCATAGTGCCTGCTCTAGAAAATCGCGTAGGCCGGGATTATGGAGAACAAAAAGTAAAATCTGCTCTTCTGGTATTTATGAAGCAGACATGCGTGGGAAAACTTTTTGCTTCTCCCAGAGGAGAAAATTCAGAAAAGGATCACATATTTTGTCCACCTGTAAACGCCGCTTTCCGATACCAAAGCAGAAAATGAAAACATCCTGAACCATTTTCGGTTTTCTTCCTGAGCGTAAGCGTGGTGGGGAAGTCAAGAAAGAACATCTGCCCCTTTTGGCAAAAAAAAAGAAAAGAGCAAAATGAAAAAAAGACAGAGGAATGAACAAAATGGGAAACGGAGATGTAAATGGCCGATTTCCTTGGAATTGAACCCGCATGAACTGTTGCTGATATTGAGTGCTCTGAACCCTTCCCAAAAAGAGTCACGACCCCCATCTTGCTTGGAGTCACAAAGTGCCTTGCCCAAAAGGGAACGCGCAATGACCCCGGGCTGGATTTGAACCCGCAACCTGCGGCTTTACCCGTCGACTATGAACCGAGTGCTCTTAGCTACGCGACCACAGCACTCCACGAGCGGTTGAGAAGTCAAAAAGTCAACAATGTCCCTTGCAGTACAATAAAGCATAAGGTGATGATTTTCAGAAAACTAACTTGCCTGTTTGACAGTAATACGATTGTCATTTCTTATGGTCTTTAATTTCATAACTGTTTGTTGTTTGAAATTGTCTACTTACATTACTAACAAACACAAAACTTAAATTTACACAAAATTTTATATTTATGTAAAATCATATTATATTTTAACAATTCTGGTCGTTTCACATTATCTAATTCTTTCGCTTCGCGCCCTTCAAGCACTTGAGATCCTTCGCTTGCAGAAGTTGATAACTTTTAACCCCCCCCGGTAGCATTGTGAGTGTTTCATTATAGCAATGAGCGGGAAGCAAGGATTCGTTTATTCGAAAATTCCTCTTTGTAAATCAATCTGCTACATTACATATTTTCTTCGGAGTACGAATGCTACGTTAGACATTGCCTTCGTTAGCTGTCTGCTCCGATGCACAGTTTGTCACCCTATTCGGCACCGAGATTGGGCCTTCTGTCTTCTCGGCCACCATGAGGATGCTGGGAGCTGGCTGGCTGGGTCTTCGCCGTCTGGTGTCGGTGATGCTCATTCTCGTTCCGTCTGAGAGGCTGCGGTTGACTCGGCCCGGGAAGATGCGCCTCCGGCAGAGAACGTGCTTGAAGGCCCGGCGGAAGTCCCGCCGAAATATGGCATAAATGAAAGGGTTGGTCGCGCTGGCAAGGTAGCCGAATAAAGCCGACACCAGGTAGAGATAGGATGGCAATGCCTTGGTGTTGGTACAGATCTTGATGAGTTTTGTGATGCAGAACGGAGTCATGCAGAGGAAAAAGACGGCCACTACTAAGGCCAAGCTCTGAATGACTCTCTTGTCGTTGATGGGCTGGCGGTTATTTTTACCGCCACCTTCAGGGCCCGCCGCCTTCTCGTGAGCAACGCGGCAAATCTTGGTGTAGCAAAACGTCATGACGATGGCCGGAATGAGGAAGCAAAACAAAAAAGCGAGAATGACGTAGGTTAGACCTCCTTCCTGACTGTATTTATCCCAGTTAATGGCGCAAACAACTTCCCAATAATCGTATACTACCCACTGGTAGAAGACGGGTATCAAAGCAAATACACACCCTTGTAGCCAAGCGTAGCCGATAGCAAGTTTAGTCACTTTAGGCGTGATTATAGTCACGTAATGCATCGGGTGTAAGACAGCATAGTACCCATCGATGCTGATCATGGAGAGGGTTAACATGGATACTATGATAAACCAGTAGTTGAAGGCACACTGGGCGTAGCACCAGGACGAACCCATGAACCAACCGTCTGCTATCAACGAGACCCAGGCGCTGGGCATCACCAGGGTGGCATTCATCAGATCGGTCAGGCTCAAGTTGATCAGGAACACGTTGGATGTTTTCTCCCGCAGACGGGGGGTCTTCAGGATTGCAATAATCACGGAAAGATTCCCCAAAATAGACAAGAGAATGATAAGCACCAGAACTACAGCCGATATCACTATCCCCACCATCTCGCGGCGTTCGAAGTGCCCATCCACATCCTCGGTTGTGCTCGGTCCAGTAGGATCATTTCCTGCTGAGAGGTTTTCCATTGCTGACTGGCAGTTTTTCACCCAGCGATGCCCATGCCGTCGCTTGCACGATCTGCACTAATCGCTCCAATCGGTTGGTATCCTGATCTGTCGGTACAGTCCGTATGCATCATCAGTCTATTCACGCGTGACTGACGTGAACAGACCACGGCCACAGCTCGCAGCCAGCTTATCATCTGGTGTCGCACGTGATTATTATCCGGGCACTAGGCCCACCGAAGTTATGGTGTAGACTATTAGTTGACTCCAGTGATGGATTTCTATAAATAATTTCCTACAGGGAGGTTTAGAAATGCGAAATACAGATAATGGGAAGGGGTTCATTAGTTTGACACACTTCGGTGAATGTAATTCATTTAAAGGACTTTTTTTTATTTGATTCTGACAACACGACGATATTGTTGTTTTGCATGTACATTTACATGACGATGTTTAATATACACTGGATTTCCCGGTACCATCTGCCAGCATATTTTCACAGTATACAGTCGCCTCGTGCTAATTCAGTCCCCGGGATAATCGAGTTCCATATGAGTGCTCCCGTGGCATAAATTTGATGTATTGAAATAGACAGCAACAAACCATCCATCAATGAATGCTTGGCTCATTTGTGCTATGAGCGCTTGAAGCGGCTACGAACAACATATCATTTTTCTTTATCGATTAATCAACGAAATCCATTCACTCACTCTGACTGCTGGCAAGCGTGCATGTAACATGAGCACTGGCAAAGGAATAGGTAGGCCTTACGATGTGTAATACTTCAAAACAGATTGCGACCGTGAATTAAAAGAAAGCTGAACGATAGACTGACTGCAATCAGTAAGTCAGGTGACCTATAGTGGCTGTCAAACATTGGTCAACAAACACGGCGTCCTCCCACGGCAAAGTGTGTCATATTTCAATGTTTTCACCAAAAATAAAGCCGACAGTCGGTAAAGTACTCAGACCACTGTTATGCTGAGTAGTATACTGAAAAATTATTTATTAGTAAATACACTCTGGTAAAACAGAAGTTCCCCCAGTGGCGTAGCCACGGGGGGGGGGAGGAACGTTTCCCCCTATTCCAGGTGCCCCCCTGCCGCACTAGTAAAAGCTGGTACCCCCCGATGCTCGTGCCCCCCCCCTTGTGCCCCCCTCCCCCCCACTAGCATGGCCGTCGGAACCGGGGCCGCGGGGGCACACATATCATGGAGGTAGACACACACACACTTTTTTGAGACGCGAGAAAAATTAAAACACGATATATTAACACTGCATCTTTTCTAAATTTGTTCAGAAAAGGCTAGTCTTTTACTAGTTTTCAAAACGTTTGGAAAGGCACACTTTACGCCGACTGCGCCTGTTTTGTTTTGACCATCTGCCATCTTTTCTTGTCTTGGACGTCGCGTCATATTACGTCATGTTCTTGTAAATGTTGTAAACCCATGTGCTTGAGCGGCTACTCCTGTCAGCTTGATAGGATGCGTGCGCATAGTGCGCATTCGAACGTGCAACCCCTGACTGGTACCCTGGCAGGTGGTCGCGCCGCGACGCGTGCTAGGGTGTGTGTGTTCTTGTCCAGCCTCAACTTCCCAAGGGGCCAATTTTGCCATGCTGTGAGATGTTGGTCCACGTAAGTGATGCTTGTTGGACCACATTGAAGGCATGCATGATTAGCATGCATGGTGCAAAACAAGATGGCGGACAATATTGAAAGGGATTTTAGTTCCGGTTATCATAACTCCTCTCCCCTCCGAGTCCTCAGTGTTGTTACAAACAATTCTAACAGTATGGCATTCCATTCAATAAATATTTATTCCAGCTTGTAGTAAGTTAAAGAACAACTTAAAGAATCATTAAAATAACAATTCGACATGCAACTGACAAGGGCATTGGGCACGACATAGCCCCACACAATGTAGGGCCGTACATCATATGGCTCTCTTTTGAAATCTGTCTTTTATCTATCGCCAGTACAGCCCTACTTGTATGGAAGCTTAGTGCAGATTGTCGGGAACACAATTTTTTCCGAAATAAAAACAGCCAGACAATTTTACTTACACCAGTCGACTACTCAGGGTTTACTATCTGACTATCCCAATAAAATTCCCATGACATAAATTACCGCATTCGTCTTTCCTTTTTTTTTTTTTTTTTACAAAAGAAGGCATCTTTTAAACCCAGCCTGTAAAGTATGTTGACGATGTCCGTGGTCATTTTGAATAAATACACACGATACAATTTTCCTCATAAACTTACTGAATGTGTGTTTATCCCGATACGTCATATTAATGTATTTTGCAGAAGCCTCAATTGAAGGCCACTAAGTGCGACACATTAGCAGAATCAGTAGAGTGGTGCTATGGTATATGCAACACAAATGAAACGAGTTTGATGGTACAGTACGTGCGTACGTGTATATTATACGGTTTTAGTGAAAATTCTTGTCATTATTTCACTTTGTAAATGCAAGCAGATTTGGGGCCAAATTACAGAAGCAAGTGGCCCGGAAAGTCCCTAAGATTGCACCAGAGAGCATCTACAATCCAAAATTTCCTGGAGCCCTTGAGCGGGTCCCGAACCCCACGCCGTGTTGGATGGAAAACACTGGTGCCCCCACACACTTTTTTTATACCTTCCGACGGGTCTGCCACAAGTAAAATCCTAGCTCCTAGCTGCGCCACTCGACAGAACCGATGTTTGTTGGTGTTTGATACCCACTACAGTTCATGTGACTTTGTGGTCGCAATCGGTCTATTGATTTGATTGGGTCAAACTTCATGAATTTCAAAAACAGGCTAGTTGGGAGAATCTTTGGAACGATAGAAATCAACTTCAAGTTCACCAACAATGATCAAAACAAGCATACTCTTTCCTGTCCGTCTTTTATAGTTGCTCCTCAGCAGCCTAACTTTATTGAATCGGGACGGTCATGCATGCGTGCACAAGCCGATCTATCTTCGGTCTTTTGTATCAGAAATCTGGGATAACATGACTGCAGTGCAGGGATTAACTAACGTGCAGATTTCTCCATACTGATGTTTCCCGCGGATTGTGGATTGAACTATCAACAAACAGCACAACGGGTGTCGCACTTACTGCACGCACTTGGGTATGTCTTCAAACACAAAAATATCAAAATACCCCAAGGCAGGTGTGTGTTGTGAGTTTAATACTCGAAAACGTGTTTCTCCATGACAACGTACAAAGCATGGATACTCCAAAGATGGGCTTGGAGCAGTGGAAACCAGTATGATTTGAGAAACAGCAAACAAAACAAAGCAACATTTTCCTACCGCCAATGCATCGCCACTGGTTTGGGATAGTGTGGTAGAAAGGTGACATGGGTTTCAGCATCCTGGTTTTGAATGTCGGTTCAGTAAAACATCGTTTGTGTTTGCTGGTTGCTCTAAACGTGCTTTCGGCCAGAAGAAGCATGTAGGCAGGCAGGCAGGGACACCGTTGGAGCAACGCCGAAATTTGGAAAGGCCGCGTGAACGTATATCTACTCTCTGACAACGACCGTTTAATTAAACACAGAACCTCCCCTATCGAATCAAGACGTTTGCTGCCTAGCAACCACATCGTCAACCGCAACCCCCCCCCCGACACACACACCACCACCACCAGTGGCGTATCCAGCTTTTGGCTGGGGGGGGGGCAAATTCAAAAGCGAATGCGGCTTCGGGCTCGTTCAACATGATAGTGGGGGGAAGATTCAAAAGCCTTACTCGCGGTGCCGACATTCTAGCTTTTATTTCACGGTGTTGGTTTCTGAAGGTTCGGTACTAATGTTTGATAAATAAATATACCGATTACTTTTTTACCTATGAAATATAAAATCCGTCAGGGGGGCAAGTTATTCCCCCCCTACCCCCGCTTGATACGTCACAGCACACCGCACCACCATCGGAATCTGTAAAATGCACTTGAAACACACCTAGCCCCAAGAGCAAACGTGGACTTCTGCAACAAAGGCCCAGAATTTAATTTTTCACAAAACTGCCGTACCATTAGTCAGGACTCAAATATGCCTCAGTTACAGACCTGTGAAGTGAGAAAATAATAGAGCAAAATATTTGTCAGAGTAGGAACAAAACATAAATTAGTAGTTAATTTGCTCAAATTCGGCTTGTGGTAGTCCTACATAATAAAGCAGCTTACCCCAAGGATGGAGTATACGAATCAGCCAGTCTTAAGATTATCTGGACCATCATACAAGGGGCACATAAGTGACGTCATGCGAGACAATGAAAAATAAGGCTAGTAAATAGCATTTAATGGCAAGCCAGCCAAAGTATTTATCGTGTCGTTTGCTTTCTAAAAAGTTAATTCAATTAACTGAGGATACGGAAGAGGTTTACGAGTAATCGGCCCCGAGCTAGGTGGACGTTCAAACTCAGGAAGCAAATGTCAACATTGAATTAGATTTAAGTCGCTTAGCAAATCTAAGCATCCTTGTTACCAACAACTGAACCAGTAAAATAAACTGGAAAACACGTAGAGCTAAAACAGAAGGTTAAACCAAATATACGTCGGATTTCTAATTTTATCGTGGAATGTCCTGGCAACTGGTAACAGGTCAGGCCCGTAGGCTGGGGGAGTTCGGGGGTTCGAACGACCCCCCCCCCTCGCTTCCGAGTTCCGCTCGTTAGTGGGTATTTTTTAATAAATATATAATTTTAATATAGGCCTACCATAATTATATAAGCCGCAGTTTATACCTTGATTCTCATGCGGAAAATGTCTCTGCAGTTTATAATGAACTGCGGGCGGTTTATACGGCAACAATGAACATCAGTCACTAAACGCCGCGCCATGCCTGCAGCGCAGCGAACCTGGACCGCCGAAGCGCACCTCGGCCGGCCAACCACGCGTACCAGCGGCGCAGCGTTTTGGGCGCGGAAACAAGGCAGTCATGTTTTCATTGGTCTGTTCGTTTTTTGTCTTTTACTGTTGTGTAATCCATGTTGTTTATCATTTTACTGGTCTTAAAAAGAATTGCTGCATGGCCCACCCAGCAAGGACACTAAAATAATTTTTAGGACTCGAGAAAGTTTAGGTTTAATGAAGACACTGGTTCGCGCGCTGCTTCACGTTACAAATTAAAGAATTCTGAGAGTGGCGCGGACCCTATGGGCACTTCGAATTTTCGCTTCTAACGTTTGTGTATGGAGCTACATTTTACCTCCAATTTCACAAAAGGTGAAATTTAATCAAACTCCAAATATTCTGATTCATAAATGTCGATTTTGCAAAGTTCCGATGACATAGTAATTTGGTCTGATTTTGTTCCGAAGTGCAAAATGAAATGCGCCTCAAAATATTTTTTTACCATTTTTAGTTAGGTGAGTGGTGGTAATACTGATTTACTAGAATTTATCAGTTTTTAGAACTTCTGAATTTTTGTGGGATTTTCTGAGATTTTTTAAATAATTATGTTCATATCATTCACTCGTCACCGGCACCCAGCGCCCGATTCAAGGTGCTGAGTGAAATTCATATAGGCTACCAGGCAATTTACAATAAGCCGTGAATATTGAAAGCTGAAGTAGGCGACCTATGCAAGTCTTACATGCATCCTTCGGTTCACGACAAACATGGGACTTGTTAATGTTGTGTTCCAAAGCACATTATGATAGGCCTTTGTATAAAATATGTTTTCACAGTGCCCAAAGTTCCACTTTTGGGTTTGACGATCCCCCCCCCCCAGTCTCTGGTCAGGCAACGGGCCTGCAGGTCCAGAAAATACGTACATTTTATTTTCCTTCGTTAACTCGAACTCGACATGAAACAGGTCACCTTTGGAAGTACACTAGGAGCAAACACTGGAAAGTAGCGTCACAGAAGTAGAGGCGGTTCATGTGTGATTCACGACATCTGCGATGTTAAAAGTCATCTTCTTTTTTGGAATCACTCGTTTCTGACAAGTTGTTTTCATTAGTTGGAAAAGGAGAAAAAAATTGGAATCAGTTCAATTCATTTTGGATGGAATCCATTTGAAATTACAAGGCTAAAATAACTGAAATATGTAGGCCCTAATGGTGCCAATCAAGCAAATAAAAGTCACGCGTTCATTTAGTGCATGATGTTGACAAGTGCTCGAGATTCCCATGATAGGAAGAGTCTCAAGGATACCAGAAAAAGGTCAATTGTACACTTACGACAAGGCTACTGGGACTTACAGGAGACAGAAGAGGTTGTTTTCAGACGTGTGAGAGATGATGGTATAGTGGTGCACACTCTGGGGAAACCTCGGGGGACGGCTACGCAGCACAACGCACAACACGACAACGTGCGACGGGGTACGTGTGACACGAGTGACACGTGTGAGGCGACGAAAGGAGCAAAGTACGAATGTTAAGCCACAAAATATGCAAGATGGTATAAGGACAACAGCACGACGCAACTGGCGACACCATAACGTAAAGCTGCGTTGCCTCCCAGTCCTTTTGAAGAGGCGACTCAGTGTGTCCTTAAAAGAAAAATACCCACTACACTGCTCAGCATAGTCGACACCTTTGTGAGTCTGTGGCCGTGTTTCGGGCTTCCAGAGCTACGGCTAGGTCTATTGTCTGCGCGTCTCCACGCATTTCCATTGGAGCGAAGACCTAGACCTAGCTCTAGACAACAGATTCGGATGCAGCCTTTGACAACGCCATGAAAAGAAAGTTCCCGTCACGTCTCGTGATTTTTGGGCGGCACAAACACAAACCGCTCTTTTGCAGAGCCACACATTTTCAAAAACATATTTGAAATAGTCGGATGAATAAAAAACTCCTGGTTTTTTTCAGAGCCACACATAAAAAACACTCCCCCCCCCGAAAAAAGGAGGAAAAAGAGAGATATTTGAATTTTGCCATGTCCATAAAAACTACTCCAAGAACGAATCCATTACTCATAGGATTTTAAAGGTCGCAAATATAATAGTCCAGAAATATGAATACCAAGTAAAGCAACACATTCACACCGATGGCCTGTAATTTTTATGCTTTAAAAATGTTGAAACAAACCGTGGAGCTATTAAAACCGTATGAGCCAACGGCGAATAACGCGGTAAGTCCTCTTTCCAGAATAAGACCTCTAGGGCCTAAATCGTACCCAAGGTGCTCATTATTGCGATAAAGTAGCTTCGTCAAATTGCAGTGAGACCTCAATGTTAAAATCCATACAAATGGTCTCTATAGTTTTGTCAATTTTACTCATATCACACCCTTCCAGAATTCGCCCTTGGCAAATCGGCAAATCCACCTGTGCAGGTAGTGACCAAGAGAAAAGACCGTACAGCCAGTCTATTTCCTAATGGCGTTAGCTCCGCTTCCAGTCTAGATGTTTTTCATTATGAAGGACGACAAGGAAGAGTCGGGAAACAGATCAGATCCAAAGACAGCGGAATCTCCCGAGATCAAACGAGACTTGGATGTTTATGACAACATTCTTGCGGTAGAAACAAAATGTCGTACAGAGACTTGAGAAGTAAGTAGCTTTTTTTTTAAATTTTTTCATTGCTAGTACCAATAGGGTAAGAGTATCAAATATCTTACAATTAAACTGTGATTTAATGGCAATCTGTGTAATTATTTCCTGGGAAGCAGTTTCCTGACACTGACAAGTCAAACGATATTATTGGCTTTTGCCTTTTCCCAGTGACCAATGCAGCTTTCCTTTGCAGATGATCAGATAACAACAGGAAAAAGAAAGGAACTGTTTGCAATTGGTCAAGCTTTTATGCTACTGACAATGATAAACGAGTATAAACTGTCAATCTTTCCTGGTGTGGATGGGCAAAATACTCATAAATTTCACGATTTTAACCCTAACCGCCAGAGTACACTTACTTTGGCTAGAAACCCTGCTGGACACACAGTCTGTATCATTTGTCGAAGTGGCTCACCTGCCCAGTATAATCCAACAGGTCAACTCTCTCTAAAGCATGCTACGGCTTCTACGCAGCACGGCTTACCGGTATATCCAAAAATGATGGTAATTCCTTTTTTTTTTCTTTCAGATTTTACGGAGATGATGAGGGCATTGGGTTACCCTCGCCTGATATCCATGGAGAACTTCCGCACACCCAACTTTCCACTGGTAGCAGAAGTCCTGATTTGGCTGGTCAAACGGTACGTGTCTATGTTACCAGCTCCTAAATGACCATGGTCTTCCTAAATTAATCTCTCACAAACCTTCTCGGAGGATTTGCAGGATTTTGAGGGATTGAGGAGGGTGGAACCCCCTGCTATAGAGTACCGAAGTGTGACGTCATTTAGAACCGGTAAATGCCATACAAATGAATGGATAAGGCATGCGCATTGGTTCACGTGCTGGTTCTTGCACTAATGCCTTTTACACACAAGATTAGGCGTGTGACGTAGTCACTTTGGTACTCTATTGGAGAGGTTTCATGTACATGCGCATGGTTACACGTACACATACAGTTTGCCACCTGTAATTATTATTGGTCATTCGGTTGGTCCATTTCTCAAAGGCTGAATTAACACTGTAAGTATAGCAACTTGTTCAATAAGCTGTGCTTGTGAGCTTTCTGAGAATGCATGTTTTTTATGTCAGAACTTTAACACGATACTCTGGGCAGAAATTCCCATCACAGCTTTTACATTAATCTTTCCAATTTCTTTTTCCTGTTTAGGTATGACCCTAATGCTGACATACCGACAGACACAGACACTGAACAAGACAGGGTTATATTCATCAAATCCGTGGCTCAGTTTATGGTAAGCCTTGCCTTGTATTTCTTCTTCTATTCTGGTCCCGCCCCTTCCTCACAGTGTGCAAATGGAGAAGTAATGCAAGAATTTCATAGGAGTTCACACCTTGACCCTCACGTACTGTACCTATTAACGTTTATTGTGACAGGCTTTCGTCGATGGTACTCTGTGCTTAGGTGCACGGCACAGTCACAGGGACACATGCATGACAGTGTTTGTTTGAACAGTAGAGCAGAGCATGGTTATCGAAACTTGGTTTTAAATTACATTGATTTGTAAAGTACCAGTAAGAGCTAATATATTCCAACAGCGACAAATAAAGACTCGACGAGACTTTGTTGGTCATCAGCATGACTTTTTAATAAACAGCACTATGATTGTCAATGTTTATATAGATACATGTATACATGTACGGTACATGTGCCCAGATCGCATAAAATAGGTCTTAAGGCTATTGTGAAATAATTTTGTTGTACTATTTTATACTGAGCTATCGCTATTTGCTTTAGTTATCCACCAGTTTGGCATTCTATGTGTCGTAAATTTGGTCAAAACTGTTGGAAAAAGGGTGAAAAGTGTTGCGGGTTCCTGTTCATTTGTGACCCGCTCCAGGAAAGGTGATATAAGTCGCACCATGCATTTATGAGCAATGGCACGCTCAACGTTTGATTCAAAAGTTCCTTTTTTCCGACAAAATCATTGAAAATACTAATTCCTTAGTCCTTGTGTGAATTTTGAAGGTGGTTGTAACACAAGAGCATGTTGGTTGCTAAGTCAGATTTAAATGCCTACAACCCACATCAGAGCCAGATATTTCAAAGCCTGTTTTCTTGGTTTTGCAATTTCAATTGCCTGGAACTAATTAATATGCAAATGTGTCATAACAGGAAAGGCTACGGAGCTCTATCATATACCAAATGAAAGCTTACAATGTGGACTTTCCAGTCATGTATATAATTCTTTTTTTTGCAACTTATATCACCTTTTCCTGGAGCGGGTCACATTTATAAGCATTATACAAGATTTTTTTAATTCCCTTTAATCAGAAGTGGTTGTGGGGACTTGTGGTTCATTTTGTGACATATGGTCACACTGCTTGAACCTTTAGGTTTTCATGATGGGAGAATACTTCCATTGGGCAGTTTTTACAGCTCGAGCCATCGCCTTTCGTCCTACAAAAACAATAGCAACAAATTGGTCTGTCTGTCTGTAGGCCACCAAAGCCCATATCAAGCTAAACACCAAGAAGCTCTACCAGGCGGACGGTTACGCCGTCAAGGAGCTCCTGAAGGTGACGTCAGTCCTTTATGGAGCTATGAGGACCAATGTAGGAGACGGGGAGGAAGACGGAGAGAACGATGGTGCATCGTCCTTATCCTTTGACATATCCTCAAAGGTAAGGACGAAAAAAAAAATTGTTTTATTCATTATTAATCAGGATTAAAGCCAAAGATAGTAAATGTGTCTTATTTGATTATGATGACAACTGACAGCAGGGAACCTGTTTGAGTGTCATCCGTTGTTTCAACAGAATCTACAACAGCTCCAAAATAATGTCTGATATATGTGAGCATGCAGATTTTGTCCGACCCAACACGCTAGCCAGTGAGAGTGTTGTCATTTCAAGAAATCTACTTAAGGCAGTTGATGAGTCGTCAGGTGACCTCACTCTTTCAGGTTTAGGCAGCCTCCGTGGAAATCCTGACCAAGACATTTTCAGACCTGAGAAATATGCTTTTCTTTCTGTGGTTTGGGTTTGCAAATACACAAAAAAACCACCTCAGCCCAACGATGTGTACACATAAACATCCATAGGCCTAGCTAATCTGCATGGTGTGACGTATGTTGCACTTCAGACCTATATGTGCATGTACATCTGTTCTAATATATATGCGTCATGTTTTCCTCTGTATTAATGAGCTTGCTGATTGATTAAAATCTGGAAATCAGTGGAGTATTGTGTCTCCTTGCTGATTGATTAAAATCTGGAATTCAGTGGAGTATTGTGTCTCCATATAAATCAACAAATGTGCACCGATATCATGCATGTAGATGTTTATCTGCAAGAAAGCACCTGTTACATTGACCAGCCAGAAATCTTGCTTTATATCTTACAAGGACAAGGATATCGTCACATGTTCCCTTTCCTTTAGCACGCTATTTGCCCGATAAGTTGCTCTCCACTAGTCATCCCTTGTCACTTTCAGCTGTGCCTTGGTGATTCTAGCTTGTTTGTCGTGTTGATCATTGTCTTTTTTTCCTTGAGAAAGAATCTCGTGGGATGAAAATGTCGTACCTCTAACTTTCAAAATCAAAACTGTGAAAATGTTCTGCATCGCAAATTCCGTCGTATGATTTGGCTCAGAAGGGTTTCTCTCTAAAGAAAAAGAAAGGTCAATCTTAGCATAAAGTGTTATCATACTGGGTAATTTATAGTGGTGAGTTTTATGCATGTGTACATGTCACTGTGTGAGAAATGACTTTGTTGTGGAAAAGCCACTCAACGCATACTTCTTGATGACCTACATTTATGTGTTTCTTGTTCCATTTCCCTTTGGGTTGAGATTTTAGAACTAACTCAAATGGAAAAAGGAATTTTAAGAACCTGATTCTACAGTCTGATTTAGTACAAATTTCTTTGTTAACATTTTCTGTCAAATCTCGATACTTTTGGCAAGTGCTGCGCATACAACAATTACATGTACATGTACATGTAATGTACATGTACATGTAGCATTATGCTCAGGCTAACTGAAGATGAAATCATGATTACATGTATCACCAGCATTGTTTGCACTCTGCGCATTGGCAGTCACAAGTAGTGGGTTGTTTGCAGACCAGATGATTTGGGTCAATTTTGCCTGACGCTGGATATGCCATTAAAACAAGGGGTTTTGTCCGTTGTGTGGAACAACTGCATGTGCCGAACATTAGGCGGATCATGTGCCACAAATCATGATTAATGATGCTCATAAATAGCCAATGACCACATTCTGTGATGTCTAACATCCAGAATGCAATACATCCTTTCTCAATTTCATATCTCTGACTAATGAGGCAGGATTTGTTTTTTAAAGCATGCATTGTAACTGGCTCTAAAAGTTTATCCTGCGACCTTTGGGTGTTCCATCATCACGAGAGAAGTGACTTTTTTATTAAACGTGCGAGCACTGTGAAGCCCCCAGCTCCTACAGCCATACATAGAGAAGATTGCGCTAGAGGAATCATAAATATTAATGGCACCAGACTGTACATTTTAGGGATTTTAGAGGGAAGAGGAGTGTAAAAAAAAAGTACACGGTTTAAGTAAGGGAAATCAACAATATTTCCTGGCTGTTATAAATGCGACTGTTTAGGTACAAATGAAACAGAGACCACCGGTACATGCTCTCACATACAACCTGTCATCTAACTTTTTTCCAGTTTGCCCAGACCAGCAACATTTCATCCTACACTCACATGACGCTCTTTGTAGTTCAGCAATATTCATTTTTTTTGGGGGGGGGACAAATTGAAGTCGAAGAAAAAGATAAAGCGGCGATGCCCTTTTTGTCTTTTCCTTATAGTTCCAGAAATATCCTTTAATTGCATAACCAGACGTGTAACACGCACAGTGCTTCTAATACACAATCGCACGCTCTGGGTAAGTGGTTATACAGAGGTAATGCAGTCCGAGTGATCTGATGAGCATTTGCCACATTAAACAGGTGAAATTTCATGATATTGAAATCTTCCAAACCTTTGTTGTGAAAGCAGAATTACATCCCACGAGAAGGACATTTAATTTCTCTGCCAGTGCACTTCCACTACTGTGAGAGAGGAAAAATAATTAATTTGGTCCAAGAATATGCAGCCATGTTGCTTGCAAGGCACTGTTGTGACGTACATTGTACATGTACATGTAACGGTGAAATCCACTGACATTCTTTTGTCAGAGAGCTGCCCCAATTGATCAAAATCCAACACTGCCGGGACCACTTGGCTAACATTCTTTGTACATACAAAACAAAATGGAACCCCAACCTGGCCAGATCCCACAATGACATACATGTACATTGTGTCCTTAAAGAGCACGTGACCTCTGAGTAAAACATGATTGCTCTGATTTTATCTGTTTTCATAAATATGGAAGCATCCAAATTGAAATCGGTGTGATTTGTCTTCAGAGCTTAACTATGGTATAACAAGCTAAAATGGGCTTTTTTTTCTGTGCATGCCAAGATGCAAATTCTGAATATAGATTGTGTCCAGGAGTAAACTCCCCTTTAGTGAGAGTATATTCTCGCTGACCGATGGGTCGTACTCCAGCTGTTCTAGCACTCAGGTTGATACTCGTGTTAATACGAGTGGCTCGCTTGAAGCACCCATGGTGTCCTGACACTACTCTGGCCGTACACGTTCGCAACCTTACAGCCATTCAAAAAACATCTACATGTACATTCCAAGAAGATTTCTGCAAGTTAATTCACAGAACTCAGTCTGTTGTCTGCGTGAGTTATTTTCTATGTTTACAAGTTAAATTTGAGGTTGTTTTGCTTGTACATGTACTTGAAGCGAGCGCGCTTGCGCAAAATTTCTTGCTGTGGCACAAGGTTTATTGCCCACCCTTCTGGATGCATCATGGACCCTTACCACACAATACGCGGACATTGTTGGCCAGTTTGAGATCGTCACTGCCTGACTAGCATTGTACATAGTGGTGTGAATTGTCCATAATTCTTAAGAATTGTCGACTGCAGAATTGCAGAAATTTTCACATAGATTAAGGCAAGTTTTTATCCCTTTTGGAGGCAATTTTCGGTAGCTTTTGTCCCCATTCATGCCTTACAATCAGCAACAAAAATTGACCCCCCCCAAAAAAAAATTTCAGACCTACCGACCCTTTTTTTTTTAAGAGGTACGTAAATCGGAAGCAGAACTAATTTTTGGGGGGCCTCACATAGAATTTTGTCATGGCAGTGCATATATGGTTTCATCATGAACAAGTCCAATCGTCCAAGTCCATTTTCCCTTGGCACTTTTGTGAAGTATTTTCTTTCTTTTTAAAATCTATTTGACATCTTTTTTGGGGTTAAAATTTCCCCAATAATGTCCATGTTTTCCCGGACATTTTCAAGTTGCTGTTGTCATGATGTCATATGATGCTGGAAAAGACACTCGAACCAAATCTGCTTTATATATTGAAACATTTCTGTATATAAAAAGATACACTTTGCTCATAGCAATGGTCTTACAGTAACAGATGACCAAAGAAATGTGGCACAGCTTACATGTAATATCAAAGGTTGCCTCTGTGTGCATGCTAAAATGTTTTTGGCTTTGGAGTTTTCTGCCCAGAATGACACCACAGTTTTGCCCGTCAAATATGGAGACTCATATCTGCATAAGAACCAAAAAAGTGTGCGAACACCTTTTAAAATGGCCAAGTAGAAATTCAAAATAAGGTTAAAAGTGCATTTTAAGGATTGTACCATAATTGCATTGCATGTGCATGTACATGTACATGTACATGTACATGCAATTATAGTACAATCCTTAAAATGCACATGTACATGTGCCTGAAACTAGTGGTACAGTAACCCTGGAACTAGTGGTACAGTGGAGAAAAAGGGGCCTGTTTGTTTATTTGTTTCACACGGATCTGGAGCTCAATCAGTGATCCTGAAGCTGCTTTATGTCATCCGTTAGTCTGGTTCTGGTGTCGGTGAACTAGCGTTGGATCAGTGATCGTGATCTGGATCAGCGTGAAACAAACAGGCCCCAAGTACCTGTACCCATGGAAGAGGTCTGGTTTGAATAACAGCTGGACTGCTGCGTAGCGGCGCGCAGAAGCATTGCGTCCGCGCGCAACTTAATAACAATGACATTCTTTGTATTTTTGAATCATTTCATCGTATCCTGTGTATTACGGTACAAGTCTGGGAAAAGAGAACCTTCAGGTAAATACATTTGTAGAACAATTTAAAGGAATGATTTTATTTCAGATTTGAATTACACAGATTAAATGTACGATACGATAAGATTGCAGTGCAGGATTAATTAGTACCGGTACATGTACGGTAATTTACAAAGGGAATATCTCCCATTATCAGTGTGCAAAGCTGGACCACTGTTCATTGCATTAGTGATTGCTAATGTAAAAATGCATGTACATGTAGATTTGCTTTCAATTTACTAGATATCTCTTAGTCTGGCTATCCATAGAATATTTATTCCTGGTTTGTACATTAGACAAATTAGACTCAATTTTATCACGTCAATGGCTTGATTTCACTCTGCCTTCTGTTTGTTTTATTCATGACTGGCCCACTAATTCTAGTTTTAGCTTTATTCCAATGACGGCGATATCTGGTTTAATGACTAGTTTAGTAGTATTGGACGTAGTTGAACATATTCTAGTAGAATGTCAATTTATGTTAATCTTTTCACTGGGGAAAGTGAACATAGTGAATAGTTTGAAACTTATCGATTCGAGTTAGATTTCTAATTAAGCCCTCTTTCTGTTTCTGTGTTTCCAGAATGTTGTCGTTGTTCTTGTACGCCCAATAAAATAATTATACAGAAGCAACCATTAGAAGATTCCGGCTTGTATCGTAGTGATGTGACGTTGCGCTTCTTGTCTGCAACAAGGTCCCTATCACACTGACTCATGTACGTTGTACATGACATTGGCTGCAAACATACATTTTATTGTCTACTGTAGATTTTATTTTTAGTTGAATGTGCGGTATATCTACTTTGTGGAAATCCCTAAATTGGCTCAGTGGAATTGGATCATTCAGGGATGCACTGCAGTGCATGATTAATTAGTACCGGTACATGTAAGGTAATTTACAAAGGGAATATCTCCCATTATCAGTGTGCAAAGCTGGGCCACTGTTCATCAGCACGCTACATTAATCTTCCTTTCTTTTGTTAAGATGCCACTGTTGCTGCATTATGAATGGCCACCGCACTTTTTTTTGTGCGCACATGAGAGTGCTGTTGATATCCATTGGTATATGTAGCTACCGGTAAATAATTACATGTGTAAGTAAGGAAGTAAGATGAATGGTGTTGTTCCTTTTCAGAAATTAGTTTTGTGGCCTCTAAGGAACAAGAAGCCAAGACTTTGCAAGCTTGAACATTTCTTTAAAAAACGGGGGGTTCTCATTCACTTACTGCTGTGCCCTTCCGAAATGATAAATAACCAAAGAGCAGGAAATTTGGTGCAGCAAAATATCCAAGAATTTTTTTATGTTCGTTGGTCACGCCATTATTACTGGCAGTGGGGTGTTCTGTCCACAATACAATGTTACTCACAAATATGGAAAGTTACTTGTGTACGTATAAACCAAAAAGACTCTGAAATACATGCACCGTTCAAAATACATGGAGGCAAATAGAGAAGAAAATGAAGTTACATGTACATGTAAGTTGGGCGTGAAGGTGCATTTTATGGGTTGTATTGTCAGATTTTATTGCACAGATATCGGCCCTGAGCGGGAACAAAAGAGGGCATGTTTTTAAATGAAAATGGTCCTTTAGTACAAACTCACCACGTACATGTAAGTTAGCAAAGGTCAATCATCCAAATGGCGTTCATCTTCCTTTTACGTGTATTCCCCTGTTGCCCTATAAAAAAGTTTAGAATGTGGAATCACTTTCGATTGAGTTGTCTAAAATTTAGCTGTATCTGAGATTTGTATCAATTTGAAATCCCAGCCTCATTGTCACACCTGTTGGCATTTCTTTAAGCATTGATACTGGCAAAATTTATGCAATCTGATCCAGGTTCCCACCCAAGGTATTGTCAAGGTTTAACGGTGTCTTACACATAAACATGTAGTTCAAGGATCTCTGTAATCTGATTGTAGATAGTAACTGCTAGTAACTCAAATCCCTCGCTTTTTTCCCATCTCAGAGGGGAAGTTTTTATTCCCTGCCAAGATCACAAATCAAATCATTAACGCCCCTCTTCCTCTGAAATGCCTTTCTTCAAAAGGTCTGATCACCCGTAAAGTTCTCACGACCTGTTATTCATCATTATTGTAACTCCTTTAATCTGAAGACCCTCCCGTTACTACCTTGTCAATTGTAGCAAAGGACAGTGCCAGCAAAATTGACCTACAGAATGGCAACCTTTTTGAATTCTTGATTATTACACTGCACTGAACAAAGACCTCTGGTAACAAGGTTAAGCCCCTGGCATAAGGCTGTAAACACTTGCCTTAAGTGATACATACTGGTAGAAACTTCATAGAGTGATGATGGTAGACGGATAACTCTCTGAAAATGAATTTGATGTTGCAGTTTGTGAATACAAGGTAATGCACTTTGTAAATGGAGAAAATGCAAACAATGGCAGAATTTGTCTTGTAATAACATTTACGTGTTATTCCAAGTTCAACTTGAAAATTTTATTAAAAAATAGTTTGGCTTACATACCATGACAACTTACAAGAATAACTTTTGTGAGTCTGCCAATCAATTAAACATGTAAAATTTATATTCCCAAACTCCAAGAATCATGTAAAGGCTAGTCTGCATTAAAACCAGCTTATGTGTGCCGGATTTCAGCAAAGTTACAGTCACGTATTCCGATTTCCGTCCTCTATCCTCCATGACTTTGTCAAAGAAATGACCGGAACAGATATTCCAGTGTACATGTCCCCAACTGAGTGTGACGGCACACTGACATATTTGCTTCCCCAACGTCCAGGACAAACAAACTGTAGGTGAACACAACATTCCTTGGGTCCATACCGTAAGACCATATTCGCTGGCTACTAAGTACTGGTAGTTCTGCACTGTACTTTACATGTATTAATTAGCACCAAAGTATATGTAATGAAGGCTGGAAAAAATATGAATATTATAGTAGTGTAATACATTACATTTAGGCACATGTTAATATTGGTGGATTTCTTAGCTATGATTTTAAAGGTCCTCTTGGACTTTCTAAACCTAGAGAGCCTTGTCATAAATGTCCCAGCGTCTCAACATCCCATGAAGCTGTCATGGAATACTTGAGTTGGGTTCATTCGTTTGTTATCATTTCTTGTGATTCTACAATGTACATCCCGCAATGCATAGTGATGCAGTACCTTATTCCTTCAGGATGACATGCTGAATTCAAGAACAGGTTTGACCTTGTATTCAGCGTTAATGTTCTTCCTGGAGTCAGACTATCATATTCATAATCATATTTATTGAGTGTTACTTAATTTTGTCATCAGTTGCAATTCACTCCAAATGGCTTCTATTGCTCTATTAATCATTTTCAACTATTATAGATGTACATGATGATACATAAATTTGAATAATTACCGGTCCCATTGGCTGGAAAGCATTGTTTTAAAACTCAAATGTTGCTTCCAAATATTATATCAGCTGTTTTTTATGTAAGAAATATAAATAACATGTATTGGAACTACATTCATGTATATTGACATTCTCTGTTGATAAACCTGTAGTGAGTATTGAAAGTAAAAAATATTAAAGGCTGCATGTATATTAAGAGGACTGTGCTTTTCTTCCATATTTTTTTTCAGATTTCGGACCTGAAAGCATGCCGACTACTTGCATCACAGATTACAACCAAGGGAGCAAGTCTGTATGATTTACTTGGGAAGGAGGTTGAGCTGAGGGTAAGAAGTTGGCATTGTCTGAAACCTCAACTTCCTGTACCTTGATTAAATTTCAGAAGTTGACAGAAAATGCCACTTTTTGGGTTAAATGTAAACATTATTTCCACACACACACACACACACAGGCAGGTTGGATGCTGACACCGGATCTTGAAGTTGTTTGTGCTAGGCCAGAGCAGTTTTATTGCCAATTAAATCAGGGCACATGTATAATCTGAGTATCTGAGTTCCCTGTTGCCAGTGGAGTCACGGAACCACTCTCAAATTCTATTTAAACACAGAGAGCATGTTCACGATCATCATGACAACATGACATGTGGCTCACCACAGACCAGAATTTATGAAATACAGCAACAAACACCAAGGCAGAGGACATGTATGTTCCTCCTGGTCACTGTAAAATGTGTATGTTTCATATTCCCAGCGGTGGTATCTCATGCTATTATCTTTTTTCATTTGCTCTTCAATCTTGTCAGTACTTTTCAACGGAATTTGGTGTAAATAATGTCTTGAAATTCCACCAGTTGACAAAAACCGCAGTGCTGTTGAATCCTAGGTTTCTCTAGTGAACCAGTTTTAGTATAAATCCTAGATTTCTCCCTGCTCCCTCCCCCCAAAAAAACAAAACAGGGGTCAACGAAAGGACATCGCAATTAATAATTTTCCTTGTAATTTAAGATCCAACTTGCTGTTCAAGTGTTTCAATTTGTCAAAGTGTTTTAATTTATCTTGCAATAAAATATGCACATATTACACAAAACACCGTTCCAGCGTAATCTATCACCGTGGCATAACAAAACAATTTTTGCCTGCTGTGACAGGGTGCATGGGTTTTGTTCACCCTCAGGGGCAAATGTGCCATCAGCTTCACCCCAAGTGCCATTTGTCCCCTTGGGTGTACAAAACACCATGGACCCCTACACTGTAGGCAACAGTTGTTAAATGATGCAAATTCCCAGTTCGTGGTTATCGTGTGAGCTGCAGAATTATTAAAATGCCATAAGTGACACAAATTATAATTGGCTTTTGCAGGTTATGTACCAATAAGGTACCTGCTGATTTTTGGGATGATTTGCCAACTCCAAAATAAGTATTGGAACAAAACAAAACACTATGGGTAGCAATAGGTCACTTGGGAGAAATTTTGTGGTAAATTTTTCAACATTAGGGAGACATCGGTCATTAGGGAGACATTTCAGTGTCTTCCTAATGCTCCAACTACCGAAAGGAGGAAAAAATGTCCACATTTTGAGGGATGATAGATTAGGGTCTGAAAGGAAAACATGCAAAGTTTGGTTAAGATCGGATTAGGGAATATTGAATTATGGAACTGTAAAGTTTGAAAAATTTTGTGCACATTCCTATGGGAATGGCTCCCAAGTGACCCATTTTCAGTAATAATAATTCCAGCATGTATCATTTACCCCACTTTAGTGATACAACACAAACACCCCTTAGCATTAATATCAAGGTCTGGATTCAGAAGGAACATCACCTGAGGTCCATGCTGGTTTCCTGAATAAAATTCAACCTGTAAACAATCAACAGCTAGATATAATCCCAAAGAAAGTAAAAACTATGAACAAGGATAGAACACCGAATTTCAGTTTTTATTTCAATGTGAGTAGTGGAAATTTATTTAACCTACATGTGTATATGATGAAATTTGGTATCACTTTTAAAGGAGGCTTGTACTGCTCGTATTCATGCAAAATGAATTGAATAATAATTAGGATAATTTTAGATTCACTGATGCATTTATTTGCTATGACCTAAAGTTGACAAAGACATTAAATGCAATTCCATAGCAGAAATTTTCACCAAATAGGAGGGAAATTGAAGCTAAATTGATTTTTCAAAGAAATTCACACTGAATTAAAATGCAACCTACTGGTATTTACCGCTGTCTGCAAGACATTGGTTAAATTTGTTCCAATTTCATTTCTATTGGGTCCATTGCATAAGACTCATTGATTAAATTTGTTCCAATTTCATTTCTGTTGGATCCATTGCATAAGAGACTCGGGCAGAATTGGTCGGAAGTATGAATTATGCAACTCATTTACTTTTTTTTTAACTCATTCACAAGTCTTTGTGTTGAACTTGGCTACTATATGCGGCCTCCAAATATCACTCTGTGACCCAGCCATGGGACGTTGCAAAAATTGTTAACTTAAAGTTATGGTAATATACCGGTACATGCATCACATCTCAAAAATTTTCTACAAATTACTTCCAAAAGTCTGTGATTGTGGTATCCCACTTAGTTATGTACTGGTATGATATCTTGTAGTTTTGAAAAGTTTAAATTTTTGACCAAAAATAATGCCACACCTGGGGCCAGATTACTTGTGGAATAGTACTACATGTACATGGCATGTGGTTTAGTTGGGCAATTAATCAGGTAACTAGGAGAGAATGGAGTATCATTTCCAAGTCATAGGGGAATACATGTACTGCATGGTATCTATGTCTCATAAACATGCACAGTATATGTAAACATGAGGCACTTGTTTGTGTTTTTATTGTAATGGATTGGCAAATGTTGGCTCAGTTGTTTACTTGTCTGCCAGTGGGCATTTCCCTGTTGTGTATTTGCCTGCCTTAATAGCAGTGGTGATTAATGTTACCATCCTACCCAGTATGCTGTAAACTGCTGGTCCATTTTTTTTCTGGGAAGTGTGAAAGTCCAATGGACGGTTTGCATGGCTGTCTTCTTACGGGCCAGTGCTTTTGTTCCACAGGGTATGCACAAAGGAGGATTCCCTGTGGGACAAAACAACTGCCCTGCAAGATGGCTACCATGGAAAGCCTCAGTGCCTTTATGTGATCAAACATTGGCATACATGTACATGTACTCTTCATACTCCCAACAAAATTTGAACATGAGGAGAGGTTTCACTGTGTACATGTACATAATATGAAGTTCTCCTTGGGCCATCAAGGACTTGGATGATGAAATTGAGTAGATTTTGAAACAAGTGAAGGTTTTTTAACACTATAAACAAAGGAATTATGAAGATACAGAAGTTCACTGGAGCAGGATTTGAACACGCAACCTTCAGAATACGGTACCAGTGCTCTACCAACAGAGCTTTTCAACCTTGTGTTGGTGGCTTCTCCAATCTGTTAGTGTCTATATTTTGGGTGGGGGGGAGTCAGCTATAAGAAATACGTAGTGGTTTACATGTAAAATGCCTCTCCTGTCAATCAATCTCTTTGTCGATCCATGTGATTACACTGAGAATACACCTGGCCAATTCCCACGTACATTTTGGAAACTTATGAAATCTGTTTCATTTGTAATTAATTTGAAGTTTCCGGTGCATGTCGGCGACTCACAAATACTGACAGTCTTGTACATGTACGCCTACAATGTTATTTTCAGTTGAATCACATTTCATCAAGAACCACAGTTTCTTTTAGGATATTTCTGTCCATTTGTTGCTCAGGCAACACGACAAGTAAATGTTCACAAGCCCAAAGTGCTTTTTGAATGGGGTTCGTTAAACAGAAACCTGTCATGTCATACATCAAACATAACCAAAGCGGATCAGAAAAACAAACAAAAATAATTTTTTTGTTGTTTTCCTTCATTACTGTCTCTCTCTCTCTCTCTTGTTGACAGGAATTAAGGACGACGGCTATTAACAAACCTCTTGAGATCAATGAGATTGAGAAGGGTTTACACGGAAGCATCAAGGGAGTGGAGGTATGTCTGCTGTCTCCGTATTTCTCAAGAAAATTGGTCCCAGGTCATTTAATTGTTAGTCATAAAAGTCCCCCATGAAGACTCAGGTTTTCCTGTCTGTGTGAAGAAGGACACTCTAATAGATTGAGTCAGGGGAAAGAGGCAGATTGAACTAGTAGCTGGGGAAGTTTTTTGCAGGTCTATGTAAACAAGATTTTTTCTTCTGATCGTCAAAACCCGTCTAGAAAGGGATACTGGGACACTGGAAAAGAGATCTTTGAAGACAAGTTTCCTTTCTATCTGCTGCTTGATAATATTCACCCATCGTCAATGTGGGGTAAAACCTGCCTTAGCTATCGTTACATGAACATGGGTGAGATTTGTCTGGATTTTTCCTGATTTCAGGATTTGTTGTCACGATTTCCCTGATTTTAGGATTTTTCAAATGATCTGTTTTAAATCTGGAAAAATCTTGAATTTACCAGAAAGACCTTTTTTATCTGTAAAAGCTCACATATACAGAACACAAGAAATGGGTATTTTAAGGGGTACCTTCAGGTACAAACACAAATGTAAACCACAGACCTTACACTGCCGTGGGGGCCCTGAAAACTCCGGTGAATTTTTCTTGGATAGCTCATATTTCTCCCGTCTCACCCTTGTGCACAGTTTACACACTTTTTCTCTTACTATAAAAACTGCTTTATATTTGGTGTTGTTTCACTTTCATTCACAGGTGATTAAATTTCTTATTTTTTATTGTCCATATATAATTCACTTATCAGATCAGTAGTGTCAGAACCTTATTTGAATTTGTAAGGGGTTTTCACATTACATGGAGTTTGACCAGAAAGATAAAAAAATTAACTTTCGTGTGGTTTATCTTTTTTTAAGCATTTTTTATGATGATTATGTCATGTAAATTTGAATTTTGCATATAAAAAGTTTTGAAAATGTTTTTCCCCATATGGAATTCATGAACTTCTGTTTATTGTCCAAAATTTGAGCTAAACATATCAAAGGATTCAAATATCAACAAATTAAACAATGTCAAATTAGTATTATTTCAACTTTTAAATTGACAGTAATTGACAGCCTATCTGTGTCGCACATTTCCACAAAATGGGTCACGTTAAGAAATCTCAATGTTTATTTTTCTGTCTCTTGTGAACCTTATCAGTTCATTGCATAGATAAAACATGTTATGCACTGTCAAAAGAAACCCCAAATCCATAATGACATGACATACAGTATCGTTCAGTACGCCCAAATTGCCGGAAGTAGCGTGCAGTTCATTGAAGGTCGGAATAATTATGTCGGAAATGCCATAGCATATCAAGAAACATGACTTGCACAACAAGATCCTTGGAAGTTGGAGGTGTTTACTCCCAGTTTAGAAATGTTGTTTAGTCAGTCAACAATGAAAGCTGATTGCAGCATGTAGTTATATTATTCAGACTTTGCTGACGGTGCCACTAGAAATGTCAGCAAAATTAAATTCCTACATTGCGCGTTCACTTGATGGGATATGTTAAATAGGCCCGCAAATTATTTCTGCTGGGCACATTGCAGTGGCATTTTATATAGAAAGAATGACAAGATGTCACTCAGGATTGAAATCTGTAGAAATGTACATCTTAATGGAATTATTTTTTCCATATTTAACCATACTAACTGTCAATTTTCGCACAGTTGGTCTCCGTCTGTCTCCGTGAAGCTTTGAACTGACTTGCATATATTACTATCTGGCAGGGTCTGCATTAGGTTGTCTTTCAACTGGCCACTTTTAGTGCACTTTAGTCCTTGTACTGTCAAAGGTCATTCAAATGGGAAAGCAAGAGATATTGCAGGGTTGCTGAGGCATTAAGAAAGTTTGATTTGTTTGGCAGGTGTCAAAAATACTTAATCTGTTCTTGAATATTACTTGAAAAAGGTCTGATGTGAACACAGGTGAAGGATCACCTTCCCTCATCATGAATGCCTGAAAATTTGATACACTTGGCCGATGAAGTTTGACCATTTTCATTTGACTGTACAGGATGTAGCAAAACCTGAAGATTGATGTCCTAATGCTCCCTACGTACTGAAAGAAGCCTGTTTTTCTTGCAAAGGTTAATTCTTGAAGTCACTGAAAGCACCTTTCCATGAGCCCATCATAAGTCCCTACAAGTCTGTCACAAGTCGTCAGTCTTAAGCCAAAGTTGCAAGCTTGAACTGTGCCCACGGCATTCCTTTGTCATTTTTCAATCTGGTACTTGTAACTGGACTCATGAACGGTCTAGTGAAAGGATATGTGATGGATCCAACTGCAACACTGCTCTACAAGCCGTAGGGGTTTTCTTTCTTTTAAATTTTTTTGCGCAGCATCACATTAAAAAGACGCAGCAGATGCTGGAGAATGTGGCGTCCGACGAGGCCAACCTGGAAGCCAAGATCGATAAGAAGAAGGCGGAGCTTGAGAGGAACCACAAGCGATTGCAGACTCTGCAATCTGTCAGGTACGGATGAGGGAGTCCAGTGTTGTAGTCAGGTGCCTCAAAAGTACCCATTAGTGCCTCCACCTGAGCAACAAGCTTGTCAAAGCATTCTTTTATCGTCGTTCAATTACCCTTTGTTAGTATAGACCATATTCACTAGGAAGCCAGTTTGGATCTTGTTCCCTGTATCTGTTCCATCAATTGTAAATAGCTAAACAGGATGGTACCAGACTATTTTATGATGATTTTTTTTCCCAACCTCCTTTTCCATTTGTTTCAAAACACTTGCTCAAAACATGGAGTTAAATTCATCATGGATTTCAAATTATTCATCAGAGTAGACAGGCTTTTATTTCTCATGATGGCATTTTTTTCTATGAAGTCTACTGTCAAGTTGCCGAAATGAAGGGTTAACAATGACTTCAATTTTAACATGGCTGATTCATGAATAAAGTCTCTTGCTGTCCACATGTCCACATCCCACTAGAAAGTTCTGAGTTGGGAGGCTCTAATGTGGAAAAAAGCACTGCCTTTTTGGCCTGTCGGTTTGTTTACACTGTTCATCTTGTGTCAGTGGGATGAGGTCACTAATACTTTAATCCTTTGAAATGCTAAAATGCCTGTGCAGCATGTGAATTGTACTATCCTGTGTGGCACTATTCACACTCCAGTGCAGGAAAGAAGTACATGTACCAGTGATTTGAAGGATCACAGGCAATTGTTGGGCCTAAGGACTGAACAGATAAGAAGCTGGGGAAGGTGTTGAATGTAAATAGCCAAAAGGCAGTGGAAATAGGGCCTCTCTCTCTCTAGTGGAGTGTTTTCCTCATGTTTTGAAAGAACCTGTGAAAGTACCCATGGCAACCAGTGAAAAATACTTGCCAAATACTCGACTTATCATAGAGGAAAGCTTCTCAGAATTATAAGCATGTCAGTTGCGACTTGGATAAAAAGACTTTCTTTCATCTGGAGCACGTTCTTTCCTAGAGCAATCATGCAGCACCATTGTTCTTACACAGAATTATTCTGTATGGCTGTCATTTTCTCACCTGAACTGTGTCAAAGTAGGTTAAGATTGTCCCAAGCGTACTGTGGCTCATCAGGCTGTTGTGTGCATGCATATCCTATTGCCTTAGGCAAGAAATGGCTTAGAATATTCTGCTGCTCCCAACAGATTGAACACAAGTCCATGACAATTTCTGTCCCAGCTGAATCTATTGTTGACACGTACTGTACGCTCGCTGGTCAAGAGACAGAAAGAAGAATGGAATGAATTGCCCAATAGCTCATGGCCAACAACTGAATTCAAACCTCTGATCAGAAGCCATGAGTCTGTCACTAGTCCTTTCACAAGACTGGTCGCAAGTGACAAGGTTAGCGGTGACAAATAAGTGCTTTTGTCAATTTTCATCTGAATAGCTTGTGAATTGGCTGAAGACCAAATGACTTGTGATGGGCTTGTGATGGACTTGCAGGGACATGTGATGGACTCAACTGTAGACGGTCTACAGACCTGCCAATCTAGAACCGTACTCCTTCCTGAGTTCAGGCATTACCACACAGTAGATTAAAAATTTAAATGAACTGAAGGCTCATTTAAATACCTTTTGAATCTATTATGTGGTAATGCCTGACCTCAGGAAGAAGTACGGCAAGGTTGGTAGGTCTGAGTGTACCAATGTATCAAAGTTGAAAACTCCCAAAACACCTAAAATGTACATGGGGGCAAAAATTCTCCCCCCCCCAACCCTTCACCCCTTATGGGTTTCAAAGTGATTTAAAATAAAGAATTCTTGAAAAGGAAACCACACCTCCACCTGGAAAATACTGGCGCATAAAGTGTGTCTGGGTAATCAGTGTGGTTCCTTGTGTCGCATCACTACTTGGGTACCCAACCTTCATCTTGTGCATTCACTGGGACGTTTACACGTAATTTGGGTGCCAGTCTAAAACCTCGTCACTTGTGTGACCCATTTACAGGCCGGCCTTCATGGACGAATACGAGAAGCTAGAGGTAGACCTAGAGAAACAATATGAGACCTACTTGGAGAGGTTCCGCAATCTGACCTACCTAGAACACCAGCTAGAGGAATTTACCAGAGCAGAGCAGGACAGATTTGAGGTAAGTTAGAGACATTTTCTAAATGCAAAACCCCCAGCTCCTTACTCGAGTCAAGCTAACAGGTGTACAACTTTCCTTGGATCAGCTGATTTCATTGTCTTGTGTTTCTCAAGTATGCCTTTGCAAATTTATGGAAAAACCCTTTACACATTCGTTTGTGTGGAATTTCCACATTTGTAAATTTCCATTTGTACGCCTAAATTAAAAGGAAGGAAAGTGGGTCTTTGATGACAATAATATCAGAAACAATGAATGAACCAGTTCGAGATGTCAACAATTCAAGAAAATGATCAGAACAAAATGAAGTGAATCAGAGGTCATTTAAGAAATTCAGTATGTGAGTATGAGGTCGACCCTAGTAGCACAGCCTTATGTACATGGAAGCTCACACACACTGAACATCTTAGTTGGCATGACATCAGATGTTTTGTTCTCAAAAGACCTTGTTATGAGGACTTGGAAATGAGAAAAAAAGTGCACTTATTTCTGTTTTGGTGCTGAATTTTGTTAGCCTGTGTCAGCATAGAAAAACCACAGCTTAGGGTTCGTATGGACATACATGTACATGTAGTAAATGAAAACAGACTTCATATCACAGTGCACTTACAGGGCAGCTGCAGCCTCAAGGCAAAAGCATCTTGCCAGATTGTTGTGTTGTCGTCAAAAGCCCCAAGGGCTCAATTATTTTTTTGCACATGACTGCATTAGGGCTCATTGCTTTCCACCATGAATTAATTAATTCACCAGGGAAGATTTGGCAGTGTGTATCCTGGGAGCCAACCACAGTTTACTGGTTATACCCTGAAGCTTACCTAAATGAGTGGTTTCCAGCTGGGGACCAGTTTACATGCCTTCATGCTTTGGCATTTTTCATTTTTGTTCACACGCAATACACGAGGTCTGGCAAGTCCATTGGGTAGAGCATGTGTTGGAAATAGCTTGGCTTTGAAGTGTCTCAGACAAAAGACAAAATCACAATGAGAAATATGGTACGAATATTGTAAAAGAACCGTCGGGAAACAGCCTTTAGAGCAAAGAGGTATGATTTTTAAGAGTTAGGTAATACATCTTGGCACCCTCAAAAACAAGTGGTTATATAGAGGGCTTCCCCAATTCCCAGTGATCATAGGAGTAGTTGTATAATAGTTAGGATGCTCAGAGCAATAAGAATTTATGTTTTACTTTCAAGCTGCTAGAGGGAGTTTTACAAAGAATCTGTGACCTTGATGTAATGGGAAAAGCCAAAAGGTTAAAAAGAGTGGTGACTGCACATTAGTGACTGTCTCCAACTGATTATTTCTTGAAAGAATAAACCAAAACTCTTAACCAGTGCCAAGGGTATATGATCAACAAAATCACCACCTTGCCTCCCTTTCTCGCCCCTTTTGCCAGGAGACAGAGAGCACCTTGAAGCGGATGCAGAACAGACTGAAAGAGGAGGATGCCCGTATCGGGATATCGGACGACTTCCTGGGAGGGGATGAGATACCAGGGCTCGATGTTGTCAACGACGACGACGATGATGATGAAGATGATGATGACGATGGCAGCGAGAGCGAGGAGGTACAGCGACAAGCCCCACCCCCTAGGAGGGAACGTCCCAAACCAGGTCTGTGTATTGCTACGTTTTACGGACAGGCCCATTTAGCTTATATTTTGAGAAACAAAGCAGGAACTGTCATGGTAATTTTTAGAAAGTCAAAGCTAATTCAGAACTTGGACTGCTTTCCGTCCCTGTTCTGTCAACAATTGTAGAGCTCAACATTTTAAAACATCTGTATTTGACACAGCTGCAGGTTGTTAACATGAAAAGACCTCCCTTGCTTTATTTCACCATATTGTGGGGAAAAAACGTTTTCTAAAAAGTTCTTGTTTGAGGAACTTCAGTTTTGTTATTTTCTCATTCCTTATTCTTATTAAGTAGAAGACGCCCACTGGTAGTTTGTTGATAGTTTAGAAAAGGAATAAACAAAATGGATGGTTGTTTTCCTTCAATACAGGAGGAATGCGAAGCAATAACCCCAAAGTCTTTGGAAATATGGGAGCTGATATCAGTGATGATGTAAGTCTCATCAGCGTATTGATATAATAATATCACATCCATTATAAGGTGCATAGTGTCTGCCGGTATCCGTCATTGAAAGATGCCGATACATCTTATCATTATCCCTGCTCTTTGGGTGCACAACGTCTGAGACGCCTGAGACCAGCCATCATTGCCATGTAGGCACATGCGAAATGACCAAGATTTGGAGTCTTACTCCACACTGGCTTAGCTGTGTTCGGCAACGCATCGCAAATATGTAGTACGCAGCACTGGCAGCAATTTGCACAGAAAGAGACTGCGTGCGTGAGGAGCATACAATAAACGTGCTAAAGGCGTGTTTCGTTAAACACTGTTTCACACACAAACTACAGTAAACTCCGGCAAAGTCGGCACTCTCGGGACTGAAGAAATTATGACGACTTACGCGAATGCCAACTTGTGCTATAAGTCGTCATTTTGCCAACTGACACGTACATGTACCCATGTATTGCCTATGTACATTATGATTCCTTGCACTAATTCAATGGCTTTGATTTACCCTGGTTTATTTCTACCTCCATGGTCGATCCCAGCAAATTCATTCTCGATTATTATCCTCATGGGCTGCAAATGCGATAATTGATTACGTGTCCCTAAGGATGAAGCAAGAACAGCAAGCCACTTGCATATCACATCACGACTCGACAATGCCGTACATACATCTACGTGATACAGTTACAGTACAGAAAACATACGCTCATCCAGTCATTGGTTAAGTTCGTTCAATAAGGCGACCCCCCAAAATGGACAGAGTGCATGCGTGTAGCACCAGAGGGGTTACTGGTATTGATGTACTCATGCTGGCCGAATATCAACCACTGCCTGTGCTGCTAATAACAGACATCAGTCCAGCAGTGTGGGACTTGTCACTTGACACTTCTTGGCCACTGCCACAAAGGAGACTAATACCGAAGTGCGATTTTTGTAATGCCGACTTACACAAAGGAATTTCTGTGGTTTTGTGGAAAAAGGACCCAGAAAAACATGCCGACTTAGAAATGAAATTTTCAATGGAAACGCATTACAGACGATCGGAACTTTTGTCAAAAGGCTGACTTAGACGATATGACGAGTTACAAGATGCCAACTTAGTCGGAGTTTACCAAAATGGAAAAAAAAAAAGTTGGAAAGTGTGAATTAAGGCTGATTTTACGTTTTGCTCCCAAAAAGGTATGCCCCTTTCCAGTTCAAACTGCCTCATCACGTTTTTATTCCCTTACTCTGATTTTTTTTGGGTAGGATTTCATTTCACAGAAGGAGTATGTAAGAGTTTTGCCAAATACATTGCCAACAATGTAAAGAATGTTCCAGTATCATGTATTCTTGGCTGTTTTCCAATCCTCAACTTCGTCTCCGTCTTGGGCTTCATTCCCCGAAACCAATCCCCGATTGTGGGCCTGAAGCATTTAAATCAAATTGGATTACTGTAAGTTTTTGCTCTCTTGCATCTTATTTGATGTTTTGTGGCACTATTAGACTAATTACTGCGCTTACAGCTTCAAAGTCAGCTAGTTAAAACAGTTGAAGCCTGAGACGGAGCTGAAGTTGAGTATTGGAAAACGGCCCATGTATGACATTTTTCCATCTGTGAACTCTGACCCAGGATGGGAGTGGTTCCTCCATCAATGATGACAGCATCAGCGTGGATGATGACGATCTCCTTGACGACGACGAAGGCGACAGTGATGACCTCGAAGTGGAAGGTCCGTCAACGCGGAAGGGCCGGCGGAGAGATGAGGCTGATGACAGCGATAATGACTTCTAAATCAATTTTGCGGTGGAGAGAAAGTGAACTTCGAAAGGATTCTTCTGACGGATATTTTCTTCATTAAAAGAGAAGAGCGATATTCATAGCAGGTGTTCAAAAAGAGACCAAAAAAGAGAAACTTCAGTTTTCAGTTTTTTCGATCACGCTCCTCCCCGGGTGTACCTCCTTTGGATGTTTTTGAAATGTACACTGCCCTTGTACAGGATGCAGCTTATTCAGCTTTTGCCCCCCCCCAAAAAAAAACTCTGTGTGCACCCCTGGGTCACACCACTCCACCGACCAGGATTGCTTTTCTCAGCCTAAAATTGTAATATTCTAAGTGGTGACATTCCAGAGTGTTATCATTTGTGTTTAATGTGTACAGTTGAATTCTTACAGATGTATATATATTGTGTGTGATATAATTCATTGTCTTATATTTTGTTACCTACGTCCTGTTCCTGTCTTCACATGCCAAATACATCTACATGTTTGGAGTAACTGCTTATACATATTCATGAAGTGGTATCTCCCAAATGGCGAGCCACATGCGTTACATAAATCTAAATGAGCTTCCTATGCATGGCCAACCTGGTCATGAATATGGAATTCCATTTTTTCATTCAGAAAATGCCCGTTTAACGCTGCAGGCCAAACACGCTGTTCAGTCACCACAGTTGTGATGCTACGTTGGATTTGTAGGGAGATGGCTCAAAATGGTTCAGCTTTGGAGAGTTGTAATTTCTCCTGATGTTGATCACAAGTTAGGTAACAACAAACACTGGATGAACAGTGACACAGGAACGCCTTGGACCAACTTTATTTGAAGAGCTGTGGACTTGGTTTGAGACTAGGTGATTTGTGTAGGATTTGTGACTGACTTGAGGTGATTTGATTATATCCCTGGAAATTGGATGTTTCGTGAGTTGCATAACTCTCACTTCAATCCAAAAATTGCTCCACTACGGAAATGTGAAAAGAGGGGGATTGCTAGATACCACTTGACACCAGGGGGCGCTGTTCATAATACAGATGTATATCTCATGTGCACTTACACACCTCGCCTTTTATCTAAACAATGTATTGAAAAATGTTTGTAATTTTTCTCCCTGTGTCAATACTGTTGGATGCATTTTGGTGGTTTGGAAGTTCAAAAAACACCTCACAGTTTGCCCTTTCCCCCTTTTTCCACTAAAAAGTGGTAGGATATCCAGTAACCCATCCCCCTTGGTCAAAAAGTGAGGGGATAAACACGTAGTCATGTACCTCCCAGCCCTTCCCACGTACTATAAATTATTGTAAAGGCCCTCTGTCAGTAGTTCCGGTGCACTGTGAAATTTAGTCCGTGTGGAAAAAGGGACTCGTTGACTGTATTGGCCACCATGTGAAGCTGAGAATCCGTATCATGACAGGTAGGCCAGATTTCACTAGGTTCCAAATTTCATAACACCAGAATATATGAGCGCACTTAATTTAACCCCTGAAGCTGACACAAGCGCTATCTAGCAGTGAGTGATTTCTGTATGGTCTTTGATAGCTTAATCCCACCCTCTGGAGTTGTATGTTTCTTTTCGCCTCTGTTAAAAATTGTCGACAAACCCTCACATATCTTTGCTGCAAAGGAATTCCAACAGACTGAACTTTAATAACTTGTTCAGTGATTCTAGAGCAGTTTGAAAGAAATTTACATGTATTTATAGATACTTTTAGCTATACAATAAATGCATTGGTTAGTTTAACCAGCAAAAAACAACTATTGCCATTTCTAAGAGTGATCAATTTTAGACTCTTACCCTGAGAAAGGTCTAGGAAGTTTGTGAAGAAGATGTCTTTTTGAGTAAGGCCATCGTTAACCAGATTGTATCAATTGGGAAAAGATAAATTGGCACATTTTATGGATTTAAACCTTGAGTTCCAGTTATTGTAAAACAGTAATTGGCTTCTAAGTTACACCTCTAGCTTACGTCGTGACCATTTTACCACATAACATTTCTTTTCCGTAAGTGTCTTCATTTCTTTTTTGGCACTAAATTAAGTCAGACTTCTTCAGGACTAGTAACCAGTAGAGTTGTTGAAAGTTTCTGAGGTATAGTGTGGAAACTAATCATAGAGTACATGTTTAAGAAGAGATTGCACTGACTTGGCCGAAATTTTGTAGTGATTGTGCATCGCAGAACAGACGTTTTTCCAAGTTGCACTTTTTTGGAGTTGATTTCAGCATGCGGCTGCCGACTTCTGCTGACTTTTAGCAGAAAAAAATTGTTTTCAACAATGTGCCCAGAGTTCTGCTAATCCCCTGAGTTGGGGGCAATCCCCTGGGTGGGGCTGATCGTGATGAGGGGTGGAATCGTCATTTGTCTGAGCTAGTCCTTCACAGAAAAAAATTGCCTGATTTCAAGTAAGGCTGAATACGGTTCTTGTCATTGACAATGCCTCTTCCTGCATCAAAAGTCCCCAGGGTGGAGATGATCCCCTGGGTTGGGCTTTGCCACACCCCCAGGGTGAGGATAATGCCCCCTTGGGTGGGGTAGATATCACCTGTTCCAGCTTGCCCTTGACATCCGCCTGATTGCTGGCAAGGGTGATGTGGACGTTCCTTGTTCGACAAACCCCGAGCGGCAGTACTCCCCTGGGGTTGGGCTAAGTGTGATATGCCGGAGCTCGGCTTCATTGCTGCAAGTCAGGCCTCGATTCAACATGCGAGGGGTCATCGGCAGACTAGTTGGGAACACAACCTCATCAGTCTTCTACAAGGGTACCAAAAAAATGGAAAATTTGACAAACTGTGGACCTAATTTTGATAGAATCACTGACCTTTTGAAGCTCATGAAACCTTCACAGATTGCCCTATTATAGTGTCTGACCTGTCATCAGTGGCAAGTTTCAAATTTTTGCCACACAAACACTTGGCCATGATGTTACAAACTGCCACCTGCATCGACCTTCAGGCCAAGTAGGAACCAGATTTTCAACTCTTATTTTCTGGACATACCAGGGTTGCGAGCGCTTGGAACGGGGAGCAGAGTTTGCCAAATCTCTGCGTGGCCTTCACGTCGACCCCACCACACCGTTGTCTGCGCTCCTGTCTGCTGTGTGTGATCCTGGCAAAGTCCTCATCCACCTGACGACCAAGTAAGCTCTGAAAATGACACAAAGGCATGGGAAACTTTCCACTGAATATTCATGGCACCCCACTTCCCATGGCACCTTCGAATCCCACTCCAAGTGTAAAAAAATACCTGCATTTGAGACTTTCTTGTTGAATTATATGATACTGAGCGGGAACAGATTAACAAGCTGAGAATGAAATGGCAGTTATTGGGTAGTTTATAGCAGTGTTAGTCGAGACCATCACAAGTCCTTCCCCAAGTCTCTTCGCAAGACTGGGCCAATTTCATAGTGTTGCTTAAGCAAAAAACTTAAGCGGGAAAAAACTTGCTTGACAAAACAGTTTACCCCTCAAAACGTCTTGTAATGTATATTGTTTTGGAATGGTATTTACGTGTCTTTTGGTTAGCATGACAATCACATAGAGTTTGAGCTGGTAACCTTTGTTTATTAAGCAAGGTTTTTTGGGCTTAAGCAAATTCTGTGCTTAAGCAACTGTATGAAATTGGCTCTCGTAAGTAATGGCAGACAACAACACATACTGTTGTTACGGTTCATTTGAATAGCATGTAATTTGGGTTACTGTGATGAACTTGTAGAGAGGTGTGATGGGCTTGACACTGGCAGCTGCCCCTTTTTTGCCCGGCAAGTATTTATTCACAATTTACTCTGGACTCCTTCACATCTGGTCTCATTCATATCCAGCAAAAGGTCCTGCAGTATTTAAAACCTTGCTTATTTGCTAACAAAGCCATTAGATCCTGTGTGTGTTAACATCTACATTTCTACTCATCACACTTTACAAATGCCGGTACCCACCACTGCCCTGCATGTCGCTTCAGCATCAGTATACCAGCTTCTTTGCACTTGCCATAAAGGTGGTATGGTTAATGCAAAACGTTCATTATGAAATACTCTAGTATTCCTCTGATAAGCCTGACACTCTTTCTCTACTCACTGGAGCCGACTTGGACTGTGTTCTGCTGGTCTTGTAAGATCCCAGGCTTGACAAGGTCATTGACCTACTTGACACCCAGCTTAGGTCATCCTCCCAGGTATTGACGGAGTGAAGGCTCTTGGTCTTGACGTCCGTGAATCCATAGTCACTGACCCCAGGATTGATGGGTTTTTTGAGACTGAGTTTGTCAGGCATGAGCACTGGGCAGTCTGACTGGCGTCTCGACTGGGACATTGGCAGACTGCTGTCGCTTAAAGGTGGAGACTTGATAGACACTGAGGCTTTCGGTCGACCCTTGTTAACCGGTTCCCTGGAAGATGTTGGTGAGTGTATAGAAGGCAGACTTACAGACAGAGGTTTACCGTTCGTCCTTGCCTCTTCAGTGACAGTTTCCAGATCTGGTTGAGGTGAGGCAGCAATGCCAGGCAATACTACATCCTCAGCTACATCAATTTTGTCTGTGCAATCTTTTGCTGGTTGAAGATCGGATGCGACTATGTTATTGTTATTTGTGAGTGTTACTGCTTGGTCTGAGCCGTCAAGGAATACATCGTCATCAGGGTTGTCATCTGCAGCAATAAAATGGAGGAGAAAACTGAAAGTGATTTTTTTGTGACATCCGTTATTAAAACTGCAATACACAATAAGGGACATGAAAGCAAACTTGAAGAAGCATTTTCTGCAAACCTGCCAAACTTGACAAAGACTAGCTTTCCACCAAGTCCACTACTGCCACAAAAACAAGATATTTGCTGGGGAGCAGTGTACTGAAAGAACCATCTCTTTTTCCCCAAGGCCAAAAAAATATGGTTCTCAAATCAAATGCGAGTTTTATTGAAATTTTATTTACATTCAAAACTACTGGGAGACTGGGACTTTTGTGTTTCATTGAGACCAATATTTCAGTAACCATTCTTTTTGTATCTTCTCAGATTTTATGAAAGCATTTCAGAGTTAAGAACATCTAAGGAATTTCTTGTTCTTCATTTGGTTGACACCATTTTTGTACCTTCTCAGAAAAAGCTTTCCTGTAAAAGTATTCCAGAGTTCAGACTCACAGAATAATTTCTCGCTTTGGTTTTTTGTCTTATGTCGTCTCTTGGCTTGCAATCGATAATGATATTATACTGAATGACACGTAATGAGAAGTTTGTACCTTGCTCACTCTGTAAGAGAGTCTCATCTTGCAATTGCTGTTTGTCCTCCAGATTGCTCCATGGTGACCTGAATATGGATGACAATAACACTAGCAAATTGGAATTTACACCTGACTCTTACATTTTGCAGATTGTATGGCGAACCAAGCAGAACAGTTTATGTTGGTTATATGTAACGTGGTTACTTTATGATTAATGGCAAGCAAGTGTTATGACACATGGTTTGGGGTGGACATATTCAATCAACAAACATCAACAGCACCTATCGTATAATCCACCTGCTGAATCTAACTTTGCGAAGGTTGTTTGTTTGCAGATGTTACCAAGTGCACTAAAATTACCTCTAGTTTTTCTTTAGTAGTTTAAAAGAAACAGGCGATTTTGATGGACAGCAATAAAAGTTTACTGTTAATATTCCCTTGATCCAAACTCGTGTTAGACCAGTGAAAAAAACCTGTTTGTGTGGCGCAGTGGACACACAGTACGATTGCTTGGGTGTGTTGTTAATCATGCCAGAAATTTCATCACCCGTAACTGGAGTCAATGTGGGCAGCCCTACAGGTCAATATGCCCTTAGCCATGGTCAAAACTGCAGGTTTTGTACCTTGGATGTTCATAAGTGGATGGATTCCGTAAGTTCCATTTTTTTGACTGGCCAAAGGTGCCGACGTAGTGACCCTCTATTGTCCAAAGCCTGGCCGTGCAGTCTGAGGAAGCGGTCAGCACAAATGAGCCATATGCCTCCTTGATGTACTCTACACTGACCACTGCCGAGTCATGGGCGTGCCAAGTTTTCATCATGGGAGGTCGCTGTGTTTCCTCCTGAAATCAAATATTGAATTCCTTCTTTAACTTTCTTTCCATCATTTTGTTATTTTTCGATTTGTAATTCCTACCATCAATTTTTTAGTGATACATTATGACTTCTAAACATTAATTTGGAAAGAAAACGTATTTTACGAAGCAACTTTAATAATGCGTCCCACTGTAAAAAGAAACATAACCGTAAAAACTTGTAAAAAACAGCTTTCCACATTAATATTTATTGCAAAGGTAACTAGAGCTTGGATTAGGTATTGAATAAACTTTTGAGCCCCGTGAAAGCCAGCACAAGAGAAAATAGTGGTTGTTAGTTTCCTTACTTTTCGCCTCAAAATACAATCTTACCTTTCCTGTCTGCTCTAGACAGTACTGGCTTACATCCCATACATACACGTGACCTATGGTGTCTCCAGTTATCAGCAAGGAGTCGTCATGGTTGGTTGTCATGGCAAGCACTGACTCTTCCTTGGTTACAGAATTACTGGCATAAAAGCAACCTGTAACCCGGGCGACAATGGGAAATTGAAATGATTTTCAAAGCAGGCAACATCTTGTGTAGCTTTGATGCATGTCGATGTAGCTATTACTTTCTCAATGGCAGTGACCTCTTTACCTTTGTGATTGTTGGAGAAGCCATATATTGACCAGAAGTGGAGAAACCCAGCCTCACTAGATATGAGTACAGCGCCCTCCGTCAGGCCCTTGTTGATGATACGACTCTTTAAGAAGAGGATCTTATCCACTGGAGCCTGTTTGAATCTGACAGAAGGACCCAAAGAAGTTGGATATTGGCCATGACTTCTCCAAGATGCATTCAGCAGAGTTTAAGGTTAATCCTTAATGCATGTATTCAAGGAAGTTACTGAAATGAAGGATGTGCAGTAGACTTGAGTGGTTTCTTCTGCTTAATTTTACTGTTTTACCTCAACATTGTAGTAAAAGTTGGTTTTATTTTAAGTATTTAAAGAACTGTAAAAACTGGATTAACATGTTATGAATTGCTTGAGGAATTTTCTGAAGGTAGAAATGCTAGGTGTTTTCTGAAGTCTCACATCCAAGCTTTTTTGGACGGAATTTTTCAGCTGCTTCACATAACTCAAAGAGCTTCATATTTCGCACAAGTTTTCGATGACTGAAGAGAAGGATTTAGAACCGTGGACGTCACCAGTGGGAGGACAAAGCTCTTTCCTGGGACAAGATGCCCATATTTAGAACATTTGTTGAAAAACCAGAAATACAAAATTGGAAGCGTCAGCGACATTTCTACAAGGTATTCATTGATATTGGGAATGCAACAGGCCTGATGTTGAAGACAACGCAACACAAATATCTCTATAAAACCTTTCTGCCTAGGAGAGAACCGCCCTACCCTGCTGGATGTCTGTGGCTGGTCTGATGTCTGGTGTTTGGTCGTGAGTTGTGGGAGGACTGACTGGAACTCCCCGAGACAGACTGACGGGCAGAGAACTCCCCTACCCTTCCTGACAATGGTTTTTCCTTCGTTCTCTCCAACGAGGCAAGAGCCTCCCTCAGCCTCTTGCTTCTGCAGATTGAAGCAGGAAAAGTTTGAATCCACTTAAGAACTGGAAAGTGATTCCTTTCAATATTGATATTACCACCTTTAATACAATATTTCACAGGCCAACGAAATTATTGGAGGCCGTGTTGAACAACATTCACCACCACGTAGTAAATTTTTTACTTGAATAAACACCATTCATTAGTATTAAATAACACAAGTATAAATCATCAGTATACACTTACACCTGCCACGATTGTCCTTTTCTCAATCGGATAAAAATGGTTTCTGTTTCCACGCTCCAAACAATGATTTCTCCGTCAAAGCACGCCGTGGCTAACAGGTTAGGAGGGCAGTAAGCTACGGTCAAAATGTCGTCCTTGTGCACTTGTCCGCCCTTCCAGCTGGTGTTCGCCTTTACCAGTAACGTCTGGAAAGAAGAAAAAGGAAGGGGAAAAGGAGTTGTTTATTTTTGTTTGAAAAGATTTAAATTGATTTTGCTTTGATGTTACAGAGGTTTACACGTTTTGATCGACCTAATGTGTTTGTTACTCCTTTTAGAAATCTTTGTTCTTGCCTTCGGTTTTCACTGCGTCTCCTTGTGCTTGGTTTCTGAATTCAGAACCATCTGTAAATCTTTATCGAATAAATAGAGAGATAACTTTTAGTTTCTACCTCCGCATCTTGGTCGTTGTAGAAGACAATCTGTCGGCTCCAGCCCACGGCTAGCACTCCCTTTCTCTTTCCTAGCGAGACCAACCCGGTGATTTCTGCCTCGGCAACGGGCTCAAACTGGATGATATTGTGACCATTTTGAAAATTCCACACCTGATGAAAAAGAACAAGTTTGTCACAAAAGAAATATCGATGAATCGTGGGTAAAAAAATATTTATAAAGAAAGATGAAACTTCTATGTTAAGAAAATATAACCAGTGAAGAATTTAAGTGGATGGAGAATCTATACATTGGCAATTTTCCTTCATTTTTTGGCTATAAGCACTCCAGTGACATTGATTGCGATTTCTTTGTTCATAGTCAGGAAGACGTGGATTAGAACATTCTTTGGCAAGAATCAAAGGGTTGTATCACTGATTTGTTTTTAAGGAGAATTCACGAAAGACCAAACACAGCTTGAATACAGCGAATAAACATTCTGTTGGATTGGAAATCGGACCGCTGATAGTGCAGCTTTGATTAAAAGATGTCTGGTTTTATGTTACTTTGACAACAGAAATATCTCCCCAAACGACAAAAATGCTAATTTTGAAGACCTCAGCTATAATCAGTGGATTCCTATTATATCCTACCTGCAAAAGAAAATCATGAAGAAACATGTTAACCTCACCTTAATGGTTCCATTCCTTGCTCCAGTGATCATTTTTCGGCCTGTGGTGTTGAATACCATGCTGGTGATGTCTTCCTTATTATGCGCTTCCAGAATTGAAAAAGATTTAGCTCCTGAAGTGAGATCCCACACGGTGATGGTCGAGTCGTCTGCAGCTGTCGCCACCTGCCAGGAAACGGGCGAAAGAGGAGTTTTCTTTATTATCATCACTTTTGTAATGAAACAAAGGATGCTTCCAAATGTACAATAAGTTAGTTAGTGCTCCAATGTCTGAAGAGTCCCCTGCTACATGTTTTGATTTTGGTTTTTTTAATATGTTTTTTGTTCTCCAATTTACATTTTAGCCTCCGGTTAAACAAAGTAATATTGTAAGAACCTGGAATTGATGTTTTCATTCAATTCATAACCATCAATTTAGACTGCATTTGGTTCACATTTGAGCGTAACACGTAAATTACAATACTAAACCATATGTCAAAGATGTGTTGTGACAGCTTGTTGCATTAAGTTTATTCAACACAAGAAAGTTTAAGTTTGATTCCTTAAATTCCACTTTTTTGTAGTTTTGTGTTGAAAATATTATTCAACAGAGTATTTCAAGGGCAAAGTCGTTTTCAGTATGTGGATTTTCTCGATCCGTTTTCAGAGCTCTTCTCTTACCAATTATATCTTGCAAAAACTACCATACTGTACTCTAAATAAACAAAACTTAATGTCTAACACAGGAGCCTTTTCTCACTTGCTTGAAGAACGAGTTGTAGAGAGCGCAGCATAGCTGAGCCTTGTGCGTCAATGGCATGCTGTGATTGGCTAGTTCTGTTTTGCCCAATTTGACCGTGCCTATGTAATCTCCGCAACAGGCTACCAGCGACCGGCGATGCAAGATGAGACAGGAGGAACCATACTCTGGTGAGCGGAGATGCTGGAGGCAGGGGAACCTCATCGGGTAAGTCTGGAGACACGAGTACTCCCTTAAGTCCCATACTTTAACAACCTATGAATCAATGAATTCACTCTTTGTTAAATCAATATTTTCAAGAAAGCAATTAAATACCGATTTTTTTTTAAATTAAATTTCAATACATTTTATCTAAGCACTGTTAAGAATGCAAATGAAGACTAAAATTTAATGAGTTCATTTTGATACGAAACTAATGCAAAATATTAAAAATAAATCATTCGGTCGGCTAATAATCAACCTTTTTTCATTGCATTTTTCAATTATTTTAATAGAGAATTCCATTACTTTCTATTCATCCTTGGGTACTTCAACAACCATCATACAGCCCTGGTGTTAGGTTGTCAACAACTGGCGGGTGATGCACTTAATTAATTTACATTTTAATCCCAAAAAATCAGTCGTTATTCCAGTGTTTGATTTATTAATACTTGCACTGAAGCTTTCTAGTTTTTCCAAGTCTGAAAATTAGTACAAAAACAAGACATGAATATGTATAAAACCTGAATAGTATCTCGACGGTGCTTTCCTTATTATGTAACATTTTTCATTTAAAAGGCAAATTCTTGGAATATTTTCTTAACTTCCCAACAAATGATATTGCCAAATAAGTTCAAAGACTCTTACCCCATCTTTGGCATAAGTGTAGACCTGAGCCGTCGCCTCGTTTATAGCCACGCCCACTACAGCCATCATGTGACCAATCAGGTAAGCTGTTGGCTTGTCCTGAACGAAAGGATTCCACAGGTGGGCACTGTGGTCAATACCACCTGTCGCTATGACATTCAGAGTCTTGTTGAAGTCAAAACATTCCACACCCTGAGAGCGAAAAAAACATCTTGAAATAATGACAAGCTATTATGAGACCCCCTCACAAACTTTCTTATAAGGACTCTCCATAGCTTTTTCTCATCTCGACTATAGCCTAATAACGGGCGGATTCAGAACTAAATGTTCGGGTGGAGGCTTCCTTCTTGGGGGAGGGAACAAATTTAGGAATTTTTTCATTTAACTTTTTATGACCATTTTTGGAGTGTCCATGATTCCCGTTGGTCCCCCCCCCCAGTCTGAGAAATCATATTCTTACGATGATATAGCCCTTAGCATCTAGAGTTAATGCTCATTTGGAATTCATCCACAATGAGTGGAGGCCTGTTGCACTCCAACTATGGCCTCAGTCCGAACTATACCTGGGCGGGAGTTGAGCTGGTCCCAACTATAGACCGGCTAAACTATAGTTGGATCGGCCCAAATATAGTTGGGGCCGTGGCCATAGTTGGGGAATAATGGGTACCTTGCTCATCTTGAAGGTATAGGTCTTTTTCTTGCTCTGTGTATCCATCAGGACTAGCGATGTGGTTCTGCTGCCACTTGAGGAGATGATGTAGTCATTCTCAGGGAGGTAGCGCACCTTACGTATCATCTCCGTGTGGATCCCTGACAACTTAGAATGCCGCACGTAACGCTGGTGATTCAACAAGTCCTAAAGATACCAGATATTATGAATAAATGTTTGGCGATTTTAGGAAATCAGGGCAATATAGAGAAAATGAGTGTGGTTGGAAGCATGGCAAACAAAAGGTTCTTTGGGTGAAAAAAGGTTTATAAATGATGTCACAGAGATAAAGATAGGCACAAAGAGACACACATATTGAGATGTGGGACTGAGAAACAGTCTGTAAGACACGAGGAGAACCAGGTTTTCAAGTTGCAGCTTAGAAGACAAAATAAGGACAAACGTGAGCAGACAACAAACAGATTAACTAGTGGAGATGCAGAACTTATAGATAGACATGCAGAGGAATGGCGATAAGGCAGCTGGGTTTAAACTGGGGAGCTCATTGAGGACACACAGACAGACAGACAGACTGAGACAGACTTACCTGAGTCCATATCTTCTTGACTCCCTCCTTGTCGGTGAAGGGAGTCTCAAAGAGCCTGTCTAGTGGTTTGATGAAGTGATAGAGATGGATGGATCCTTGGTCGTCCCCCACGATGAGGAGAGACTCATTGGAAGGAAACTGAGAGGATGGAGGAGAGGAAAACGAGAGAGGGAATTTTAGTACATGTATTCACACTTTCCACACCACTCACCCTCATCTTTGTTGAACGGAACCTGTGCAATTATTGCCACTACCGCTGTATCCAGTTTTTAGAGAAGCAAGGAAGTCTCCCATCTTACCTTCGGGTCATACCAATAGTCCAAACACAAAGGAACATCCGGCAAGGCTGTAGAACCAAAAAAATAAACAGTTTACAGAGCATCCTCGATCACACAGAAGATTGTCTGGCATGGAATTTAACTTTAATTGGCAAAATCAAACTATTAGCATAAATGCCGACAATGCATCTTACATGTATGTGTACTTATGATTGATTTTCTAAATAGGAATGTTTGCTAAGTGAAATGATCTTGTCAGCCAAAAAGGCGGCTACTGGTAGGCTTATAATGGCTTATACCCGCAGTATTTTCTGAAATTTAGGCCGCATTCCTCTTTCAGCCATTTTTTCACCTACCATACAGATGAAATTCTTCAAAGAAGCTTGTTGGACAGGAGATGTCCCAGAACCTCAGGTCCCTTCCCGTGGAGCTAATCACTATCTTGTTGGCATTGTTCATCACGGTGATGTCAGTGTACCACGTCTTACATCGTCTCTTTAAGGCCCGTGGGTCCTCGTTCTCAGTCTTGAGCTCGTAGCTCCGTTCAATGTGGAGGAAATGGGGATCCAGCACGCAAAGAATGCCCTCCTGGATTCAAGATGGCGGTGACGACAGGTGAAATTATTCCTTAAAGCAGACTGGCAGTGTAATCGTCGCTAGGCACTGGGATCATCTCTAGAAACTGCCACAATTACAGACTTGCGCTAAGAACAAAACACTGTCTTGATATATGTTTGACTAGTTCTGTTCTGACTTTTTGCTGAGCACTTTTGTTTAGTGAGCGATGTTGTTTCTTGGTTACTTGATAAAATTAGCACTGGTAAAATATGCTGATGGAATCAGGCACTATCTGGACATTACATTTCCCGTGTGACTCATTTATTCACCACGTACAGGCACTTCATATTTTGACTTATCACCCCATGACAACTTTCTGCGTATGCCATCCGTTGGCACGATGTCCTGTTGATACATTTTGCAGTGCAACACTAAATTTCAATTAAATGGCACTTGGGTTGTGACAGGTTATCGACACAAAGCAATTTGCTAACCAGATGGTGTTGTTTTGCTTCACTGCTCTCTCTTACCTTGCTTAGAGTGACATATC